CCCTCTCACACCTTAATGAGGCGCAGCTCCTACGCATACAGAAAGCAGAATGGATGGATGCATACATACAAGCAAGAGCAGCTGCATTTTCAAATTCAAATATAGCTTCTGCTTGGAGAGGGAGTGGGCTACAGCCATTTCAACCGCAGACAGTTATCCGCGCAGCTATGCTTCCTACAACAGATGCAGTAATAGTGCGGCCAAAGACTCCAACAGAGCATGATATTTTTGAGAAAGTATTTTTGAATAGCAGTCCTCCTCATTTTCAGACACTTCACAAAGCAAATACAGTTCTCTCTTCTACAATAAGTCATGGTGGTGTTTTGAACACTCCTACAAAGCGATATATTCATAAGTTAGCAGATGAGACAGAGCGGCTCAATACATGCCACATACTACAACAAAGGGAGACAGATAACTTGCGCTCAATTATTCAGAAGCGCAGAGTACAAAATAAGGGCAAGAGAGCAGTTTTGAAGGGTCAATTCCACATCACAACTGAGGAGTTGCAGTCGCAAGTAGCAGAAGCAGAAGCAGCAACAACAGCTACATCACAAAAGTCGAAAATATCAACAACTCCACAAGTTACAACATCTATAATTGATCTAATTGATGATGGGAGTGAGGAGGAGCTATTTGACAGTGATATAGATGAATTAGCATGGTAATGGTAGAACTATTTTCAATTATTTTGAAGCTGCTCATATTTTGAAGGGGTGGCTTACCCCACCATCCCGGTATGGCCATGGCCCCGGTATGGCCACGACCTATGTTACTCAGATGGATCATGGCAGGGGAGGCAGGCGAGGAACAAAACTATGATCACGGGAGGGAAGACAAGAAGAAACAGAGTCATTGCTATCTACGACTCTAAACTAAAATACCCTCTGAGCCAGGGCGCACTCACCACCGTAACTCTTGCGGGAGTCACCCTTCCCAAACATCTCACCGGCATCGCAACAAGCGGCTACCACTGACAGAGATGAAGGGTCGAAGCGACCCCACGCGAAGAGTCAGGTCCGAGTCCCCTCCGACACAGGGACTCCTCCTTCCTACACCCCATCCTCCTCTGCCCCATACTGGGCCCCAAACCCATCCCCATCCCCCTCACCCTCACCACCCCCACCACCCCTCTTCTTCCTCCCCCCAGCATGGTCCGGAACTGTCGCGGCGACAGCGATGGCAGGAAGCCTGCCCACGGCAGCCACCACTTCCCCCAAAAGAGCCGGCACACTCCCCTGCTCCGTCCGAAGACGGCGCAGTGACGACCAGATTTGCTGAACCGAATCAGCACCAAAACCACACAGGACAGGGGGATACTCACGGCCAGACCCACCTCGAGGGCGGCGCGCGTTGCGCGGAGCTCCTCGTAGGAGTCGCGCTCAGCGGCCGAGCGGAATTTCGGAACACTTTGGGCAGCCACAAGGGCCACCCAGTTTGCCTCTGCGGCAGCGGCTTCGACGGCGACGGGGTCCCAAGGATCTGCTGCTTCGGCGGCAGCAAGGACACGGTATTCCTCGTCGAGGAACCAGGGAACCTATACAAATTGTTAGCAAAAGCCAACAGAGACAGAACAGCACAAGGGAACTCACCGGAACGCAGGTGGAGTGCTGCGCCGTGCAGTACTCACACTTTGAGGAGGCGCGGGACCAGACACAATCGTGGTCCTTGATGCCACGAGCTTTGGCCTGAAGGCAGCGCAGGCAGAGGACACGGAACGCGCCCAACAAAGCTCCCTCGGAATCGGCATCGCAAAAAGTTGGAATTCTGCGCAGAATCCCGTCAGCCCAGCACACGTTATCACCCCCGCGCCAACGCGCTCCCATCACCTACTCGTTCTTGTGGATGGAAATATCCTATCCAATTCATTAGTGCACCGTCAGACAATCCACAAGAAAGGGTCACTTCAAGTTCTCGGAGGGGTGGTCGCTGGCGTTGTTTTGGAGACAAAAGAAGAAGTGGACGCGGCTGCACACTCATAGTCTGGCTTACAACAATGAACTCCGAATCAGGTTAGCGCGAACACTTCTCCTTTCATACAAATGAAAGTTTAACCCAAACGCTTCGCAGATGCGATTCAGAGTCCACTCGGACCACCAGGAATGCACCCCAGAGCGAACAAAGCAAAGTCTAACCCGAATGCTTCATGGATACGATTCGGAGTCCACTCGGACCACCACTAATGTACCCCAGAGTGAACAAAGCAAACTCTGGTTCCGCACAATAAACGGAGTCAATACGGCACAGCTCTAGCATGACATACAATGCACCTTCCCGACACGGCACATAAACAGGGTTGTTACAGATGCAATTACAAACAGAATTCCTGCCAACATAGAACGCTCTTCTCACGGATACCATTCGGAGATGTTGCGGAAATAATTCTCACAGCGTGTTTCGCGGACAAAACACTCTCTTAAGAGGGGGGGTAGTGTAAGGATGCCAAAGCCCTCAGTGATGGAAAGCATCAGAGTCGGGCAGGTTACAGTCACGTGGGGAGAGTTAGGGCAGGTTAGCCAAGTCGGACCCGTTTCGGGTACTTAAGGGGATTGACCCAACGGGGTTCCTCATCATCTTTTTTGTATCCTTCATAGTAGACCTATAGGATAGCATCCGTTTAGCCTCCGACTCGCACTCTCATATGCTATTACTGTGAGCTGGGTGCCCTGTATCCTTACACTAAAGGAGTGTAGTTCTCTCATTTTCCATGACTTTCCATGACTAACCAGGCTTGGTTGTCATACTGACATTCGTTGCACTCAGTTTGCTATCAAACTCAAGAGCAAACTTGGAAATCTCCTCCTCAAAACCTACAAGTCACTATACATATTTTGGCTTATCACACCAACAACAAGAGCAATACTACTCAACGATTGCTACAACCATCTATGATTCATTACATGACATCACTCATACTACCACATGACATATCTCTACCAACTAGAGGCCTAGGAGCATGAACGATAGCTCTAAAAGCTCCTACGAACCTCTATGATTCATTACATGTCATCGCTCTTTAGTTACCCACAAGATTGGTTAAGTTATGACATAATTTGTCTATAGGGGTACTCTGACCTTGGACCTCCTTTTACTTCCTATAGGCTACGAACCTAAGAGATGGTTCTATGGGATTCTCTTATGTCGACTACAGTTACCAAGCCTGGTAAGTCATGGAAAGTCTTGGAAAATGAGAGAACTACACTCCTTTAGCATAAATAGGATTGCCCTTTCCTTAAGAAAGGGCAAGCAGACAATACAGTAAATCGACTATCACATACTTCCACGTCTTTTCCAAGCTTCCAAGCATTCATCTTGTTACTCCTTGTTTCTGAAAAGTCAGTGAGGTGTTAACCTCTGACTTACCCCTGAGTTCCCAGACTCAACATTTGTTGCAACTTGTCTGAACCACTTCACTACATCACACACCTGATTGCTGCGTTGTGGAATAGTCTAAGCTACGACCCTTTGGCTCTTTTTCCTAAGACAGTGTGTTGTCTTAGTAAATTCATCCCTTCCTTGGGTGGCTAGATTCTCACATCTGGTGCACCCACCATTACATTGGTAACTGTAGTCGATGTAAGAGAATCCCATAGAACCATCTCCTAGGTTCCTAGCCTATAGGAAGTGAAAGGAGGTCCAAGGTCAGAGTACCCCTATAGACAAATTATGTCATAACTTAACCAATCTTGTGGATAACTAAGGAGCGATGATGTGTAATGAATCCTAGAGGGTTGTAGAAGCTTTTGGAGCTATTGTTCATGTTCCTAGGCCTCTAGTTGATAGAGATATGTCATGTGTAGTATTAGCCCAGTAACTAAGGAGTGATGTCATGTAATGAATCATAGAGGGTTGTAGAGATATGCTATGTGGTCATATCGGCCCAGTAACTAAGGAGCAATGACGTGTAATGAATCATAGAGGGTTGTAGCAATCGTTGCGTAGTATTGCTCTTGTTGTTGGTGTGACAAGCCAAAATATGTATAGTGACTTGTAGGTTTGAGGAGGAGATTTCTAAGTTTGCTCTTGAGTTTGATAGCAAACTGAGTGCAACGAATGTCAGCATGACAAAAGAATGCTGAGAAGCAACAGATGGATGCGGCGGAGAAGGCTGGTAAGAACGGTCAAGTGGTGATGGAGAAGATTGAATATCATCGTCATCAATGATAACGACTTCTTCATCTCCACTACCACTTACCAATTGCTGTGCCTGGCGTGCTGGAAGAGGATTCCAAGGCGAAGGCACTGGTGGGTTGATAGACCGCTTCTCCTTCATTGTAAGAAGCATTGCCGCACGGGCGAGGAAAGAAGCTTCGCTCTTGGCACCAATATTGCCTCGGTGCTCTCTTTGCTCGCGGATAACAGTGGCATCAGCATTGAGGACAGCTATCCAGTTGTCCTCGTATAACTCCCGTTCCGTTCGGCCGTCTTGCTCACCAGTACCAAGATCCTCAAGGTATTTCCGCCGTGCGGCAATACCTCTCCTAAGCACTCAACGAATAGTTCTGTGCTCTTTGCCAGTCTCTTTTGTCCAATCAGCAGCTACATTCTTGAAGAATGTAGCTGCTTCTGGTGATCGATATGTGTCTGCCATCCATAGGCAGATCTTCAAGAGTATGATATAGTCGCCCGGACTCATAACTCGACTCCTTCCATTCCCTTGTAGTATATCCTCCTCTTCTCCTTTCCTTTTGCGCTTCTTCTTTGGTCTTCCTTGTGTATTCGATTGTAAAGGCGGTGCTTGGTTGGGGGTGCTGTTCTCACTTTGGTTTTCGTCATCACCGTCGTCATCTCCACCATCGTCATCACCGTCTTCACCACCAGAGTAAAAACCACCAGCCATAGTAATTGCTTGAATAGGGGTGCTTTTGCCCCTATTCAGAGTTGGATCCAATCGCCACATGTCCTGGAACCCAGCTGGTACGCTGGTAATCGTCGGTTTCGGAGGCATCGTCGATATGGCCGCATAAATTGTCACTTTTCACCATCAGAAGCGTATTACACTAGAACGACATTATATTTTCTACATTACTAACGCACGACGCAAATGTAGTCATCACTAGCAGCTTTCGCTTCCTGGAAATCGCTTTCACGTTCACGGCACACTGTAAAATGCATCGACACCTCTGTCTAGTCAAGCATCGCCCTGGACAGAACGAATGAGCGACAATATTGTTGTTGCGCCTTCTGGCATGGAAACCATCGGTCTTTCTACTGTTAACGTAATCTCTAATGAAGCCTCAGAGACTAGACGAGACCTACAAATAATTCGCAACGAGAAAAGCAGCACAAGTAGCGCCACCACCGACGAGCGTGCCAAGTCCAACAATAGGCTGACCATCCCAGTGCCCGCTCCTCATCCAGCCAGCACTGCTAACGACACATATCACAACAATGATCCTGTGCTCACAACGGGGTCCATCGACATCCAGGAGCTCTCGGAGCGACCGGTAGCCTTATCTTCTCATCCAATATCGAGACAGATTACAAGCCGGTTGTTCATCTCTCACTTCTTGTCGACATGGAATTCGCGGCTGTTCGAGATGGGCGCTGTACTCTTCACTGCCGCCATTTTCCCCGGGACGTTACTGCCAATGTCTGTGTATGCGCTTGTGCGTAGTGCAGCCGCTGTTATGCTATCGCCCGCCTTAGGATCTTGGATTGATAAAGGCGATAGACTGAAAGTTGTCAGAGTTTCCATTGTAGGCCAACGGCTGGCAGTTGGGGCATCGTGCGGTATATTCTGGATCTTATACGTGCGAAAAGAGCTCGGAACCAAGCTGAGGGTCGGCCTCTTTGTCGTGAATATACTTCTGTCATGTATAGAGAAGTTGTGTTCAGTCCTGAATCTGGTCTCTGTGGAAAGGGACTGGGTTGTGGTCATTTCACGAGACGACGATACAGCTCGGCGGATACTTAACGCTCGCATGCGCCGCATCGACCTGTTTTGCAAATTGTTTGGTCCACTCGCTATCTCCTTGATTGACGGAGCATCTACAATCGTCGCTATCTTCGTTACTCTGGCGATGACTTGTACGTCAGTTCTTATCGAGTACTTTACGATTGCAGCAGTTTTCAGAATGGTTCCGGCTCTTCAACGAACGACGACTGAGAACAGCCTTACTGCTGCCGAAGACGACTCAGAGCTACCATCGGCGTATGAAACTAATCGAGTTTCACTGCGCGAGATTATCGACTTCGCACAGTCAGCCGCCTCTATCCTCCTTCCGCTCAACTCGATACCTTACTACTTCCAACACCCAGCATTTCTCCCTTCAATCTCCTTGTCTCTGCTCTACTTTACAGTCCTCTCCTTCTCCGGCCAAATGATCACCTTCCTCCTTGCCATTGGCTATACGTCCTATGCTGTGGGTGCCGCCCGCGCGGTTAGCACTATTTTCGAACTCTCCGCAACCTGGATCGCTCCCAAAGTACAACAACACATCGGCGCTGTGCGAGGCGGTATCTGGTTTTTGACATGGCAGATGATATGGCTTGCTGGGGGACTGTCCTGGTTCTTTGCCAGTGGTGAAGGCCTCACTGGGAATAAGCTCTTCGCAGCAAGCGGGCTCGTCGGCGCCGTCATATTGAGCCGTGTGGGTCTGTGGAGTTTTGATCTTTGCGCTCAGAGCATTATACAAGAGGAGGTGGATGAGCAGAGTCGGGGCGCTTTTTCCACCGTGGAGGCATCTTTCCAGAACCTTTTTGAGCTCCTTTCGTACGTAACAACGATCATCTTTTCGAAGGCAGACCAGTTTCAGTGGCCTGCCGTCATCAGCGTCATTGCGGTATACGTCGCTGGAGGAACTTATATGGTATTTGTGAGGAGAAGGCGCGGGCACTTGGTACATATGCCGAGCTGTATTAAGCCGCGGCTGGAAGATAACTGCTAGTAATCGAGCGTTGCCATGCAAGGACGAAGCATGAACCGGAGAGTCGCGTAGGTGCTGCTGTAGAGCCGCCTCAGTTGAGACCGTCACTGCCGTAGTGACGTAGTGACGGTCTCAAATGATAACAGTCGATGGTATGCGCGAGCGAGTCTTGTTTGTGGTGCTGCAGGCTTTCATCGCTATCGAAAGATCGATCGAAGAGAACACAGCGGGAGCTCATAGTGTCAAAAGTCTTCATACTACCACCATTGATTCGATTTTTTAGAAGTATTCAGAAGTAATCATAGTCGGAAGCGGTGAGTCGACATTCCAATTATACGTGTGACGATTGGAATGCTGGCATAGCAGTTATGTCGTGTAACTGCAACTTTACACTGTCGTCTATTGACCCGTCACAAAATGCTGTCAATGGCGCTCGAAAGCGGGAATGCTTTGATGCGCGCGAAAGACTACTCGCTGATAACTGGCAGGAGGTGAATCATTGCTACTTCCCTTCCACTGCGCGGAGAATATGACGATGACTAACTCTAATTCACAATAACGAAAAGGACGAGTGTTCTTTTCAGACAAGTCCATCCACCCAAGCACTCTCAGTCACTACTTAGAACCGCTTCTGGCAACCTTCCTATTAAGCACGATCTCTGGTGAAGATTTTGTTATATCTCGTTTACTGCATCCTCTCCGATTCCACTTGTGACGAACCTCGACCGGTGCCTCGACCGGTGCATCTTAAACTCGTCGTACAAGACGAGACTAAGCCAGATAGACACAAAAAACCCAAGGAGGACGTAGTTTCTAATATACGCTCCAGTGGATACTATCACATTAGTCTGGGCCAGCTGAAAACCTAGACCGCTGTTGATCATGCCTAAGATAATTGCAGCACGTCCTATCCATCGGTGCAGGTAGGCGAAGATACTCTTGTCCCCTCTCTTCTTAAAATGTCGGTGCGCAAGGATACCCATGATGGGTTGGAAGACGATGATGGTACAAACGACGACGAAGCCAATGACCACATGGGCATGCACAGGGCGCCTAAGGTAGCCGAGATCTTGACCGATTCTAATCCCGAGGGCCATTCCGCCGACCATCATGACGGAGCCTAGCACCTGGATAGGGACGTGCATCGCCATGACCCTCTTCTTAAGGTATGTATTCTTTAAGTAAGGAACACGATCAATGGGCAGGTGGACGGAGATTGCGCCCAGGGGATAAAGAATAATGAAAACAATCGACATGATGAGGGCATGCGCGTTTCGATTCCGGTTAAAGGTTTTGAAGGAATCGAGATTCCGCTTCTGGTGGACGTCTCTCGCATTGAGCTGGTCATGAGCCCCCTGGCCATGAACCTCCTGGCCAAAAACAATCTCCGGTGCTTGATTGCAGGTCAGACAGTTGCTCCCATCTTCTTCTGGTCGACTTACTAAAAGCCAATATGAGTGTCACCAGCGCGAGTCTGTGAAGCCTAATCATGATTAGACTTGTTAATTCGATCTTAAAAGTTCTCAAAATCCAATGAAAATATGAGAGAGAAATATTGTCAGGGATCAGAACAGAGGTGACCTCTTGGGTTCGCATCCATGCTGTTTTATCAACTTTCGTTCGACACCACTATAGAACAGCTTGCACAGCCTTCGAAGATCGGATACGCTCATATCCAACCTTCAAAGGCTAGTCGACCAGAAGAAGATGGGAGCAACTACCTAACCTACAAATCAAGCATCAGAGATGATCCTTAGCTAGGAGGTTACGCATCGGTTACGGTCGTATCGACTTCGAGGGCCGCGTATGCTGACAAAATGCTGACAAAACGATGACATTGCTTTGAGAAAAAGCGTTGGTAGGTCAGATAAGGAGATCCATTATTTGTTTGTAGCGAGGGAGATGTATGAGCACCACTTGCCGCTTTGTCTAGAAACCTCTTTCAGCGGTTTTCTTTTAGGCGGCAATGGTAGTTAAGCTGTAATTAGGTATGTAGTAATGCGTAGGTCACTCTGATGTAGTGTGTGGCCCGCTTGGGGAGTACTACGTCACCTAAAACCCATAGAATAGAGATCGAGGGAGAACTACGTATGGTGATATGTACCCTGCCTTAGGTATCACCATACGTAGTTTCTATGTCATAAATATCTGGTTCTGCTACCCTTTCGACATAAAAATTCCCAACCTGCCTCGAACCTATGAGAGTTATTTTTACCTGTACTAATCAACGAACTTCTAGAATACCCCTTTCTAGCTACAAATAATACCGTTTAAAAATGCATTTTTCAAGCAAGGCGCTCTTGCTCTCCCTATTTCCATTTGCCCTCGCGCAGTATGGTGGAGGCGGAGGAGCCGGAAGTAGTTCCACCACAACCTCTGCAGCGTCCACAGCAACATCCTCCGCTCCTGGGCTGCAAATCGTAACCGTCGGTGATAACAATGCGATCGCATTCTCGCCAGACACTATTACTGCGGCCGTTGGGTCTAGCATTGAATTTGTATTCTTTCCGCCCATCCATTCTGTCACCCAGTCCACTTTCGAGTCTCCATGCGCGCCATTGGCCAATGGAACAGGATTCTGGAGTGGAGCATTTACTACTGCAAGTGGAAAAAACGCCAACGTTTTCACTCTCATCGTTAATGATACAAATCCAATTTGGTTTTTCTGTGCAACCCCGAGTCATTGTGAGGCTGGCATGGCTGGGGTCATTAATCCTTCGTAGGTTTCGGAACGTCGCATTTATCGTATATCAACGACTCATAAAATCATGACTTAGATCCAACGGTTCGGAATCGCTCGACCAATACAAGGCTAGCGCTGCCAAAGTTTCAAACCCGCCTACCCCGTCGGTAGTTCAAGGTGGCAGTATTGGGCCACCTAAAGCCGCGAGCAGTAGCTCATCAACCTCTTCAGGGCCACCTAAAGCAGCGAGTAGTAGCTCATCAACCTCTTCAGCAGCCACTACAACCCCGACAAAGAGTGCTGGCGTAAATGGCTACGAGAGTAGAAGTAGTGCTCAGTGGGTCCTTATGGCACTGGCCGGTCTATTAGCTGTTGGGATTGGGGGTTTGATCAATTGAGCATAGCCCGGTATTTCAGCCTGGAATATAACCTGGATGTTAATGTGAATTTGGCCAGGTTTAACAAAAGTACAATAATTACAAGTATTACCAGACGGTTGTGGCAAGATCACCGTAATAATTTGTTTATCAACGGATTTGGTATCCTCACATCCGTAGGTGGCTCGAAGCTCAGATGGTGGATTGACCCGATGGGAGCTATCATTCTCTCTATCCTCATCGACATTAGACCACTTTAGCAGCCGCAAGTGTAGCAGCTGCAGTGTAGTGGGGCTTTAGCCTAGAGTAGTTAGCGGCTGTATATAGCATAATATATGATAATTGAAGCCTAAGACGTCATGATATATAGTGTTTCTGTGAATAGTATAAGAGATAACCATGATAATATCAACAAATTATCATGATGCCACGAAGCCGAAGACGCTAGGCAATGATGCTAACGATGATGGCTAGGCTCCTTATGCTCCTTAGGAGTATTGTAGAAGAGGACGAAGAAGAGCACCAAATATGGGCCCGCTGCTGTTAGTATCACATCGCCGTCGTATGATGCAATGCCGCTGTCGTATCTAGCAATGCTAGCGCATGTCATTTGAGAGTTTACACAATGTCTAAGCACAGCAATACTATGGTGTGCACTCTTCTCTACACTTTCTCATTTATAACATGTGATTAACTATGTAGATAGCTTTATGATGAGTGAGATCTAGCAACTTGCTGTACTCTTCCAGCTCCATAACGTACCATGGAGCAGTAGAGTACAGCCTACACCATAGATGGCGCTTTGTATAGTATGTGCCTAGCTTGCCTTTCTAGGGCAGTGGTGTAATGGTGGGTGCACCAGATGTGAGAATCTAGCCACCCAAGGAAGGGATGATTTTACTAAGACAACACACTGTCTTAGGAAACAGAGCCAAAGGGTAGTAGCTTAGACTATTCCACAGTGCAGCAATCAGGTGTATGATGTATTGGAGTGGTTTACACAAGTTGTAACAAATGTTGAGTCTGAGAACTCAGGGATAAGTCAGAGGTTAGCACCTCACTGACTTTCAGAAACAAGGAGTAACAAGATCAATGCTTGGAAGCTTGGAAGCTTGGAAAAGACGTAGAAGTATGTGATAGTCGATTTACTGTATTGTCTGCTTGCCCTTTCTTAAGGAAAGGGCAATCCTATTTATCCATTACCATTGTAACATAGAGTGTCTAAAGACGTGACAGAGGCTGATCTAGCAGCCTAGGTAGGCTAGTCTAGCATAGACGATGTAGAGAGCAGTCTCTGTAGTTAGTGCTAGACAGCTCTACTAAGTCACCTCTGTCATACTGACATTCGTTGCACTCAGTTTGCTATCAAACTCAAGAGCAAACTTAGAAATCTCCTCCTCAAACCTACAAGTCACTATACATATTTTGGCTTGTCACACCAACAACAAGAGCAATACTACTCAATGATTGCTACAACCCTCTATGATTCATTACACGTCATTGCTCCTTAGTTACTGGGCCGATATTGTTACGATGGTCACGGAGGTCAAGAAGCCAGTCCGGAGAATAATAAGCTAGATTGAATCTAAAGAGAGAAGAAGAAGAAGAAGGAAGGAAGGTGAGGCTATTCCTTGTAATATACAGTTGTCCGCTTAGTGGTTGTAGCCTTGGTGGCTAAGGCTGCACCCGTAACAACCATAACAACCATAACAACCATAACAACCATAACAACCATAACAAGCTGTAAGCTATAATCGTAACAGATATGACCACATAGCATATCTCTACAACCCTCTATGATTCATTACATGACATCACTCCTTAGTTACTGGGCTAATACTACACATGACATATCTCTATCAACTAGAGGCCTATGAACGATAGCTCCAAAAGATTCTACAACCCTCTATGATTCATTACACGTCATCGCTCCTTAGTTACCCACAAGATTGGTTAAGTTATGACATAATTTGTCTATAGGGGTACTCTGACCTTGGACCTCCTTTCACTTCCTATAGGCTAGGAACCTAGGAGATGGTTCTATGGGATTCTCTTATGTCGACTACAGTTACCAAGCCTGGTTAGTCATGGAAAGTCTTGGAAAATGAGAGAACTACACTCCTTTAGCATAAATAGGATTGCCCTTTCCTTAAGAAAGGGCAAGCAGACAATACAGTAAATCGACTATCACATACTTCTACGTCTTTTCCAAGCTTCCAAGCTTCCAAGCATTGATCTTGTTACTCCTTGTTTCTGAAAAGTCAGTGAGGTGCTAACCTCTGACTTATCCCGAGTTCTCAGACTCAACATTTGTTACAACTTGTCTAAACCACTCTTAGTAATGCCAAAACCACTCGTAGCAACCGCTACTACTGCTGCTCAATTAGGTGGCGACGATGTTTCATCGCCGCCTAGGCTGTTGCTACGACGAGCAGCAATAGCAGGAGCACCTCCCCCTCGTCCCGCCCTTGTCCTCCTTATGTGCCTAGCACTAGTCTTTGGCCTTGACAAGGAGGGCTTCTAAGTGCCTCGCGACGAGGGCTTCTAAGTGTGATAGTAATTCAGTTGCTAAATTGCTCTATTGAGCTGGTATGGTCGTGGCCTACGTTGCGCATATCGCTCAAAAGTCAAATGTGGAACTATGCATAACAACTAGCAATTACAGTAACTATAATTTAAGTAAATGCGCTCAATCACTCAGGCCTGTAATCAATAATACAGTCAGTCACTCATAAATACAGGTAAGAAAATATATTCTTTCAGCTTAAATATCTGGTATCGAGCCTTAGTTGAGGCCGTCCATCTTCATTAGAGAGTTTTGGGCGGCACGAGTATATTGCCTGTCCCTGATGAAGACGCGTCATGCTAGATACCCAAGAGCATTTTATACGCGTCCACAAACAACTCGGGGATCGGTTATTCATTGCGAACTACCACTTTATGGTATACCATCGTATGTCATTTTTAGCCGCGTCACAGGTCAATTCAATGGTGCTCATGGTTTTGTTTGAAGGCGATGAAGAATCGTGATTCATCATCTATTTGTCATAAGACTCAGCGCACTATCGCTGGTCGAGTAATGTACACACCCTTTGTGCAAAACGCAAATCCGAAGGCAGATAACTCCATTGCCGAACCCATAAACCCCATCCCATAACCATTATTGCATCCACCAGATCAATACCAGACGTGCGATCTCAATATCCCACCCAAACCCGTATGCATGCGGTTAAGGCCATTGCGCGTAATCAGGCACGATCTTGATAGTCGAGAATCCAAGTATAAATTTAAGAACGCTCACCGCGGAGGCGGCGGGCGAGTTGGATATCCTTGGACTGGATGGTAACACGCTTGGCGTGGATGGCGCACAGGTTGGTATCCTCAAAGAGTGAGACGAGGTAAGCCTCGACGGACTCTTGGAGAGCACCGATGGCGGAAGACTGGAAGCGGAGATCGGACTTGAAATCCTGGGCGATCTCACGGACGAGACGCTGGAAGGGGAGCTTGCGGATCAGGAGCTCAGTCGACTTCTGGTAACGACGGATCTCACGGAGAGCGACAGTTCCTTCGGGGCTTGTTAGAACGCTGTTCAGACATGCTGGCGATGCATATTGAGCTTACCTGGCTTGTATCTGTGGGGCTTCTTGACACCTCCTGTCGATGGTGCGGACTTGCGTGCGGCCTTGGATGCGAGCTGCTTGCGGGGAGCCTTGCCACCAGTGGACTTACCTGTTGCATGGTCAGCATGTGTTGATGTGAAGTTGCCCCGCCAAAAAGGTGAAGTCAATCGATGATGATGATCGAAGAATAGAGTGATTACTTACGGGCAGTTTGCTTGGTACGAGCCATTGTTGATGATGATGGATGTTATGGGGTTGTTGATGAAGTGGATGGTTGATGGTCGTTTGGTCGAAAGTGGAGTTGTTGATGGAAGAAGAGGAAGAGGCGAAGGATGTGGGCGTGGTGGGTATTTGTATTGGCGGTCTGTATTCGCTTAGCTTGGGTGATTCGATTGTCAGTTGTTATGGTTTTTTGTATGGCGCAAGGCAGGCGCGGACAGGCAGTTTTGCGGGTTAGGCTACTTCTATTACCGGTAGTGTGTCTTGGCCTGATTTGGGGGGTGAGAAAGTAGCCGTGTTTGGAAAATGGAAGGAGCGATAAGGAGCGATAACAGATTTAGCGAAAAGCGAGAATCGAACGTGAAGTCTGACTCGATCTGCAGCCAATCAGATACTCGGTATGCTATTGATTCCACACTCTTAGCGAATCAACACAGCAGGCACTGGTGCCATTGTTTGTTTACGCGTGTGTACGTACCGTATCTCACTGAGGACTAAGTATGCACGTGATTTATATATGTTCATCAAAACAATATCAGTAACAGAACCGTAGCACTCTACAGGCTGCACTGTATGAGCATCTTTTTTTTTTGTCTTTATGTGAATTTACTGTGGGATTACCGTAATGTACCCTGTACTTTACTATGCTATGCTTGGGATACTGGGAGCTCGAGTGTAAATCCCACTGTTCACACTGTTCGCATTCATGACTGCTCGAGTACGTACCATATCCCCAAAAACAACAAACCCCGCCAGTCCAGTCAGTAAGCTCCTCGCTTCAATGTTGGGCCAAATTAGGACTAGCGTATCTTCGAAATCACTGATCCCGAGACGCGCCTTCCATATCCCCTCGCCTAATTTGCGTGATCCGTCCCAACGCCTACGACTTCTTATACCCTACGGCCACCCCACTCCAGACAACTCCTCTCTTCTCCGAATATCTCGACCAACAATACCCACGACTATCACCATCAACAAGGTTCATTTCCCCCACACCCATACACCAACCACTTCTCTTCACCAACAACAACCATCATGACTGGACGTGAGTACTCTCCCTCTCGACTTGCCGTCATTGCAGCTGCCTTAGGGCGACGCGTCTTCTTCCAAGCATTGTACTGACGCGCTTCACTCAGGCGGAAAAGGTGGCAAGGGTCTCGGAAAGGGTGGAGCCAAGCGTCACCGCAAGATTCTTCGTGACAACATCCAGGGTATCACAAAGCCCGCTATCAGACGTCTTGCGCGTCGTGGTGGTGTCAAGCGTATCTCAGCCAGTAAGTTCTCGCTCCTCCAATTGATTATTCCCTCCTGACATCTTTTCCCAGTGATCTACGAGGAGACCCGTGGTGTCTTGAAGACCTTCCTTGAGGGTGTCATCCGTGACGCCGTCACATACACAGAGCACGCCAAGCGCAAGACCGTCACTTCGCTGGATGTTGTCTACGCTCTCAAGAGGCAGGGTCGCACCCTGTACGGTTTCGGTGGTTAAGCGTCTTCTTTTCATGTTCTCTTACGAATCTTCTTCCTCTGGCTGTGGGCTGGGGTGGAATCTGCGGGTGCGGCGGTCACTGATGACAATGGGACACGGGTTTGCTTTTTAGGTGTTAAAGTATTGTACCATACGGATATGGGAACTCTTCTGGTATGGGCTGGTGGCCCACGAGATAATGAAATCCACCAAGTGCACATGTCCCTTGCTTGCCCGTGACTCGTATCGTGATTTGACTGTCATGCTCTGTATGTATTTATGGCTAGTATCTCGTGTCATAACTTTGGTATGCGGTTATTCTGTGGGATGAGGCTGCCGTGGCTGTTATTTGGCCAACGATAATCTTGGGTTGCATCGGCTATTAAATAAGCATGAATGCAACTCGTATTCGCGGCCGAAAACCACAAGGCTGGAGGCATATTTCAGAGTCACGCTGACCGAGGCATTTATACTACTTGTAAACTCGAAAGTAGCTGGTATTCCAAATACACGTGGGTTTGGCAGGAATGTTCTCGTCCGGGCTGTATCAATCAGTTGCAGTAACATATCACTAATCACATGAGGAAAATAGTCGCGCTTGTATTCTACTATTTTATTCGTCTCTTTATTATAATTACTAGTGTTGTTGGTAGTAAAATTTTTTAAGTTGACCTAAAAATAAAAATATATATATTCATTCCGCAGTATATTAATTTATCAGCCTTACCACAACCAACGTTATACATCTGCAAGTAAAAATCAGTAGTCCGACACCGTGCCTGTATCACCCGGCATCGAATACGGGGCACTTCAATTTATAAAAGCAACCGATGGTGGATTATTTGTTCTCACTCATCGCCCACCATCGCATGGGTTTTCCCTGCAACTTTACTACTCGTATGTGCGACCGAAACCCACCACCGGAGTTGATGGAAAAATAAAACTCGACCACATAAACACATCCTAAACATACTATGTCATGAAATGCCGAATCAAACCAAGGCAATAGGGACGGAAAAATGAGAAGGGTAGTTGAGACTGAATGTTGCATGAACAAGGGTCGAGTCCCACAACGAAAATCACCGTGCCCGTGGAGAGTCACTGATGGCGGAAGGACCCGGCCGGGCCGCTTAATCAGCAAGGGATAAGCGTGCAACGTCACAACGCAGAGACAGACTTCCAGATGACTGCTAAAAGCGGTATAGCGTCGATTGCTTGCAGATCTAGATTCGATCGCTGACCCCGAGAAACCCAACAACCTAACCGACGGCATCGAAAGCCGCTAACCCGGCACTATGGAACAGTACCTACAGCAGAAAACACGCCAAGAGCGTCATTCGACCAAAAAAGTCTGGCCAAAAGCGAAGGATGCAGTAATGGTCTCCGCAGAGAAGCGGGGTCAGTAAAAGCGAAAAGCAAACGAGAGAGAGGGACAGACAGAAACGAAGGGACGGTCGGACATAACTCCGTAGGGGGAAGTCCGGGACGTTTTACAGCGGAAGTTTACAGCGGAAGTTTACAGCGGAAGTACAGTGCGCGCAGACGGGACCGGAGTGAGCGAGAACAGAGGCAACGAGCCACCGTCCAGGACTGGCTGGCAGTTAGGGCTGGAAGTTAGGGTACAAGTCCGGGAGACACACACACGGCCAGAGCCAGACACACACGGCCAGAAGGGGAAGACGACAACGGGGAAGACGACAACGTGGGACCGTTGTGAGCTGGGAGGAGTAGCGACGCGGTGGTTTCGCCACAATTCGCCACAATTAGCCACAATTCGCCACAATTAGCCACAATTCGCCACAATTAGCCACAATTAGCCACAACTATGCAAATTATCCACAATTATCCACAATTATCCACAATTATCCACAATTATCCACAACTAGCCACAACTAGCCACAACTAGCCACAATTCGCCACGTCATTAGCCACAGTCATCCACGCAGCCAAGTACCACTCCATGTACTCCGTACTCCGGGGTGTGTTGAGTCGATGACTCAAGGCATCTTCCGCATGTCGAAAATGCAGAGATGCGTCATCGCTCGCGAATCCGAGCCACACACTACGTATTCCTACCACGCAAAGCCAAAACACCTAACTCCACCACCCATCAGTCGTCTAATAATCGTCTAGGGGGAAAAGGTAGATCCCCAGTACGTACCACTCTAATGTGCTATGTGCTATGTAACTATTCTGCGTATACGGAGTACAGCATCGAGAAAAAGAATGATAACCTGCATCTAGGTCCTAATTACATAGTTGACATAGTACATGCGTGCATACCCCATCCCCCGCCCCGAGTCCTATCCCCCACGGACTTGGCTACACCCACTGCTCGAAGTACACCAATACCTCTCCTTCCTCAGATCCGCCACCTTTCCCGCTCTTTTTGCCACCCGTATATAAAGGGTCTCGCCCCTCTCACTCAAAAGGCAAAAGGACCAGAAAGGAAACCATCCAATTCAAAAAAAGTTATGCTCTTAGCACCTTCCGTATCACAATCATACCCGAGACGCCAGCTATTATCCACAATCGCCACCACCACCACCTCGCTCGTCGGTCACTCCAACTACACTTTCGGCCATCAGCTACTCGACTATCCGTCTCTTTCCCAGAGCCTATTCTTCGGACAGCTCGGGAGTGATAGTCCATCCCTCGACTACGCCACTTCAGAGCCCGAGGGCTTCGGCAGCGACGATATTTGGCAACAAGATCAACTGATGCAGTCTGAACAATCCGGCATCTCAACCAGCTGGCACTTTGCAAACGGAAAGCTGACGCCGACTTCAGCTCGCAGCCACCAGCGCGAGTCGTCACAGTCCTCCCTGGGCTCTGCTGGGCCGGCATCTCCATACAACTACAACACGTCTCACCCACAGGTCGCTCTCCCACCAGACTCAGCTGGTGGGGAGACATACTATGAAGGCCTACCGGTTGCTGACCAAGCGACTTACTACAACTTCTCCAAGACGCCATCGCATACGCAAGACCAGTACTTGCCAGCCGTCTTCCAGCAGAATTACAACTTCCACCCTTGCAGCACACCTACAAACTACAACTCCATGATGCCAATGGACAAGCGCGCGATGATGAGGGACGACGAGACGATGTCGGTTCCAGACTACGGACACTCAGGTCGCCCATCCGTCGCAAGCACTCAAGGCTCCCCAGCGACGCCAATTGGCAATGGATTCGATGAGCCGAATCGCAAAACTGGTGAGATTTCTACCCTCCAGGATCGTTGGATGGGCAGCAGCTCACAGTTTTACTCCGACTCAGAGTACCACAACTCGAATGCGATACCAAAGCTTGACAGGACAATGTCGGATGCTTACAACGATGAGTTGTACAGCCCGAACTTCACATTCACATCGGCGCCCCCGTCGCAAGAGTCGCGGCTCTTGCCTTCCCAGAGCTCGGACGTATTTTCTCAAAGACTGCAAGCTGCGAACAGCCAACACTTGAGTGCCTCAACTCAGCAACCACTTGGAAACCAGTCTCGCAGACGGTCTCCGTTCCGACAAGGCTCCCCTCTTGCGCCGTTACCGCACCGAGGATTCAATTCACAGTCGTCGACGCAGCAGATTCGTCTGGGCACGGCAGCACATATGCGAGAGCAACAGAAGGCAGAGGACGATGCACGGGTCTTGGAGGAACAGATTAGAGAGTCATCTCCAGAGCAATCTACGCCAAAGACTATTTCGCCAAAGGATGCACTACTCGAGTATCATGGTACCGAGGAGGACGCGGCAATGCCGCTGTTCCCTCAGACCCAGCAATACCGATTCCCAAAGCCAACCTCCCAGGAATCGCAGGAACTCGATGATACCTCTTCGCAGCAAAGCTTTGCGAGCATGGTAACGAGCCGCCGGCCAAGTTCCTCGGCATACTCAAACTCATCCCAAGCGACGCCTCGCAACCGCAGCTTTGCCTTCGCTCCTCCATCGGTACCTGGCGCGACACAAATGCCGCAACAGCAATACCAGTTTGTTCTGCAGCAGCGACAGGCGCAGAACTTGGCGGATCGATCATCTCAGCTGGTGGTCGCCCTGCCGTCTGTGGAGTCGAGCAACGGCGAATATGCAACAGATGCGTCAGAGCTCAAAAAGCCTGCAAGATCCAATGCCGACAGTGGGACGTACACTTGCACGTACCATGGATGCACACTGCGGTTTGAGACGCCAGCAAAACTCCAGAAGCACAAGCGTGAGGGACATCGCCAATCGGCCCCACTGATTAGCGGGGTTACCACTAGCGCTCGCCGTGCCAGCAGCGATGGTGGTGGCAGCGGCATGACATCAGCGGCGCTTCTCCGCAATTCTCAAGCTGGCCCTCACAAATGCGAGCGGATTAACCCGTCCACGGGCAAACCGTGCAACGCCATCTTCTCACGCCCTTACGATCTCACGCGACACGAAGACACTATTCACAACGCGCGCAAGCAAAAGGTACACTGCCAGTTCTGTACCGAGGAAAAGACCTTCAGTCGCAATGATGCTCTAACACGGCATATGCGTGTTGTACACCCCGAGATCGACTTCCCTGGCAAGACCAGACGACGTGTTTGATGATCCAATCCAGACGACGTGTTTGATGATCCAATCCAATGTTTCAGTGACATCAGGCCGTCCATTGTGGACGTCATGGGCGCAAATAACGGTATTTCGGTAATACCGGTGCCGATCACGACGTCAGTGACGACGCACGGATAATGCTTTTCACATCAAGACTTCTAATAATTCTACTACATGATACAACATGATACAACCCTTTTTTTAAGCGTTCATAATGCAGCATAGCGATTTGTTTTAGGCTTCGGGCCATTTGGAGTTTGGGTTGGTAATCTGTCATAGAAGAGTCATCGAAAACATGTTCATCGCAATTGGCACTTGTACCAATCAATTGGCGATAGAAATACTTTTTTTTTTTTTTTTTTTTTATGAATCTCTTTGGGTCATTGGCTTGGTATTTCAACTCAATAGAATGGAAAGTAGGAAAAAGGCTCCTGCGAAATTTAAACGAATAATGTGTATAAGAGATGGGACGGCGCCTGTACTCTTTGTTGTATAACAATGCAGTCGGATGATGGGTTATATATATTAAATACAAAACATGAATTATTATTACTATAAGCCACAGAAATCCGTGATTCAAATAGATATTGAATACAAAACAAGGTAAATATCATGATGAGCTACGAAAATAGTACCTTGTCCGAACCTTGTCTGATGCAGAGTGTAAATTGAACAACACAGAGACGACTGAACATGTGCCTTGCTCCTCAAATGATGGACGGGAGAGTTGGTTTGATCAAGAAAGGAAGGTAAGAACGACGCAGAAGTTGTGCACTGACTACTGTGTATAAGTCTTCCAAATTTACCGAAATGAGCTGAAGTAAGGTCAGATAGCTATAAATGAATCTAGAATAATCTCTACCAACAACCAAGTCCCTTCTGGACACCGTAAACAATTTTTTTTATCCCAATATCCTTCCCTGTACGCCATTAACCAACGACTCCGGGCGGCGGTTGGACACCTACTGCGACATACCTAATGCGCATTACTCTCCAATGACAGCCGCACGAGCATCCTTATACTCGGGCGAAATACCAGTCCAAATACGGAACTGCTCGATACCCTGCCAGATCAGGGCCTCAGCTCCCTCAACAGCCTTCCAACCAGCATCAGTTGCCATGTTCATCAGCGCCGTTGTGCTCGAGGCAGTGTAAGCCATCTCGAGGAGAACACGCTGAGCATCACCAGCCTCCTTATGGTGGAAGATGGAGACTAGAATCTCCCTGATCCCGGCATCGATAGGCTTAGATGACGGAATAGTTCCAACAGCGACGCTTGGCAGACTCTCAAGAGACTGCGCCTCCTCAGCGTTGCGGATGTGGACGAGCCCAGGGAAGGACGAGACGAGCTCATCGACCTTGGATGCGGATCGTGCGACAATATAGACTGGGCTGTAGCCTGTGGACTGCAATGCGAAGATAGCGGCTCTTGCAGTACCTCCAGATCCAATGACCAAACCGGAGCCGGGTTGAGCCCCTGCGGCCGCCAGCGTCTTCTGGATCCCGATCCAGTCCGTGTTGTCGCCAAAGAGAGTGGTTGAGTTTGTCGACGAACGTACCTTGGCGATCGTGTTGACTGCCCCAATGGTCTTGGCTGCCTCAGAAAGGTTGTCTAGGAGTGGAATGACGTCTAGCTTTAACGGGATTGTTACGCTTGCTCCGCCAAATGACTCCGATTTAAGTACCTGCTCAATGTCCTGAGCAACGTCTGTCTCGAACAAGCCGTAGACATCTGACAGTCCATTCTTCTTGAACAACTTGTTGTGCAGGGCAGGGGAGCGAGAAGCCGAGATTGGTTTGCCAAAGAGATAGTAGTTTTGCGGTTCCAGCTCTCCAAGCAGAGACAGACCACTGCGGATCTCCGTTGCGGACAACTGACCAGGCGCAGCCTTGAAGGGAAGTGCAGGATGCGAAACTGGAGTCATGAAGCCATTCAGGACACGGCTTAGTTTTCCCTTGGCACCCATGTTGATTGCGATGAGCGGCGTCTCATGGGACATGTCGTTCTTGAATTTTGCTAGCGCAAAATTATCATCCATGGACTTAGCCACGCCAACAAGCTTGATAATGTCTCCGTACTCAAGAGCTCTGTTGTAGTACTGAGCCCAGCCTGCATTCTTCCACGACAAGGTACCGGAAGGATCATGGTGCGAAGCAATGATCTTGGATAGCCCCTTGTTAGAGCAGACCGTGTGAAGTAGTTCCGTTGGGAACTGTATTTCCACGTCGATATACTCAATTGCCATTCGGATGGCAGCTTTGTAGAGTGCCAAAGCTTGGGAGTGTGCATCGTTCGGGAAGCGACCCCCTTGTCCAACGGTTCGAATGGTAAAGATCAGAGGCAGTGAAATGGCCGATCTCAGTAGAGATACTTGCTCATAGACGAAGTCAAGCGTTGGGATCCCATCCTCAGAAGCCGGATCAACAAGTAAATCAACTCGAAGTTCCACTGCATCGGATCCAACAACAACCTCTGGCAGCACGTCAAGCATCTTCGCCGCATCTGGCATAGTTAGGGACACAAAGAAGGAGTGCTTCTTAGCCTTAATCTCGCCAAAGTGAGAGCTTTCGCCTGTTGTTATGGACAGGAAGCGTAAAAAGTTGTCTCTTGCGAGAGTGAGACCGCTATTCTCGGTGGTCTGGCTATGGTACTGAAAGTTGGAACATGCTTGGAACCAAGGCTTTCGGCGAACATAGACGCCCATCATGTCTTCGACGTAAGCTGGGCGAGATTTGTCGATTTTAAGGTAACTCATGACGTTCTCAGTATCGCGATGGACTAAAAGAACAATTCCACCACTTTTGTGGTAATTTATGAGAAGGTCGCGAGCTTCCGGAATCTCTACCACTCCACCACCGCATGCGAATACGTATCCGTTGGGCTTCTCCACCATGACACGCTTCAAAAGCGCCAATTCTTCATCACGGAATGCTTCCCAGCCTCGAGACTTGATTAGTTCCGGTATTGTCATTCCGATCGTTTGTTCCAGGAGCTGATCGAGGTCCAGGAGAGGCCGACCTAGTTGAGCAGAAGCCCAGCCACCTGCAGTGGTCTTGCCTGCACCCCTCATGCCAACGATAAAGATAGACCGATCTGAAGACACGGGCTTGGTTTCTTGGTGCAAACGACCTTCGTCAACTTCCTGACCTGACAGTTGCACTTTGAAGAATAAGGACATAACATCCCACCATCCTGGCCAAGTTTTTGCTGTGCATTCTCTTTCGAGGATTAGAGTCGGTTCCGGAACAGCCGTGGCTAAAACACTGAAGCTCATGGCCACGCGATGGTCATCGTAGCAGAAGACGCCCTGTTCAGGATTCGACAACGTCCCTATAGGCTTCCCGTCAACTTCAATGCCGTCGTCAGTCTCGCGGCACTCTACCCCGAACTTCTTAAGCTCGTCCTTCATAGCCTTGATGCGGTTGCACTCTTTGACTCGTTGATTGGCAATTCCTCGAATCTTTGTTGTTCCCTTTGACACGGCAGCAAGAACAGAGGCTGTTAGGAATGCATCTGTCATTGGTTCCATGTCGATATCTTCCAATCCCTTCAGCCCGCCAGGGGAAGGGCCAGTGACAGTAGTTGATGTTGCGGTTTGCTTAACTTCGCAACCCATTGGGCGCAAAACATCAACCGCAAATCGAGAGTCGCCCTGCAAAGAGCTCGATCCAATATTAGGGATGGTGCAAGTTGTACCCGATATGGCTGCAATTGCCAGCGGGTAGGTGGCCGAACTAGCATCGCTCTCAATAGTGTACTCTGCCGGATTTTGGTAAACACCTTGTGGGATATGGTACGTGTGTTCCTCGGTATCCGATCTTGTGACTGTTACGCCAAAAGCTGCCATCATTGCTGTAGTCATGTCGATGTAGGGCTGCGATATCGGTTTACCACCGACAAGGCGCAAGGTAACGGGATTCTTCGCATATGGCGCACACATCAAGAGTGATGAGACATATTGGGAGGATACAGTTGCAGCCAACTCAATGGTCCCACCGACGAAGCCTCCTGACGCAGCGATATCGATCGGCAAGCTTTTTTCCTTCTCCAAGTATTTGATTTCCACCCCGTTTTCCCGGAGAGATTCTACCAAGGGACCAATAGGCCTCACTTTCATTCGAGAGTTCCCGGTCAGGACTGTGGAGCCCACTGCTGACGGCTTGCAAAGAGCTGCAACTGTTGTTAAGAAGCGAGATGCAGTTCCGGCGTTGCCCAAGTACAATTCTGAGGGGCTCGCACGCAAATCACCGCCCTTTCCATTCACCAAAAGCACCTCTCCTTCGTCTTCCCATGAGTATGTGGCACCGCCTAGTTTGCCAATTGCGGTGAGCATAACTTCGGTATCGTCCGAGTGGAGAAGATTTCGAATGCGACACGGTCCTAACCCGAGAGCTGCCATGACCAGCGCCCGATTTGATACGCTTTTGGATCCAGGTGGAGTTACTTCGACACTGAGAGATTTTGGAATACCAGGGGTAACAACTATCGACTTTGAGAGTATGATCCGGATGGCCCCATCCTCCACAACGCTGGCTTTCTGCTCATGCGTCTTCCCAATAGCCGATAAGAGAACGATCTTTTTCTTCCTGCCATCGTTCTTCTTATCTACTGCCATCTTGTTCAATAAAACATCAACCGGGCATTTTTTACCAGCTGTCCGTTTATTAACAAGGCTGTCGTCAAGGGACGTCGGAAGTTCATAGCTTGAGATGCATTTTACCAGTCTAGCAACCGCCCCCGGCTTTAGGACACCTAAATAGCGAGCCAACTCGGCCTCTTTCACCATACCAATGGCCACTGCTTCGCCATGCAGGACTTGTGGCGTCAGTATGGCTTCGAAGGCGTGGCCAATGGAATGACCAAAGTTCAGTAGATTTCTCAAACCCCCCTCTCTTTCATCGGCGGAGACAACCTCTGCTTTGACACGAGCAGATCCAAGGACAATTCTCTTCAAGATATCTCGAATTGGCGCAAGGCGGCTCGACGGATCACTTGAAGGAGAGCGAATAGTCTCCATAATCAAGGTTGCATTGCTCTCAAGGGTTGAAAATTCCGCTTCGTCCCATATGGCGGCGGTCTTGATAACCTCTGCCATGCCATTTATGAATTCTCGAATAGGGAGGGTTTCGAGGAAGCGCAAGTCGATATAAATGCGCCGTGGTTGCCAGAACGCCCCAATGAGATTCTTTCCTAGCGGGGTATCAATTGCTGTTTTCCCGCCTATTGAGGAGTCGACCATAGCAAGTAATGTAGTCGGGACTTGCACGAAGCGCACCCCGCGCATGAAAGTGGCCGCCACATATCCTATCATGTCGCCAATGACGCCTCCACCAAGTGCAATGATCACGGTGTCTCTTGTACACTGGTGTGACAGCATCCAATCTTCAATTTCTGCCTTGGTTGCTCGCCCCTTTGAGCTCTCTCCTGGTGGGATCTCGTATACTAGAAGGCGAGGCGGGGCTTCGAGTTTCGAAGTGGATTGGCGGAATGCTGTCTCAAAGCTTTCGACATAAAGTCCTCCAAGGTTGGTGTCAGTAATGAGAACATAGGTAGAAGATTTAAGATTCCCCAGTAAATCTCCTACGACGAACGAGCGCCATATGTCGAAGTCCACAACGATGTCCTCGTTGCTAAGGATTGAAATCCTCGTAGGCCCTCCATTGGCCCTCGCAGCTGTCATCTTCCTCAATTATGAGTTGCAATTGACGGTCGTTGGTAGGCTTAACTGCAGTACTGACTGGTACTTCATGAATTGGCGGTCTAGGAGTGTATATGGGAGGGAAAGGGAGGGACGGTGGTGGGGGATAAAGTTGCCGCCTATGACTCTTGGGGCGAGCTCGGAGCTTCTCTGTGACAAGTGTCTCGGACAAAAAATATCGCCCGGGCCGTTTACGGCACCGTACCGCATCGCATATTAAATTCCGCCAGGATTTTTAAGCCGGAGAAATATATTTCTGACAGAAGTAAATTAATTTATCAAATTCATCGTCAGTCTCACAGTGCATATCTCCGAATAAATCGTCTTCTCGTTTCTACATACACAGCTTCTATTTTTCCAATCACTTGCAAAAACCATCAATAACCTGCCCGTAATAACTGCCCACTCCTTTGCGCCAAAATTAATGATCTAAGTAGCCCAAGTGGCACGAGTAATACCTCAACTTGACATCACATGGTCGGTGTCGCTGTCAACGGGGACCTTTGTCAAAACATCAAAGGCTCCAGTCCCAACTTTGCTAGTTCTCCCAATCACTATTCTCGCGCTGGGGCTTCTCAGATCATCCCAGTCACCGTCCATTACGGCGTCCTTGAGGAACCCAATAGTCGTCTCAAAGCTCATCTTCAAGAAAGGACTGACACTGCCCTTCAGGCCATTGCGATTGAAAGGACTGAAGCCACCGCCCCTCGTCATAAAATCAGCAATGAGGTTCAGATGACGGTTGTCCACGGCGATACCGTGGCCTCCGAAGACCCCAGACAGTTCTTGAATAATTGTTGCTCGGCAGGCTTCAACACCGTAGTGCTCTAGCATCGCAGCAATGTCGTTAGTCGAGATCTTGTTCGGGTTGATGTAGTCGCTGTACATCTGCATAGCCTTGAGGTTAACTCCAGAGGCATAGACAACAGCGGCATCAGAACCCTTCGCAGCTACATATGTACACGTATCAAGCCCGGAAATTTGCTGAATCAACGACGCGTGGAGAGCGCCCTCAAGAATATTCAGCATGAGGACCTTTGGCGAACTGGCATCATACTCGAGCGTGACCTTACACCACGAGCCACCCTCATCACATCGGAACCGAGATACATCTGCATTTTTGGACATGACCCTTGATTGGCGGTCATCAGAGAGGGCCTGGTCGGCGGCGCCTGTTTCTTCTTCGTCGTTCTCGTAGTCCTCGTCGTTGCCCAATCTTGAACCGCGCGACCCGCCCTGGAACCCCTCGTCATCTCCGTCATCCTCGTCTTCGGGTGATGCCTCCCTTTCCATCTGGGTTTGAACCGCATCGTCCTCTTCGTCGTTGGCACCATAAGAGACGGCCTGTCCACGGTTGGCCTTTTGCTTGGCATTCGTAGCATCGCCGTCATCATCCTCATCCTCATCGTCCTCATCGCGAGGTGCCTTTTCACCCTCAGGCCTAGCCTCTTCAATGACTCCAACAGACTTGCCAATTTCTGGGACGGCAGCTGTATTGGCAGCAGACTTCAACTTCTTTTCGCTCTTCTTCTTTCCAAGAGCTTTTCTCGCAAGAGACTGCAGCTTTGGAACAAATTTCTTCTCCAATGTAGAAATGACGTCGGCCACATCTATGGCATAGGTGTCTTTGTATTCCTGTGGGGGGAAAAACTTTAAGTTTATGTCGTAGATTTTTGCCCGAGACTGTGAAGTTCCTCTGCCGATTCGCTCACTGACTGAAGCCTCATCGAGCACCTCCGCCAATGAGAGTTTACTTATGCCCTTAGCAAACTTTTGGCCAGCCTCTTCCGTCATCTCCTCGTTGACTTGAAGGGTCATAGATGGGGTAGAAATATTGTTACTTGCGGTCATGACGATTTCTCGAAGACGTGGGATACCGAGAGTGACATTCTTTGCCGAATGACCAGCTAAATGGAAGGTGTTGAGTGTCATCTGCGTAGAAGGCTCGCCAATAGATTGGCCAGCGACAATTCCAACGGCCTCTCCGGGCTCAACAACCGATTTCAGATACTTTACGTTCAGAATAGGTCCTAGTTCCTTTTTACTGTACGCATTTGGGTTGCCCTTTGACTTGATGAGGCCATCTGGGTTTTCCTTGATATAGCTACTCAATGAACGGTTGAAACTCTCCGAGGTTGAGTATAAGTGCCTGCCTGGGTGATAATGAGCCAAGACGGGATCGGACACATCAGCGGTGTTTGCCTTTGCTGTCTTTATGCCGCGTTTCATCATCTTCTGGATTTTCTCTTGGTGCTCTCCAATAACTTCAAGGTCGTCTCCGAGTTTCATTTGGGCCACGACAGATTCTATGTTTTGCAATAAGAACTTGAAGTCCGTTAGATGCTTCGTTTTGGTAACATCGAGTCCATCCTCGCCGTACAAAAACTGAACCATAGAACCGTCGGAGTCGCGAACGGATGTATCGTATTCGACTTTCAGTCCCTCCATACCCTTGATGAGACAGCGCTGAAGATATCCAGATCTGGAGGTTTTGACTGCCGTATCAATAAGTCCTTCTCTTCCGGCCATGGCGTGGAAGTAATACTCTTGAGGCCTTATACCTGTCAAGAATCGATTTGCAATATACCCGCCAGCTCGCACGTTGGTTTCGAATGGCTTGAAGCAAGGTAATGATTTCCCGGAGACCATAACTGGAACCCTGCGACCTTCCAAAACTTGCTGCCCCAGATTGCATGAAATAAGGTTGGCATTGACGGCGCTGCCCTTTGCTCCTGACACGGTCATATTCTGCATTTGGTTCTTCGGAAACTGTTTCACCAACCCATGTGGCAAACATGCTTTCGTAATTTCTGACGATAGCTTGTTGGAACTACCGTTCATCATCACATCAAGGCCTTCCTGTTTAGTGTCATCTCTCAAAACATCTTCGAGTCGGTTTCGTAGTTCAGGGTCATTGGCTGTCGGTTTCCGATCCTCCAATGTCACATACTTGGCGGCTACTTCTAATCCGATTAAGTGGACATCCTTGAGCTTTTCCCGCCTAGTTTTTTCACCCTCGGAGGTCAATAGAAGATCTTCCATACCACAAGAAAATGCTCGAATGTGAAGAAATTTGGTGAGAAGTCGCCCGAGTATGCTGAGCATTTTCCCGGCAACTGTCGGTCCATGCGCTTCATGCAACGAATGAATTAAGCCACCACCACTAGGTCCTAGTTGTGACTTGTCGAGAATGCCAGTGATCAATTCTCCATCCTGGAACAAAACCTGGCCTTCCTCAGACTTTGGCCCCCAGCGATCAGCAGGAACTTGGGATTTGCTAATAAGGTTGAGGGAAGTGTATCCTAGCGGCGTAATATTCTTCAGAATTGTAGTGATGATTTGTTTTCCAGTCCACTGTGGGAATGGCTTGATTATGGCTGGAGGAACAGTCTCGATACGTTCGCCAATAATGTGGCCGCTCTCGGGACGAAGGCAATTGTAAACCAGTTGCTGATAGGTTGCTCGATCGAAAAAAGTATCACGGTTCGTCATCCAGACCGATACTGAAATATGGTCCTGAATAAGACCGCGTAGCGGTTTTCCGGCCGTTGCGGCAAGATACTGGTGATCAGTGTCGGCGATTTGGAGAGCTTCAGCTCGCGCAACCTCATTTTGGGGGAAATGCATGTTCATCTCATCACCGTCAAAATCAGCGTTGTAGGTATTGCAATTGGCATAGTGCATACGAATCGTCTTTTCGCCAGGGAGAACTCTCGCACGATGTCCCATGATAGAAGGCTTATGGAGAGTGGGCTGACGGTTCATGAGAACGACATCTCCGTTGGTGAGATGACGATGAACTTTCTTGTTCCGTGCCCCATTGGCGCCAATACCAGATGAAGCTAGAAGCTGGTTTGCTAAACTTTGCCGTTCATCTGGAGTCTTCGTTCGTAGGTTGATTACTTGTCCATTCTCATTCTCAATAGCAGCTGCACCAGGCCACTTGTCTGCTCCATTAATTACGGCTTGCTGTAGCTCCTTGAAATTATGGCTCGTGACAGGTTCGGGATATGTAAGCTTTCTTGCGAAAACAGGTGGAACACCGATTTCATTGGTCTCGATGTTGGGATCGGGAGAAATGACACTTCTGGCAGCGAAGTTGACACGTTTTCCCATCATGTTCTTGCGGAACAATCCTTCTTTCTTTTCAAGCTTTTGCTTGATACCGTCTTCGTTTTTCTTACCAGCAGCGCCCTGGATCGGGTTCCTATCTCGGTCTATCAAGGAATTGACGCTATCCTGAAGCTTCACCCACGATTCTTGAAGATCTGAGAAGTCTCTTCTCCGGTATTTGGTGTCGGCTAAAGCAGGGTTGTCTAATTCTTTCGATATTTGAGCTGTCATATGACCTGCGGTCAGGATCTGCTTATATAAAGCATTCTGTTGAGCCTCAGCAATCTCCCCAGCTCCGGTCCGCGCTTCTGGTCGATACTTGTTTGGCGGAACAAGAAGAGTTTGCAAGAAAAAGAATTCGGATGTGACAACGGCTGCTTTCTTCGATGACGATCTAGAAGCATAAACCAATGACAATATTTCTTGTTCCTTCTCGAAGAGCAGTGTCAAGCTCGCCCTTACTTCCATAGGATTGACGTATCGTTCAGCTCCTGTGGTGGATGGCTTCTGTTTGGAGATGGCTGTGGTTCCTGATGTTGAACGCTCTCTCGAGGCAAGGCCTCCAGCGACATCGAGAGTATGTCCCTCGCCTTCGTCCTCTTCGTTTGACGAAAGATCTATATCGGCGATGCCTTCATCCGACGCATATCCGTTGGACTTCTTTGCATATCCAGCGTCTTTGGACACAATGCGCATAGCATTGACTATCTTAAGATTTTGTTGGGCGTTCTTAGCTTCGTCTTTCGCAGACATGGGCTTCTCAAATATCTTGATGAATCGATCTTTGCGAAATCCATTGGAAATGGCCCTGCAGTTTGCGCATGTTTTGGAGACTGTGATGGACTTGAGGAAACTTTTAATAACCTCTCGCCGAGCTTCCGCAACACTTTCATTCTTCTCGAGCTTCCAATCCCAGGGCGTTGCTTTTGCTTCCCGGATCGACTTCTTCAAAAACGTGAGTCGTTGCTTTATGGTGGTCTCCACCCCATTATCGTCGCCAGAGTCGCTGCTTTCGTCTTCTTGCTCCACAGCTGCCGCTTTCTTTGCGACAATGTCTATGTTGTCTAATTCTTCAGCGGCACTAAGTAGGCCGGCCTGGATCAAGCGGAGTTTGTAATGGTATAGATTCACATCTTTTCGGGACATTTTAAAATGGTGGCAATATGCGCATTTGGCGCGCAGTAACCGTAGGAGTTGATCCATGAAAGTTGGATGGTAAACGGGAACTGGGAGAGTTATATGGCCGACATGGCCAGGACAGGACAGGGCACCAAGGTGACATGTCGTACATCTATTTGGAAATTAGTCAAAAACAAGAAGTATTATAGAGTAGCATATCTTACTGTATATCACCCCAAGCTCCAAGAGCAGGGTCGTACAATCCACCTGGAACTGGATTCAAAAGAGTGTCGAAGGTTGTCGTGTTTTGTATGGCCTTTACTGACAGACGTTTAATCTCATCTTGAGAAAGAAACGCAAAGTCAACACTGCCAATGGCAGATGAGACCGGTTGCGAGATATTCATTATCACTCTGCTGTAGAATTGACACAGAACATCTGGGGCGGTACGTGCATTGAGATCAAAAAAATTAACGGCGCAAGTACTTGAAATGTCCCAAAAAAGTCCGTGGTCATTAGGCGGTGAGCAAATAGTGCTGGCAGAAATTTACCCACGTGACTAGTTGACCCCAACTACGACCCCAAGATCTGCCACAACGCGTCACAATCACAACTTTTTGGCCACAACTCTAACTCACCCATATCAATATTTATAAAATAAGGTCGTTCACATCTTCAAAGGAAGGTGACCTTATCATGGACCATGGAAAGGGTTCTCCAGTACTGGGCCCTCGACATGACTCTGGCAGCCGAGTCCAGAAGCCAGAATCAGCATCAGACAAGCTTGCCTCTTTGAAGGCTCGAGTCGCCGCAGCAGTTGGGAATAGCAAAGCGAAAGGAGGTCTAAATGTTGGTTTACATCCTGCACTGGAAGATCATGGACAGTGGAAGCCCTCGAAGACTGTCGCGCCAAAGTTTGCGACGAGCATAGGCAACGCACGACCTCTGGAGAAACAGTCTGCGAAAGGCAAAAAACAACTCGATTTGTCAGGGCCGTCACCAGAAGATATCCGCAACAATCCATACTTTGATAACAGCTTGGGCGGACAGACAGCAACACTCAAGAACAGGCATTCACGACAGCTTGTGTTCAACCAAAAAGGGAAATATATCCAGCAGGCAAATGCACTCCGACGTCAGGCCGCCTTGGAGGCGATGAAAAAGCGGATCGCAGAGTCGTCACGGAAAATTGGAATCGATGAAGATTTAGACACAGAAAAGAACTATCTCGTCGAGGCACCTCCTGATGTCGAATGGTGGGATGAAGGCTTGGTGGATGGCAAAGACTATACGCACATTGACGACCCGAAGAGACTCAAGCTAGACACATCCGATTCCATTATAACACACTACATACAACACCCGGTTCTCCTTGAACCTCCGCAGGAGAAAAATGTGCCGGCACCAAAGCCTATGTTCCTAACAGCGAAGGAGCAGGCCAAATTACGGCGGCAACGTCGCATGGTTGATCTTAAGGAGCAACAAGCAAAGATTAGACTGGGTCTTGAGCCTGCACCTCCTCCAAAGGTTAAGAAAGGGAACCTCATGCGTGTTCTTGGTGAAGAGGCTGTCAAAGATCCAACTGCAGTCGAGGCGCGGGTCAACAGAGAAATTGCGGAGCGGCACACGAAGCATTTGGATACGAACGAAGACCGAAAACTCACGAAAGAGCAAAAGCTCGAAAAATTGGCGTTGAACCAGGAGAAGGATGCCGCTAAAGGTATTCACATTATGGTTTTCAAGATCAACAGTTTGGCAAATGGTAGCCATCGATTCAAGATTGCCAAAAATGCAGAGCAATACGCTCTTACAGGAATATGCATCATGAACCCGAGATTCAACCTGGTCATTGTGGAAGGTGGAGAACACAGCATCAGGCAATATAAGAAACTGATGCTGTCCCGAATTGATTGGACGGAAAGCTCCCCGACAAGAGCGAAGGAAACGCATCAAGAAGAATTGGTGGACTGGCTGAAGGGAGAGGACGAGAAAGGGGCACTAAAAGACATGAGTTTGAACAGCTGCACACTGGTATTCGAGGGCGAAGAAAAAGCAAGAGCATTTCGCAAATGGGGAAGTAAAGTTTGCGAAACAGATGCAACAGCACGGGAGGCATTGACTAGGTCGAAGATGGAAAACATGTGGACTCAAGCGAAGACAATGCCTTGAGATGTAGATATTGTAACAATTTATACCCCAGAAATTAGTATTCGGGTCCTACTCCGAGAGTAACTAAAGAATTAATACGCCATGCTTTATGAACCATTCTAGTTATACCTGTTGCCAAGTTGCTGTTGTGGGAACCCATCCACCCATTCGCATATGTTTCCCCAAACACCGGAATTGCAATCGCTCCTTTTATTATCCATCTAATTCCATCATGCCGGCCTCAAACTCCTCATCATCCATACCATACTCATCGCCCATGATCACGTCTTGTTCATTGCCGTGTCGTAAGTTTTCCAATGTTGCACCACCCTGCAACTCTCGGATCTTCTCTTCGTCCTCCTTCTCTTGGTGCTTCCGTAAATCGGTTACGCTCCAAGTACTGATGCCTTCGTGATCCTCTTGCTTGAACGGCTGAGCAATATTCTTTAAGAATTTCTTGGCACTACTAACGGCCATGTCGATACTGAGATTCGTGTCCGAATCCATCACGGCGTTGTTGATCCAACTTGGAAGTTGCGCCCTCTTTTTCATAAATCGACGATCAGCGAGAACCATTATCCCGTAATCGTCTTTACCTCTCAGTACACGGCCCAGGCACTGAGACGCATGACGCATTGCATCGAAAGATAGGAAATCGTTCTCTCGGATGCGGTATGTCTCCCGCAGAAATTCGAGTCTTGCCTTGAGAATTCGAGACTCTGTATATTGGAAAGGAACGCCAATACACAACACCGTTCTACCATATTGATGGTCAAAATCGATACCTTCGGAAACCTTACCACGAGCTACACAGAGAAGGATGGCCCCGCGCCCGTTGCAGCAAGCGGTCCGATAAGTCTCAAGCGCCAAAGATGTCTCTTGGGCATCGGGCGTCTCGACAAGGATAAGCTTGTATTTCCAAACCTCGTCCAAAATTCCCATCCCCTGCCACATGCTGATGATCGACTCCATGTAGAGGTATGATGGAAAGAAGACCACCATACCATCAGGCGTGATTTTGGAAAATTCGGTAAGTAAGTTACCGTAGTTCCTTACTACGCTGGGCTCGTTGCGAACTTGAAAGCCAGAAGATATAGCCACCTGGTCACTGCCGCGGGTCACAATCATTGGCAAGAATGATCGCCGTGCGAGTGTCATCTGATATGTTTCCTGCACAACTGTTGTGAAGTTGAGCATTTTGGGATACATCTCTAGCGGAGATAATGTCCCTGATGTGATAATCACTGAGCTGAATCTGTCAAAGACCGGCTTGATTGCGATTGCAGCATCAAGACATGTAAAATGCAGAACAGGATTTGGCACCTCCGCTGTATCTGACTCATATGGCTCAAGTATGAGAAGAAATCCTTTCTCATATGTTGCAACCAGTGTAGCGAACGTAGCAACTTGTTGAAGAGGTTGGTAATCTTCAATGTTTGTCAATTCCAACGTCCGAACGAGCGAGGTCAACCTCTCCGCACAAAACCGAAGGGGCTTTCTTTCGATGAATGTTGTCTCCTTGAGATGTGCTAGGAAGGACAAGGGTGTTTCGGAAATTACTTGTCGAACTCTCATCCGTGTCTGCAGAAGCACCAAGATTAGCGTCCAGGCACCAGACCTAGTATTGGCGCATGACTACCTTCAAGTATTCCACAAAACGCTTCAAAAATGCAACAAAATGTTCGGCTCGACGAATATTTCCCGGGACCGCTTCTTTGAGCAGGTCATCTGGCAAAGCTGTCGGTTGAAGTAAGCACAACAATTTCAATATGTATGCTGGTTGGAATACTCACCTGGATTTGACATGAACGTATCCTCTTCCCGAGCTTCATCTGCTTCACGAAGCCCCTCGACCAGTTTCGCATATTCATTCTGAAGTTTCTCCGCATCAGTGTCCTTAATTTCGCAAATCTTGGTTTCTAGATTCTGTGCTCCCCTCGTAGCCTTTCGTAATGAGTCCTCAGTAATATCCGTACTCAAAGACTCAATACAGACGTTGTCGATGTTGTGAGCTTCGTCAAAGACTACAATGCAGTCTTTCGAAAGCTCTTTCGACACACGTTCTGCGATCTTTGGGTCGAGAAGGTAATGGTACGAGTAGATTATGACGTTGCAAAATGGCATCTATAGAAATTAGGACCACGAGGTGGACCCCGAGCGCCAGGAACATACCATTCGCCGCGATGTGAAATATGGGCATTGCTTGTGCTCCTCGCCGTACCGCATAATGCCATCCAACGTCCACACGCCATTTGGTATCAGATCATGCGGCTCAAGTAGGTCCAGGTTCTAATCTGTTAGCAGCGCTTCAATAGATATCGTGCGTCTTGATCATAGTACCTCGTGGTATGTGCAAAGTTCGACGTCCTCGCCATTCTCTTTCTTGTCTTTCACAAACCCGGCCGTAAGGCTCCGGCAGCGAGCATCGACAATTGCTCCGCTCTTCTCCCGCTTCACGGAAGGATGCAAACAGAGGTTCTTCCTACTTGTCAGACCAAGGCCTCTAAATTCCTCCACGCGACCAAGCTGTTCAGTCCTATAGTTCATGAGGGCTTTCAACTCTGCAAGGGCCTTCTCGATCTCGGACATTGTGCCTACGGCCATTAGCTTATATCTCAATCCACTATGCTTCACTCACGTGAACAGTATATCAGCTTGCGGTGCTCGGGATAGTACTGTTGGTATGCCACGATCAACGAAAGGAGAGAGACCGTTTTTCCGGTCCCCGAGGGCATCTCCAAGACGCAATGACCCCCAGCATCGAGGGTCCCTGTTGCGTAGACCGTTAGTCAAGCTGCATCCATGAGAGTTGAGCAGGTAACGGACTCTTGAGATCGCACATGTATCTGCAAACGAAGGAGTCAGCGGAGTGTCAAAAATAGAGAGGTATAATGGCATACGCATATTGCTCTGAGTCAGAGTTAGCTAAAGTTCACTCACTACACGCACAGCCCGGATATCAGGGTGGGAGCTGAGGAGGGATGCTTACCTGGGTAGATTCTTGGATATGGGAAGAGGACTGGAAGGTCACTAGCTGTAATTAGTCAAAGAAAACTCAGAGGGCTCAGGGAAAGAGTTACTCTATGTTGAACTTCATTTTGGAGACAAATGGAAGTGTTGATATTATGCTAGGTTGAAGTGCATGGAACGTGAAGGTCGCGTTTTTTGGTCAGGAAGTTTGGCTCTTATGCTCCAGAGCACGAGACGAGGTGTGGTGCCTGAGCACTTGCAGTCACTCGACTTACCCACCTTAATTATAATTGTGACTCCACCAACAAACACCGCAAACCTATGGATTGTATCTCCAGTGTCTCAAATACATACTGTACTCTCTATAACTCTACCATTTCCCGATATAGAACCTTTTTCTGTTTATCAGGCAGACACGATTGAAGTTGGGGGCGATTAGGGCGATTAGGGCGATTGTGGCTGAAAAATGCTTTGGGTGATATCCCGTGACAGTATTGCTCAATGCAGGGAGAAAACGACAATTGTGCTGGAATATCTACAGTTATGTATCCCAATGGACCCAAAAGACGAGTCATGCCTAACTGAGGGCGAATTCCGCCGTCGCAGTTGCCGCATCTCGAGACGTGTCAATAGTTCTTTCTAGGTACACCTGATGGACATGTGCAATTACCTCACTGATGCCTGCGCCAAAACTACAGGAGGTGCCATCCTTATTCACTGCCTTGGCAATGTGTCTTCATAGACTTTGGCCTGGACAATTATCGTGAAAAGAAGCGCTTGTCGCCCTGAAAATAGATCGAGATTCACCGGGGCCGGCCAAGGCAGAGTTAGGCAGACAGCCACGTTGGGCCCTGAACTGCTCTTCCACCATGCCTATTCAGTGTCCAACAACCCTCGACGATGTTATTATTAAGAGGCTAATGTTGTTTATATTGCTTCTCCGACATCCACTTGCCTTTGGCTAGATGTTATATAAGTGTAAGTATTCCCATTTCGTTTCTCGGATTGACACTTCTTGGTACAATCACTTCTATCCAGATGCAAAATACTTTCATATATTTTCATTTTTATCTTCAAGTTGTCACATCTCCGCGGATATTCTCAAAGATATCAACCTCTGCCTGGGCCGGTTGACTCACCGGCTCTCTATCAAAACACCACCAGTGCTACCGTCAACATGAGTAGGCCTTCACATACACGGTCCCCGAGTCCGTCATACCATGATTTTCAGCGGGGATATTTGCCTCCTAGCCAACAGTCATGCAATGATGCAAATACAAGCATGCAATCAATGACCATATCGGATCATGAACCTTTCGGAAGCCCGACTGGCGACTATGCATTTGCGGGCTCGTCGTTCACGTCTCCCTATCCTCAGCAATCAACTGCGTCTGCCTTCACCGATTTGAATTCACCCCGGCAGGTCGCCGATTATGCACTACCACAGAGCTATAACCCTTATTCGATGGATGTTGTCCCGTCAAACCTAGCTACATCCCCAGGACAGATTCCATTTCCATTGTCAGGCCCACAATATTACCCACCTGACGGTACCTACAATGAGTCTGGCAGTAGTCAAATGATGGATAGCTCTGTCCATTGGGACCCTGGGCTAGTCGATCTATCTTCGTGCCAGCCATCTAACCCATATGTCTTGGATAATGTATTGGATACAGAGGATTGGCTGTCCCCCGTGCCACCCACGGGGTCAAGCTTTACTGGTGCAGATTCCAGTCTAAGCTATGACTCCGGGGCAGAGGGCGTAGTGCTGGGATCCAGCAGCACAAATGCTGGAAGCTCCCGCACAACCCCGAGCCAAGAAAAGCGCCCCCGGATAGTGACGACACGCGAGGACGGCAACTATGAGTGCACAGTGGACGGCTGTGGCAAGCTGTTCAATCGGAGCTATAACTATCGAGCCCACATGGAAACACATGATGCGGATCGAGTCCATCCGTTTATTTGCCCATTGCCTGATTGCATGAAGAGGTTTCGGCGGAAGACGGATTTGCAGCGGCACCATCAATCGGTGCATATAAAGGAGAAGAGCCACCAGTGCGAATACTGTGGCAGGTTCTTCTCGCGGAAGGATACTCTTGGAAGGTAATAAAGCCCAATCTAAGTGTAGAGAGTCAGGCTGACAAATGAGTGATATAGACACAAAGACGACGGATGTTCCAAGCAATTTAACTTATCAGTTTGAAGATCACAACCCATACTTGCCGCAGGGCTGATTTAAGCGATGCGGGGACAAAGAGACAACATCCCTTTGATTTAGCGCGATGTACGTATAGCGGATTTTACGGCCTTATCATGAGTGCTTTTTAGAGAGTAGCCGCGGTTACTTGTTTCAGCAGTTTTATATGAGATGCATATATCAATACTGGCAGATTGGACACTACAGCGGATTTGATTTGTACTAATTGAGACAGTATCGTTTTTTCTATTAGAACCTTTGTCTGAAAAGCGAGCATGTGATGTGCTTGGTGTGTTCCATGTGCAAAATAACCGTCTTCGATGGCGGTCCTTGAGAGAAGACGGAAAATAGCTAGCTTATACCGCTTCAAAGTCCACTCTCTTTCGAAGCTCTAATAGTGACTCATCTAAACATCCCGAAGGTGCTGGCCTCAAACCAAGTCTCACAAACAAAGAACCCCCCAAACTCACCAACCTCCAGAACTATCTACCCACTGCCTTCCATACCACAGAACTCACCTTCGACCACCAAACAATGCCTTTATCCCCCTCGTCACACCACATTCAACGCCTATATAACAGCCCGCATTCACCTTCACCCTCCCACCAAACCACCGAGTCCCTCATCAAACAACCATACAAAACGCAAGGCATCACATACACCTCGAGGCACCAGCACAACGTCCTACACCGACAACCAACACACATCTTGAGGCACCAGCACAACCTCCTGCACTGACAAACAACACAACACACCACCACCATGTGCAAAACAACACACACCCTCCACCTCCACTGCGCGCACATCAGCGCCCCCCTCCTCCCCTGCAGCACCCCCTCCCTCCCCTGCCAGCGTCGCAACGCGCTCAAGCCGCACCCGAGCAGCTGTCCAGAGTGCGAGCGGAAAGAGGAGCTGCTGGATAGGGAGGTGCGGAGGTTTTTGGCTGCTGGTCGATTTGGTGGAGGTGGGGATACTGGGGGAGGATGGGGTAGGGATGTGGTGGGGGGGGTGGGCAAGGGGCGCGAGTGTTAGAGGGGTGGAGTGGATGGTGGATGGGCGAACGATGAGGCGCTCTTAGAACAGGTATACGATGCATGCGGGGAGGTAGAGGTAGAGGCTTGGATACGGTGCTTTGATACGAGTCTCCGGCCAGTCAGCCGTGTTGAACATGAGGTGGCGTGAGTATGCCTGGGATGGATACGTGTTGGATAGTAATCCCCGCCATCGTTATTACGAGGCTGGCCCAGTTTAGGTTCCTTCGTGTGTTAGCGCCAGGATGGCGGACACAGTGTTATTAGAAATATAAAGATTTATACAGAACAGCAGCCGCATATCTAAGTGAGAGCAAGTATCGTACTAAAGAGAAATGGCATATATGCACCATCTAAATAGACATTCAATCGCTAAAGAAACGTAGAAACGTGATCATAAAACAGAATTACAATTGAAGGTCCAATAGCCAGCTATGAAGATATCAGACGAGCCAAACGTGCTGCCCAAGAAGTAACAAGAAACTATATACAAAAAGAAGCCCATCTGTCTACGAGCAACCCCGTTTCGAACTCAGATAAGATACAGCGCAGCCAAGACCGAGCTAATCACGAATCCAAACCCTCCAACCTGCGCCGTCCCAACTGCCGCGCTGCTAGTCTCGTGCGGCGCCGCAGTGGCGCCAGTAGCGGCAGGGGATCCGGTGGTCGCGATAGGAGTAGGCACGTTTCCGTCCGTGAGGCGCCTGACCTCGAGGCCCGTGATGACGGTATCATCGCTGTTCTTGACGACCTGCTTAACCTTCAAGTTGTCGATGGTGACGAGTTTTCCGTTCTTAGGGCTCTTGACACCGGCCTTGATGAGCGCCGCGAGGCCGTCGTTGGGTGGGCTGGGGATCTTGGTGAAGTCGTTAGGGTACCCCTTGTCCTTGATGAGGGAGGACACGCACTTGGGGAAGGGCGCTGCGGCGGCCGAGGAGGAGGTGCTCTGGAGCTCGGTGATGTTGAGCTTGGCGAGCTGGCCTTGGAAGTTATCGTAGTCGACCTTGAGTTTTGCGGAGCCATCCGAGTTCAGGACTACCAGGCCGAAGTCGTTCTTTTCCTGGGTGTACTCGTAGACGACGCCACCGCTGAAATAGGGGCTCATCTTGGAGCTGTAGAGCGCGGCGGTCTCGTCGAAGATGCGGGGACGGATCTCTCTGCAGCCGTACTCGGACATGAATACTGGGACGCTGCTCTTCTTGAACATGTCCACGAGGGTGTTGTAGCCGGCCTCGGTAAAAGTGGCAGGGCCGCACCAGGAGTAACTGTTGAGAGCAAAGACATCGGTGATGGAGTCATCTGTGGCGTCTCCGGTCAAGCTGCACTGCATGTAGTTGAAGGTGTCAATGAGGACCTCACGGACATCAGCGGCGGAGTAGCCGACTGGGATGGGGCGGTCCGAGTGGAGCTTGATGTATTGCTTGAGATCACGGGTAACAGCCTTCATTTGATGTCAGTGTCGGACTAGTAGAATCAAGGAGAGGGGGGGGGGGGCGCTACTCACTCTGATGTATGGCACGGTAATGGCGGTTGGCACATCGTTGATGACTTCGTTTGCTGAGAAGAACAGCAGAGTGTTGGGGAAGTTCTTGAAGGCCTCCACGACCTTGAAGGTCTGCTCCAGGTAATCATGGTTGTAGCTTTCCCACGGTGCCTCTCTACTCAGGGCCTCATTCGGCCTAGGGGAGTTGACATCGATCATCATATAGATGCCAGCAATGTTAAAGATCGATGCGCACTCATCGTGGTTGATATCCGGAGACAAGTTGTACACGCGAATAGTGTTAACGCCAATTCTCTGGAGCAGAGCAGCATCCCTCAAGCACGTTTCCGCATTGCTGAGAGGGTCCTGTCCTGACTCAGGCTTGTAACCCGCCTCTCCGCCGGGCTGGTACGCAGCTCCGATGACCTGGAATCGCTGGCCCGAAACAGAGTTGACAAAGTCGGTCCCCTTGACGATGAGCGGGGTGACAGCAGTCGCAGCCTGGGCGCAGAGAGCCAGAAGCGCAACTTGGGACTGGTGATTCAATGTCAGCACGCGTACTCACCATGTCTTCACCCAAAATCCAGCCCGCGGTGAGGCAGACCTGTGACACACGAATCGCATGGGTTGACCGCTGTCGCGGGTGGTTCAAAGGGTTCACTTACAGCGCGTTTCATGGCTGTTATTCCGTTATTAATTTGGGTATGAAATAATCGCCGATGCTGCAACAAAACACAATAGACCGCGCGATCACAAGATAAGAGGCAAAAAGAGTGGGCCTCTGAAGGAAGAGATAAAAATGAGCGTGGTTGTTTCAGTTCGTGAATGACAAAAGGTGCGACGAAGTCGATATTCGCGGGGGGGGATATGGGTGAGATACGTTAGTAAATACCAGGACTCTTGCAGGCGGCTGGCGCGTCTGTTTCTGCCCGCGGCGCCCGCCCTTGTACCTCGTAGTTGACAGTTTTGACAACCTCAGGGTCCTTTCCCCATTTACTTTAATCTCACGATGCACGAGGCTCGTAACGTTGTCTTGGTGTTCTCTGTTGTCATATCTGACTATTGAAGCTATTTTGTAGCTGGCTGTTGGCTGCTGTACGTACGGCTGCACGGCTGAATACGAGTAGCTAGAGACGAGGAGGTGTATCATACAGTACTTCCAACCAGCAGCATCTCATCTTGAAGTTCTATACTCGGGCACGTTTTGCATCATCATCATCTCCGTAACTACCGTACCACAGAAGAAAAGAACAAAAAGAGCGGCATGGCAGCTACTGTAGGATCTCCCCGACTAGACCATGCTAGAGCGTCTGGTGGTGTGGTTCATCGATCGACAAGTGGCTCACCGTCATTTAACAGATGTCAGAATTGCGGCACATTCCTCGAAACACGTAATTTAAATCTCAAAAAAGGCCCCAACTGCTCCTGTGGCAGAAAGAACTCGAGACAGTACAGATCTCACATCGTCTTTATCATTAGGAAGTATCTATTGCAGGCGCCCCATCAGAGCAAATATCCCCCACATGCAGACCCATGGTCCAACATGGGACAATTTTTTCAAGTACATTTATTACTGTTAATCCCCAAAACCTGAGCTCTAGGCAGCGCCAAACTCCTTCACGTCGCTGGCCTCGAAGCGGCCCGGCACAAGCGCCAAAGGCACGATGCCGCTGACGTGCATGTCCGGTCCGTAGACGTGCATGTCGAGCTTCAGCTCCTGGCCGACAGCCTTGATGTTCTTCAGTCCCTCCTGGTAGTTGGGTCCGGCACGTCTAACCCAGATCTTAACCTTGTGCTCAATGATGCTTGGTGCATACTCGCGGATGGCCTTGATGACACCCTTGAATGTGGAGGCGACGTTGGTGAAGTTGGCAATACCGCCGCCAATGAAGAGGACCTTGCCCGCGTCGGTGGGAGGGGCGCGGAGCATAAGGTCCAGGACAGTGCGGGCGTAGTGGTAAGTCTGCGACTCGGTGGGCGCTCCGGAGTATTCGCCGTAGTTGGCGAGCTCCTCAGAGAAACCCGAGCTGGCGATAGCGTCGGCGTAGACGACGGACGCACCACCACCAGCGACAAGAGTCCAGACTCTGCCGGTGGGGTTAAGGACGGTCAGCTTCAGCGAAGCACCAGTTTTCGCGTCGAGCTCGGCGATGTATGCCTCCTCCTTGGTCAGCTCACGGCCGAAAGGCGCTGGGAACTCCATTGGTGGGCCAGCGTCAATGTTAACGCGACCATCGGCCGCCTTGACAGCGGCCATGCCAAGAGCAGCTGGCGAGCGTGCAGCAGCCCACTTGGCACCGCACTCGAACTCAGCAGTCTGGTCGAGCTTGGCAGCCAGATCCAGGAAGAACACATCGGCGGAGGTGGCATCCTCATTTGGGATGGCAACCAATGGGTTGATTTCGAGGTATGTGAATTGGCAGTCAACGTAGACGGCGTAGAGTCTGGTGATGAAGTCGACGAGAACGTTATGGATTCCCTTTGGCACCTTCGACAAGAGAGTAGCAGCAATCTCCTCGTTCGATGGGTATTCCTTCAGGTCCACGGGAATGAGAAGCTTCTCGGCCTTCTCATCAACGTCGCCAACATCAACACCACCCTCGTGAGTGAAAAGGATCCAGTCGCCCTGTGAAATCAAATACGTTAGTAGAGTTTAACGATATAAAATAAAACGAGGTATATTCAAAATGAAGATAACAGTATGCATGGGAGATAGTAGGCATGGGCTAGGACGGCCGAGAATATGCAGGCTCAGAGCGTTGTGTTTGTTGGTTGGTGGGTGTGCGGAGCACCTCCTTCTCTAGCCGCCGTTCGTCCGAAGACTGAGCCGATAGCCAACCCAAAATTCATTAAAAGGGCCGTCCCCAAACTTTTCCTTCGTGCAGTGCATTTTCAACTCACTTGTTTTGATATACAGTCGCTTGACGCATATATTTGCATTTTGGCAATTGTTATGCCGATCTTGCAACTCGGCACAGAACTCCATGATACTTGTCACAAAGTTCACGGGTTCAAGCCGCACTCTGGATTTCTATCAATCGCCATGGAAATTTTTGAACGTACCTCGCGAACAGAGTTGATGTTGATATAATATTCGGTTCCGTCTGGGTGAGGCACGAATGGCTCAACCAAGAACTGCCTCAAGACACCGACAACGGACTCGACCTTTTGGGGCTTTCCGGCACGCTCTTGGATCCATGCCTTCGCCTCAGACCATGTCTTGTTCAGGGCGAGCAGACCGCTCTTGCCGCGACGCTTGATGAGCTGATCTGGCTTGGCGACAAATTTGGCGCCTGGCTGTAGCAGCCATGGGAACGAAACCTCGGCCTGGTCGAGAATCGCCGAAACCTCTGCGTCTGCTGGGAAGTAGAGCGAGGCGAGTTTCGAGGGAGGGTTGTGTGTGGTAGATTTCGGGAGAGGGGATGGCTTGATGACGGCGGCGCGGGTGAGGTGGTAGTTGAGAATGGCCTTGCCATCAGCTTCGAGGATCGCTTTGGCAGACATTGTGGGTTATGTCGGAATCGGCGACTGTGCAGCTTGTTAGTTAGTCTCTGTCACCGCGCGACAATTGGCACATCCGCGAGCATTTCAACGTCGGTGGATTGATCCCCAAGGTCTTAGCTTCGTTTGCGGTGGTACCCCGGCCATAGCCACAGTCGCGAAAAACACAGGTCACACGACGTTTGGGGGAATCAGGAGTCTTCGACGTTGAGGGCAGCGGCGGGGGGGAACGAGCTCGCAAGCTCTGGAGGTAACTCACCAAAAATTGAAAACCTGCGATCAAGCGACAGCTACGAAGAATTGTACTTGTGCAGCGGAAAGGCGACAATTCAGTTGATATGGGTTATTGAGAGGGCGTGAGGAGTTTGAGGGATGAAGAGGGAAGAGGGAAGAGGGAAAAGGGAAGAGGAAATAGGAACAGTGGTGGAGTGGTGGAGTGGAATTGGACGAGAGGAGGGTGTGGAAGCTGGTGGGTTGTGTTGTGGTGATGGAAGAGGAACAAAAATAAATTGATGAGGGGGGTGGGTTTGGCGGGCGGTTCACACATCCAGCTACAGTATAAGCCTACAGCTAACGGTACAGTAGGGGGATACATGTCCAGGGTACGCGAGTATTTGGGGGGGAATTTTTGTGCATCCCAGGGCGGTAAGTCTCTCTCTTCGTCAGTGTCTTTGGGAGTTGTGTTTATCCCCCTCAACTCGTATTTTTGTATTAGTCGTTTTATTATTAGTCGTTCTACTCCGTATTATGAGTCGTTTTGATTTCTCGTTTTGGTTCGTTTGGTGGTGTTGTCGTTGTGATCTCTTCGAGTCTCGAGCTATTGAAGGGTGAGGAGTTGGATGGTGAGTTGGTGGTGGGGAGGGGGGTGGGGAGGTGGGGAGGTGGGGAGGTGGGGAGGTGGGGAGGTGGGGAGGTGGTGACCAGTCAACACAGAGCCAACAGAGGCCAAGCGAGGAGCTAAATCGACCAATGAGGAATGGCCCGAGGGTGGGATGAGCCATCCCACCGGCCATCCGCCCACGGCCATCCGCCCACCATCCGCCCACGGCCCACGGCCCACGGCCATCCTCCCACCGCCCGCCCACGGCCCACCGGCCATCCGCCCACCGCCCACCGCCCACCGCCCACCGCCCACCGCCCACCGCCCATCCTCCCACCGCCCATCCATCCTCCCACCGCCCATCCTCCCTCCCACTCCCACCGCCCATCCCACCCTGCAAGGTCCCGTCCCAACCATCGCCCATCCCATGCAAATCCGTCCCAACCATCGCCCATCCACCATCCATCGCCGCGACCTTATTGTCCGGCCACGCTTACTCGAGTACCACGACCAGCACTACGTACGTACCCCATGTATACCACCGTGTATGCTCCGTACGGCCCCATGCAGTTATTCCCCCGTACAGAATGTACAATGTACATTCTGTACATTCTGTACGGTCTGCGGTGGGATTACGATGCTATTATGCTGTATAGTTGGTATAGCTGGTTATAGTTGGTATAGCTGGTTATAGTTGGGTATAGCTGGTTATAGCTGGTTATAGTTGGGTATAGCTGGTTATAGCTGCTTATAGCTGCTTATAGCTGCTTATAGCTGCTTATAGCTATAACTCCACCCCACAGTACGACAGTACGACAGTACGCCTCAGCACCCCACCCCACCCCACCGTACACTACACTACAGTACTGTTCATCGCATCTACGGACTACACTACTACTCCGAGTACTTCTACCCCAACCGACTCTACCGTGCCCTACGCCAACAACACTGTACTCGAGTACATCTTTCACAAAACCTGTACTTGTCCAACCCAACAACCATCCACATCCACCGACCGCCTACCCCCCCAACCCACCCCCCAACCCACCGCCTATCCCCCCAACCCACCACATAACCCCCCCAACCCACCACATAACCCCCCCAACCCACCACATACCAGCGGGGCCAAGACACCACCACCACCACCACCACTACCAACCCCGTCTCAATCTTCAAAAACCTCTCCCAAGAAAAGGTTCTGGCGCCTCCTCAACACAACTCTCCTCTCCTTTGGCTTGTACTCACCTTCCAATCCTTCCCACTTCCTACCCTCCTCTCTTCTCCATCATCACCTTCCTCCTCCCATATCCACCATAATTACAATCCTCAATTCCTGTCGCACACCAATCGCTCACGAAGCTCATTGTTGAAGCTCCTTTCCCCCAACCATTTCTTGTGAGCACTTGAACCACTCGCCCTTTCATCCTCCCACAACCCCCCCCCCGCTCCACCTCTCTCCCACAACCGTACCGTCAATTGTCCCATTTCTAACCCTCAAATCGCTCCAGAACCCCGAACCTCCCGCCATGCCTTCCGCTATCCCAAGTGGCACAACCGGTGCTGGTTCTGCCTCTCCCGCGACCGGACCGGGCGCGGGCAATGCCAACGACAACATCCGCCGCTTCGCTGCTCCCAGCCGGCCTTTGAGCCCTCGTGCTGAGCACGCTCTCTTCCACAACAAGACGCGATGCTTCGTGTACGGTCTGCAGCCAAGAGCCGTGCAGGGCATGCTCGATTTCGACTTCATCTGCAAGCGCTCCACACCATCCGTTGCGGGTATCATCTACACTTTCGGTGGACAGTTCGTCAGCAAGATGTACTGGGGAACCAGCGAGACCCTCCTCCCTGTTTACCAGAGCGTAGACAAGGCGATGGCCAAGCACGCTGACGTCGATACCGTTGTCAACTTTGCTTCGTCGCGCAGCGTGTACCAGTCCACCATGGAGCTCATGGAGTATCCTCAAATTAGGTCCATTGCCATTATCGCCGAGGGTGTCCCAGAGAGGGTAAGCATGATCGAAAAAACCCCCTCGCAATCACACGGCATTAGCTAATTGTAACAGCGTGCACGCGAGATCCTACACGTTGCGAAGAAGAAGGGTATCACCATCATTGGCCCGGCCACTGTTGGTGGAATCAAGCCCGGAGCATTCAAGATCGGCAACACTGGTGGCATGATGGACAACATCGTGGCGTCCAAGCTCTACCGCCCTGGCTCCGTCGGATACGTCTCCAAGTCCGGAGGCATGTCCAACGAGTTGAACAACATCATCTGTAACACAACCGATGGTGTCTACGAGGGTGTTGCCATTGGTGGTGACAGATACCCCGGCACGACATTTATCGACCATCTCCTCCGATACCAAGCCGACCCAGACTGCAAGATCCTCTTATTGCTGGGTGAGGTTGGTGGAATCGAGGAGTACCGCGTCATCGAGGCCGTCCAGGACGGAACCATCACCAAGCCAATTGTTGCCTGGGCGATCGGAACCTGCGCGAGCATGTTCAAGACCGAGGTTCAGTTCGGACACGCTGGATCGTTCGCCAACTCGCAGCTCGAGACCGCTGCCAACAAGAACAAGGCCATGAAGGAGGCCGGCTTCCACGTCCCCGAGACCTTCGAGGACATGCCCGCACTCCTCAGCTCTGTGTACCAGACCCTCGTCAAGGCCGGCAGCATCAAGCCAAAGGCCGAGCCGATCGTGCCCAAGATCCCTCTCGATTACTCGTGGGCGCAAGAGCTTGGCCTGATCCGAAAGCCAGCCGCCTTCATCTCCACCATCTCCGATGACCGTGGCCAGGAGCTTCTGTACGCCGGAATGCCCATCTCGGATGTCTTCAGAGAGGACATTGGAATCGGCGGTGTCATGTCCCTCCTCTGGTTCCGTCGCCGTCTCCCGGACTACGCGAGCAAGTTCCTCGAGATGGTTCTCATGTTGACTGCCGACCACGGCCCCGCCGTCTCCGGTGCCATGAACACCATCATCACCACCCGTGCCGGCAAGGACCTCATCTCCGCCCTCGTCTCCGGTCTCCTCACCATCGGCTCCCGCTTCGGTGGCGCCCTCGACGGCGCCGCCGAGGAGTTCACCCGGGCCTACGACAAGGGTCTCAGCCCACGTGACTTCGTCGACAGCATGCGCAAGCAGAACAAGCTCATCCCCGGCATCGGGCACAAGGTCAAGTCGCGCAACAACCCCGATCTCCGCGTCGAGCTCGTCAAGGAGTTTGTCAAGAAGCGCTTCCCCAGCTGCAAGATGCTCGACTACGCCCTCGCCGTCGAGTCCGTCACCACCTCCAAGAAGGACAACCTGATCCTCAACGTCGACGGCGCCGTCGCCGTCTGCTTCGTCGACCTGATGCGCAACTGCGGCGCCTTCAGCGCCGAGGAGGCGGAGGACTACCTCCAGATGGGTGTCCTCAACGGACTCTTCGTCCTCGGTCGCTCTATCGGTCTCATCGCCCATTACCTCGATCAGAAGAGGCTGCGTACTGGCCTGTACAGACATCCTTGGGATGATATCACCTACCTCCTCCCTACGCTGCAGTCGGGCGCGCCGGGCTCGGAGGGCCGTGTTGAGGTGCAGATGTAGAGGGGCCAAGGGAAGGCATGGGGGGGGGGGGCTGTAATCTAATCTTTGCTGCTTGGGAGTTTGACGCGCTATGCTAGCTGGTGTGTCACGGTCATATTGTTGATCGACGTTGAAAATCATTGACATTAGGTCATGCAAATAATGAACATAAAATTTATAGAGCAATCTTCACTGAGCCTGTTTGCGTGTGACCTTGCGTTCAGTGAGTGACGACTACTCGTACTTTGGATCAACGTGCAATGATCGTCTCCCCCCTTGTAGAAGTATAGTCCAATAAAAACCCGAGTAATGTTATGCTGCTTTACCACTCGTACGAGTATACCTTTTGACTTGGCAAAACATGAAATGCGACAGAACTGCCAGGCAGAGATATTATAATTAACTCAACCATATCAGCCTACCTAACACTGAACAACGTATATAAGCTATCGCGTTCCCCAGCCACCCGCCCCCCCCCCAGTACCAAACAGCGTAATGGAAACGCGCCGTATACCCTCGCCGCTTGGGATTAGCCGCCAAACCCACAGCCAGATCTAGCAATATCTCAAAGCTACCACCGAACTCCCTCCCGTCAAAAATCATCCATCAAGCACACCCTGCTCGAACTTATCCTTTGTCTGCAGAACCCTGTGAATGAATTAGTCCAAAACGCCCCAAACTCTCTACTTCCGCCCTGGGTAAAACTTACGAATACTGCTTCACCAGCACCCCCTCCCCCCCCCCCTCCATATCAATATTAAATACATAAAACCCCCCATCACTCGTAACCACCATGACCTGCGGAAAATTACTACTCATCGCCACCACGCTCCTCATCTGCCCATTCCCGCTCTCCCCCAGCGAACTCTTCGGGATCTTGATAAACGCAAAGTCCCGCGCTGGTTCCCACATCTCCGTCACCCCCTTCGGAAGGTAGCCGCCCATGGCCCCAACGACATTCTTGCCCATCAGCTGAGACGTGCGCCGGAACATGGAGCCGAGGGTTCCGCTGGATTTGCGGGTTGGGAGCGTAGTGCGCACCTCGGAGCCGGGGGAGGTGCCGGAGGAGGTTGCGCTGTCGTGGCTGCGTCCGCCGGACATGCGTTCGCCGCCTGGTGAGCCGGGGGATGTAGGGCGGCTAGAGGGAGAGGTGAGGCGGAAGATGTGGACTGTGTCTGTGGTTGAGGAGACGCAGAGGAGGGTGGAGGAGGTGTTGAACGACATGCTGTAGATAGTGGAGGGGTAGGAGCCCCGGCGGAACTGGTACAGCTTGTCGCCGCTCGGGACGGAGAAGACACGGATGATGGTCCCTGTCTCGGAGGCGGTGGCGAGGCGCGTGCCGTCGTTGCTGAGGGCGATGCAGGAGAGGGGGGCGCGGTGGGCTTCGACGACGTTGATGTTTTTGAGGGTGAGGGTGTCGAAGATTAGGACTTCGCCTGAGATCGGGGGGACGAATTTGGAGGTTGGGGGAGCGTGGGCGGGGCGCTTTTCTCCGGGCTCGTCGCGTGCTTTGGGGAGGGGGTAGGCGAGGAAGCAGTTGTCGGAGGAGGGAGACAGGGCGCATAGTGCGTGGGGGTTTGGCGAGGTTGAGATCGTGTAGAGAAGGTTCATGTTTAGGATGTCGTAGAGGTATATTTCCTCTTCGAGTACTACCACGAGTCGTTTTCTATTCAGGCGCACTGCAAGTACAGCGGACGGGAACGTGAGTTCACAGATAGTCGAGGATCTCTGTATGGTAAGTTAGCCCAAGATTCGGTGATGTTGGGGAGACTGAAGAGGATTTGCGCTCACTAACTTTTGTATTCCGTATCACCAGGCGCCGCGGGGATAAAACAAGGGCGACGAGGGAAGTCGAGAACATCATCTCAATAATCGAGACATTATCTTCATCACTCTTGAAGGCAGGTCGGAACTCGGGGTCGCTATGGTAGATTCGGAATCCTTTCGAAGTACCTATCGACAAAGCATCAGCCACCTGCACCTGCGGGAGCCGGACCTGCCCTACCAATAGCAAGACGACTATAGTCCTGGTTGAAAGTAACGAAATTCATCGTCATCGTCTTGTGGTTATCTCACCACTACTCGAGGGTTGAGCTGTATGGGTAGCGGCGCAAGTGCCTGCGCGGAACAATGCTCTTGTTGCCGGCGACCAGGACGAGTCTTGTGGTTGGAGAGAACAAGTGGCTCGAGGATTGGGTAACTAAATATATCTCGGACGCCTAAAGAACCGAGTCGTTGCCCTTGGAATCCGAGGTTGAGGTGCCCTGTGGCTGTCAAAGAGCTGGCTGGCGCCTCTTTCCTTGTCGGTGATGTGGTCCAGCGGCCCGCCTTTGGTCCACCTTGTTACTACCAGTGGCTGAAGGTCTTGCAAGGTCTTTCAGGGGACCAGACTAACAGGACAACACTACTAATAACGATTTGCTTGATGAAGCAAGGAAATATAGAACCTCTTTATATAATATAGGTAAATTATCTGTAACTTATATAATGACATAATAAGTAATGAATCAAGAGCTGATCGTCGTTCAGAGAAAACGGCTTCTGCACAGAAGGCTGACTGGTAACGCACGGTCCACACCTTATTCAGGCCCTCAAAGTACAAAAAATTACTCCCACGTACGTACAAAACGAGGGGCATAAATCGTAAAACATTTTTGATGTCTATCTGTATTAAGTCTCACCCAATGAAGGGTGGTGGACGGCTTCGGCCCAAGGCATCGAAGCAGGATGACTCGATTATGGGGGTAAGTGGTAAACTTCATATTATATCTTCCTCCACATCTTTTTTTATGGACAAAGCTCTGATAGATATCGCAGACCAACAACAGCAGTATCGTCTCCAAGCGCAGCGTCGAACGCCTATACTACCCAAATGAGCCACATTTCTTCCGCTACTTCGTCAAAAAGCCTCAAAGACGAGCACCCCTGATTAATAGAGGCTATTGGTTGCGCATGAAAGCGATAGATCACGTGGTCAGCCAGTTTTTAAAGGAGACCACGGGGAAGAGAAAGATTGTTGTCAACCTAGGCTGTGGATAGTAAGCGGGAATTATAGTTTAGGGGTATTTTACTAGACACGTACTAACGATATCAGTGACCCTCTCCCATGGCAATCCTGGGCGAGATACCCGGAAGCATCACGAGATGTTACATTTGTGGACATCGACTATAGGGATTTGATTCTCAGGAAGAGAGATATGGTACAGCAAACAAGCGAGCTTAATGGCGTTCTGAAGAACGTGGAATATCCTGAAGATGGCGATATCCTACTACGAAGCGAACAATACCTGCAGGTTGGCTGTGACCTGCGAGATCTCACAAAGCTCGAGAAGTTCTTCTCCTCGGAGTTTGACTTGAGTAGCAGCGTCGTCTTCTGCACTGCGGAGGTTTCGATTGCATACATGGACGTCGAGACTTCTGATGCTTTAATCAAATGGATTGGATCGCTCCCCTACTGTTAGCTCTCCACCCGAAATTTACAGCTGACAACCTGCTGACTCTGTAGCTCTATTTTGCCTTCTGGAGCAATTACTCCCCAATGGACCACGCCATCCATTTGGAAAGACCATGTTGGCGCATTTCGACAAACTTCAAACGCCACTGAGGCCTGTTTTGGCATATCCAACCACACAAGATCAGGTGAATCGATTCAAAAAAGCGGGGTGGGCAGATGCCCGTGCTCGGAATTTATGGGAACTTTGGGGATCTTCAGACTTCCTTTCCTCCAAAGAGCGTATACACCTGGATGAAGTTGAGCCCTTCGACGAATGGGAAGAATTTGCTCTTTTTGGGTGCCATTACACGCTCCTCGAGGCATCTAATGTGCACCTGCCCACAACCCAGCCTCAGAACACGGAAATAGCTGCCGCTTCTGTTGGGAAAACGGACCCCGAACCAGTGTCTGTGAAAGGGGAAATGGAATACACTGAGTCCTCTAAGTTAAATGGGATAAGGAGGTTTGGGGCATCATTATCTGTTAAGGGTGACAATGGTTGCCCAGATCTGAAAGGCAATTTTGGTGGTATGGGTCTGAATAACCGGCTAGGTTCAATTGATGTCTTCGCAAGCGCATCGCAAGGCGGATCATCCCCTCCGGGTCCTACGCTACGTATAAAACCCGAAACCCGCATGTGCCACACTCTGACAGAGATTGGAGATTGCGGTTCACTGCTTGTGGGTGGACGATCGTCGCCAGACAAGGCCTTTGCGGACTGCTGGCTATACTCGAAACTATCTCATACGTGGGAACGTGTTGACGATATTCCAGTAGGCAGATATAGGCACTCCGCATTTGCTCTGGGCGATGGCTCGGTGCTTGTGACAGGCGGAAAGAAGGATTCAAACACTGTACTGAGTGACACGCTTATTTGGAATCGCAAAACAGGCTGGAAAGAGTGTCTTCCCGACCAGGATGGTAAACCACAGGTATTTGGCGCACTGATGATCTCTGATGTTATCTCCACAACCTCCACAACCTCCACGACGACGAGTGGCTTCCTTGTTGGTGGAATGTTGACCGACGGGCGAGTCTCGACAGATCTCTGGTCATGGGAGCTTCAGGTAATAAATTATCTCCAAACTACACCGAGAGAAGCTAATGTCTATCATAGAAATATCCACGCGAGCGGTCAATAAGATGGAGCTGCCACGGCAAAGCTGCTGGGGTAGAGAACCAATATTTGCACCGATTTGGCGCATGTTGGGCAAACTACGACGGGAAATCGTTGGTGGTTGGTGGTATAATGCCTGGCAACCTGATTCCAGAACACGCCGAAACAGTGGCTCTCGATATCGAAAGCGACGCAGGACGAATTAGGACAAATCTAACGAATATAGAACGATGCAACACAAGGCCGCTACTGATCGGTCACTCCGTTGCAACGTCCAGCAGGAGCATGTTGATCATGGGTGGAGGAGCTGTATGCTTCTCATTTGGCACATTTTGGAACAAAGGCTGTTATACCATTTTATCGGCCGATGAGGATGGAGGTAATCTTCAAGAGTCAGACAAACAGGTCACTGGTAGTTCTGAGCCGTGGAGTTACTTGAATACTGTTGATTCGGAATCGAGCCACCCCCCTAAGGTCTCATTACGGCCTTCACCGCTTGAGAATCAGAAGCCTAGAGAGCCTATTATCATCGCGCGGAAGAAGATTTCATCGTGGACGGATTTCGTGGCCATTTTGTCTTCGGCGGAGCCAGTAATTTTGGAGGGCCTCGACATGGGCTCATGTACAGATCTGTGGACTAATTCCTATCTTCTAGACCGTATTGGTCAACATCGAGATGCAAGTCACTTCATTTCCTAGGATTCAAGCTTTCTAACTTATATAGGTAACCGTCCACCAAGCCATCGAGGATCGCATGGACTTTGTATCAAAAAACTTCCAATATGTCACAAAGGACTTTGGTAGTTTCATTGAATCTATCGGCAAAGGAGAAAAGCTCTATCTACGATCATTGGCAATTGGCAAGCCATTAGAGTTGCCTGCCGACATATCTCGCGACTTCCCAGAAATAGCAGGAGACTTCCATCTCCCACGAGAGCTTGTTGTGGTTGAAGAGAACCAGCACAGTTCACCTCTGAGAATCTCTGGTCCGGTCACTATGTGGCTTCACTATGATGTTATGTCTAACGTTCTTTGTCAAATCCGAGGCCAAAAACGACTTCTGCTCTTCCCTCCTGGTGACGTGGAGTATTTTGGTTTCGCTCCTGGGGCATCTAGCTCCAGCGTAGATGCCTTTGGGGATTTAACTGGTACCAAGGCAGCCGCAAGCCATCCGCATGAAGCAAATATGAAACCAGGCGATATACTGTTCCTGCCATCGCTTTGGTTACACACCGCGAAGCCATTGGACGGAGTAAGTGTTTCCGCCAATGTCTTCTTCAGAGGCCTACAGCATGGGTACGCTGCGGGGAAAGACATATATGGAAACAGGGACTTGCAGGCATATGAAAAGGGAAGACAGGATATCAGCAAGCTCAGCAAGACGTTTGAAAACCTACCACCTGACACTCGAAAGTTCTATCTATTGAGGTTAGCAGATGAGTTGGACCAGAAGGCCCGGTCATCTTGAAACAATGAAGAAACGTTTGAACTATAGTACTCTACATGGACGTGACTGTCCCTAATGTTCGCTCTGTAGTCACAGCGCCGCCATGGCTTTACTTTGTTGGCTCCAAGAAGCACTGGCAAGGTTAGAGATCGAACAAGCTTGCACTGATGGTGCACACCATCGGGATCGCCACAAAAGCAAAACGAAGACATTCTGCGGAGTGGCGGGCCGGATGGTGACTCGCGGAAACGTGGACGAGATGGCGAGACATCGGTAAAACATACTTTGATGGGAATAGACGACAACGTTGTTCGAGGTCAGGAGCAACAAATTCTCCATGCTGTACGTACAAAGGGGGAGCAGCGATTTTCTCCAATGCACCAGCATGACATTCATCACATACATCGCATCCTGCGCATTAAATTGCATATGGATATAGTATACTCTTTACCCTGTACGGAGTACACCCTTCCATCCGTCGTAATATAAATACTCGTCGGTTCTGGTCCGAGATCAAAAACTCGGTTGAGCTTTGGCAGCCATGAAAAGGCCAAGAGGAGCATGATTATTCCCTCCCATCTAGACCACACAAATCACACAAATAATAAGCCAGTAGCCAACAGCTTTCTCACTTGAAGCCCGTTCCTATGTCCGGAATTTCCTATATCAGTCTTCCTCCTTCCTTTACCCTCCTCAACTTCATCTCTGTCTATAACTTTGTGAAAAGCTGTTGGGCTCCGTAAAAAGATAAAGTCGATGGAACCCCCACCAACAGTGGGAGAACTTGGCACTTCCTCGCCCCCCTCTCCAACCACACCTGACACATTGACGAGAAAAAGGCCAACATAGAAAAGGAGGCGGCCACGTATGTTTCGACGGCGCAACCACAAGATCACGATCAAGATGCCGAACCTGCCCGGGAAAGATGGAATTCCTCATCCACAAATATCACCCGTTACCTCCAGACCCTCCTGGCCTTCCTGGTCATGGGCGTGAGCGATGCCTCCCTTGGAGTGAGTTTCCCCACGTGATTAAGCTTATATTTTATACTGACTCTGTTCGAAGGCTTTACTCCCATACGTAAGAGACCCTCTGCCCTGTCCCTCTTCTGACCTGAAAAATGAGCTAACAAGGTGCTAGATTGAGGAATATTACAAGATCAACTACGCCATAGTGGCCTGCATGTTCCTCAGCCCCTTCGCCGGCTACACCCTCTCCGCGTTCATGATCAGCAAAATCCACATGCGCTTCGGCCAAGTTGGAATCGCCGTTATTGCTCCAACCTGCAAGATCATTGCCTATGTCATCACCTGCGTGCACCCGCCCTTTCCAGTTGTCCCTGTCTTTTTAGTCCTGACTGGTCTCGGTAATGGCCTTGAAGACGGAGCCTGGAACGCTTGGGTGGGCAACATGGAAAATGCCAACGAGTTGATGGGCATCCTCCATGGCGCATACGGACTCGGTGGCGCCATTGGCCCCTTAATCTCTACCGCCATGGTCACAAAGGGTGGTCTGCACTGGTACACCTGGTACTACGTCATGGTACGCCCCCCCTTCCCCCGTAAACCCCGGCCCCCTCCTAACACCACCCAGGTTGGATTCGCCGTCCTCGAGATCCTCCTCGGATACTACGCCTTCCGCTCCGCAACCGGCAGCGTCTACCGCGCCAAACACCCCGTATCCACCACCGGGCCCCCCGAGTCCCGCACGCGCGAAGCGCTCAAATCCAAAATCACCTGGCTCGTCGCCGTTTTCCTACTTGCCTACGTCGGAGGTCGCATTGGGGGGGTGGATTGTGACGTTCATGCTGCAGATGCGACAGGGCGAGCCGTTCGCCTCGGGGATAGTAGCTACGGGCTTCTGGCTCGGCTTAACCGCCGGCCGCGTCGTGCTTGGATTCGTGACGGGGCGCATCGGGGAGAAGCTCGCTGTGGCGCTGTATCTCGCCCTGAGCGCAGGCTTGCAGCTTCTCTTCTGGCTGATTCCTAGTTTTGTCGCCTCAGCCATTTTCGCCGCATTCTTGGGCTTCTTCCTTGGTCCGCTGTTTCCGGCTGCTATCATGGTTGCGACGAAGTTGCTGCCGCCGCGCCTGCATGTTAGCGCCATTGGGTTTGTGGCTGCGTTTGGTAGCTCGGGGGCGGCGGTGTTCCCGTTCGTGGTGGGGGCGATTGCGCAGGCGAAGGGGGTGTGGGTGTTACAGCCTTTTGCGCTGGCGTTGCTGGGGGTTATTTTTATTTCGTGGGTTGTGTTGCCGGGTGAGTTTAAGAAGTCGGAGCTGGATGAGGAGCAGAAGAAGGTGCTTAAGATTGAGAAGGAGAGGGGGACGATCGGCACAGGGACAGAGGCTGTTTGAGATGTGGATAGGGGTTTATCGTTGGCTTCATCTATATGCATTGCACTAGGGAGCGTCTTACGTTGGGAAAATCTAGGCTGGGAGAACAGTACATATGTACTTACATTTTGGGAGGAGAGCGAGGAGTAGGGTTTTGATACTCGGTAGGATATTACTTAATTTGACATCCGATATATTTAAAATACATATAGTTACCCAAATCAAATACCTCAAAATCTGTCAGATCATCGAGTATATTATTATGGACATACACAGATCTGCCGTCTTAAAGGGCCTGCTATGATTCACCGTAGACGAAACATATCAAAACGAGTATATCCACGAATAAACAAGCGTATCCATACATCAGGCTCTATTTCTCCACAAATGCAAAACCCGTAGGCTGCTACTATCCAGATTTTGTCTAAAACGCCAGACCACAACCGCCAGCCCAAACGCCCCGCTAAATCCTACCCCAACGGTATCTTTGTATCATCCCTTTGCTACACACATACATCTCACCCAGCACCTTCAAACCTCAAACCTCAACCGCCTTAAATAAACTGCAAGGGGTATCCCCTTCGCTCGCTGCCAGGTTTCCCCAGAAATAATTCAAGCCCCTTTTCTCATCCCTGTTGAATTATAAATCTAACCCCACAGCTCAGACAAGAGGGCTGCCTGCAATAGAGAAGCTCAACGAAGGTGCATGACCTTCTTGGCGTTCTCGTAAACCATGTAAGTGATGCTGACTGCCGGCACCACCTTCAAGAGATTGGGGGTAATTCCCTTGAACAAGCCTTGGACTCCTTCCTTCCCCACGGTTTTCCTGGCACAGTCGACAACACCGGTATATGTCTGCGGGTGAAGTACGGTTCCCTGGGCCTGAAGACGAGTGCGGAGGAGGTTGACGGGGTAAACGATTGAGGCACCGAAAGCACCGGAGAAGGCGCCGATAGTACCAGTGGCGAAGGATCCCGGGTAGACATCTGGGTGGTCCAGGGGGAGGTTCATATTCTTGGCGTTGTACGACATAATCGATGACTTGAGGAACTCGAAGGTCCCGAGATCTACGGCGGAGTAGGGGAACATTCCGATGAGACCCATGGTGAGACCGCGGTATGCCGACATCATCCCTCCTTCTCGAATCATTTGTTTGGCGGTGGAGATAATCAGGGCGTTGCCTCGAAGGCCGTGTGCCTCCACATTACACTGCATGCGGAATTTTAATGTGTCCAAGGGATACACACAAAGCCTGATAAACACTTAGTAATCGTCATAAAGCAAACGAGTACAATCCACTTACTGCGAAACCATGCCACCCAGCCCACCGGCAATGAATTTCGAAACCCCGTTGATATTCTGTGGATCTCCATGGCCTTCAAACGACGCAAGCGCACGTTTTGCACCTTCATAAGAGCCAAATTTGATGGCGGATTCGGGCATGACTTTCACCACATTGAGCCCATTACCTGCGTTGATTAACTTCAACATCACATCACCTCGGATACTGACGAAATACCTGCGAAAAGACTCCTCACCCCCCCGGCCTTCCAGAGCTCTTTCGTAGCATCTATGAGCGGCCGTCCGGCCTGTCTGACTGCCTTAACTGCGTCTCCCTTCTTTGCAGCTGAAAGTGAATCTTTAACGTTGCCGGTGTTCGCAATGAGATATACCTTCAGTCGATCGAGTGGCGCAGTCGCCGTACGTGATATAACACCTGCAATGCCACCAGCAGCAAAATAGCCTGGATCAGGCAAAAGAAATGTTAGTCTCATTCCTGAACGTTTCCTTTTCCGCAGACGTGGAGTAGCGTCAATATCATCTGTGAAGTCTGGCTCGACGTGTCGGAAGTGACCCGGCATGAAGTGATGCGACACAGGATCAAGATAACCTGTATCTTGTTCTTCGCTATGAGGGGTTGAGTGTAGACTCGAATGTGGTTGTTGATGATCCAAGTTCGAATCTGCTGGTGGCTCTGGTGATGGTGTTGAACTTTCACGTAGCTGGCCGGGACGTCGTGCTATGCTAGATATAGAGCCGAAGAGGACTGAAAAGAAACTTGGTGCAGTACCTAAACTGTCGATGTATTCATCTCTCAACTGTGTATCTCCCTCCGCATTCAAGGCAACTGTAGAAGAATAATACGACAGGATAGCTTTAAGCCCTGGCGTGTCGTTCGGTAGGAATAAGAGGAAGTCCCTGAATCATAGTGTAAGCTGCCGCCATTCCAGTCATATCCAAGCCTGACGCTATATAGTCATATCCAAGCCTGACGCTATATAGCTACTTGCTACATTTAGAGTTCACCCTATCGAGCGCTAACCGGGAGCCGGGTAACCCAAGTGAAAAGAAATAAGTGAGAATCATGGAATATATGATGAACTCAACCAAGATATATATATTGTTGCGCGCTCGCATCGTACGGATGTGGCAACTTGAAACTTGTTATGCTTACCTCCATTCGTCGAATGTTATCGCTCCCGAGTTGTCTCGATCAACCCCCGCAAAAAAGTCGTCAAGCTTTGCTGGTGGTACAGTCAAGCCGGCGACTTTGAAGGCGGCCTTTAACTCGTCCTTCACCAGCTTTCCGTCGTTATTTTTATCGATCGATCTGAATAACGAATATAATTGGCTTTCAGTTTCCTCCACGAAGGTTCGGAACTCTGTCGCATGTGGGTTAGCACAGCCATTCTTGATATCTGGAAGCATTCTAGTGCCAGCGCATCGCATACCCTCGTATTGAATCTTGCCATCACCATTGGAATCCACAGCCTTCATGACATCCTCCAGTAAATGGTTTGCATTTTTGAGAGCTATGTTTCGTTTAGCTTAGCTTTCGCAAGGAACCAATCTGGGAACTGACGGTGGTTCAACTTCTTCAGGCCTCTTTGTAGGCCCTTCAGGTCAATCTCCCCCGTCTCCTTGGGGTCGAGATGCCTCCAGAGATCCTCAACACGGGCATCCCTCTCGTTCTGAGACTCCAACAGCTTCATGTTGACAGAGGTCGCAAGATTGTTCCAGGTCATGGCCGTCCATGTGGACAGTATGCAGACAGTAGCTCTATCATCGAGATGCGAGACCAAGTATAAAATCAGATTAGCAACCTCGGTCGTCGCGGGCGAGCGTAAAAGTTATCTCAGTGTTTGGATTACAAGTCATTGAAATAGCCCTTCGCTGTTTCGCCAGAGTTGGGTGGACGTAGCTCTGGAGCTTACCGTAATGGCCTCTAGCGACGAAAATAATCGTGGCGGTTTGCGGAGCCTCAATCTCACCTGAGCTGGGTGTTCCCGCTCAGATTGCTGGCTCCAATCTAATCGCCCCTCTATGTCACTCTCAGAACTAAGTGATTGAGCTACAATCAGTGGCACTTCTCAAACAACCACACGGCTCTTTGTTGGTTATCATTTTCACAGTTCTTCATATATAGCTAACGCCCCCGCAAACAACTACCATTTATCGACTTTGTGTTCCCTGGGACCCCTCCTTCCCTGGGTGTGGTCACCCTGCGAGACACAACGTTCTGTAGGTGCCTTTTCAATATCTATAGCGCATATATGTCGGCTTCATCGCGAATGCCGGTCCGCGTGTAAGTAGCTTGGAGGCTACAGACAAGACCTTTCTTCTTGTTCGTCAAGTTACGTGCTGGTTCTCAGGCCTTTGAACTTGTGATCATCCATCCGCATAGCATAGCATACGTCGGAGGGAGGATAAATATGGCGGCCAACTACTGGGAATCAACACAACGCAAGCACTGGCAGTTCTCTAAACAAGAATTGGCCCGGCTTCGGCAGAAACTGGAGGATGAGGACAAGAATCTGGTCCAGACGTATCCGCTGCCTCCACTGAGGCATCTCAGCATCTTCTTCAACCAACGTGAGTGTCTCTTCTGGGATGTTGAGATTCATAGCGATAACAATCTGTGTTTTAGAGGTTAAGAGGCTTGGAAAGCGCCTTTCCGTGAGACAACAAGCCATGGCCACGGCCCAGCTCTACATCAAGCGATTCTACACGAAGATCGAAATCCGCCGGACGAACCCATACTTGCTGATAGCGACCGCGGTGTACTTGGCTTCCAAAATGGAGGAATCTCCCCAGCATATCCGGTTGGTGGTGAATGAAGCTCGCTCTCTATGGCCAGGTATATATTATTCCCGTGACGAGCGATAGCTAAGCTCTGGCTAATATCATTCGCAGATTACTTCAATACGGATACATCAAAACTGGGAGAGTGCGAGTTCTTCCTGATATCAGAAATGAACTCGCAGATGATTATCCACCAGCCTTACCGAAGTCTGTTGGCGCTACAGGACGAGTTCTTTGATACCCAGGAAGAATCTAATCTGGCGTGGTCAGTTATTAACGACCACTACATGACGGATCTGCCATTGCTGTATCCGCCGCATATTCTTGCCTTAACGGCTATTCTACTAGTACTAGTCCTTCAGACAAACGGCAACTCAGCAGCTCCACCTACACGGAGTAGAGGCAGTGGTCTGGGGGTGGCTGCTCAGGCAGCGTTGAAGAATGCAACCCAAGCAAGAGGCATCTCGGGCACGGAGAAAGGCCCCATAACTTCGCGAACCAAGATACAGAGATTCTCAGTCTGGTTGTCGGAGAGCACAGTGGACATCGAAGCCATGGTCGACTCGATCCAGGAGATGATTTCGTTCTATGAATGCCAAGAGCAGTACAATGAGAAGAGTACGCGGGAGCAAGTCAACAGGTTCATCAAAGCACGGAACTTGGACAAATGAAGAAAGCGCATGCCTTTCTTCACTTGTCCAAGTTATAGTATGGGCATCACAGTACTATTGGTATGCGAGTACAGCAGACGCACGAATGGTGAATGTGCGATATGCATTTTCGGTGTCCAAAGCGCATTTAGCCCAGCACCCCAGCCTATTATAAGCGCCTAGTAAGACGGGCGATGATGATAGTTTCAGAGGGGGCTGGCACGGGATCTACGAGTCTCACAAACCTGCCAAGCGAGAAAGTGGCGGTGAACAGTTGAGACAGACACCTTGACTGCGATGTGGAGAAGGAATGGGAATGCAGAACCTTTTTGTTCCAGCATAATTAGATTAGCTGCCAGATAGATACCTGCACTGGAGTAGAATCTTGTTGGTGCATGAATATACAGGATGATACATACCTTACATGCAAACCCGGAAGCCCGAGTGGCGCATGGTGTTTGGTATAAGCTATAATTGGATGCTGGCGGATGCTGGCGGGGATGCTGGCGGATGATGGGTGGAATTCTGCTTGATACTGCACTGGAGCACCCAGCAGAAGTGTATCTGCATCAAGACAGTGGGAGGGGGGAGGGGGAGGGGCGTAGGGCGGGTGGTAGGATCAACAAACCTGTGCCATAGCGCTGCATCTGCACTTGCCCATGTCGACGCAGCCATCAAATCATGTATGTGTATGGACGGCGTTGAATGGTTCTGGGGATATGATATGGGATAACGTGCTCCGTAGATATATGTAGTATAGTATAGTAGAGTATACGTAGTACAATATTAGAGTAGTAGAGTAGAGTATAGTATAGTAGAGTATACGTAGTACAATATTAGAGTAGTAGAGTAGAGTAGAGTATAGTATAGTATACTAGATACTCCGTATAGAGAGTATAGTAGATACTCCGTATAGAGAGTATACGAGATACTCCGTATAGTATAGTAGATACTCCGTATAGAGAGTATAGTAGATCGCGCTACATCCCAACTGAGCCAAAAAGACTACAGTATTCCGGGCTCGGCTCGCCCGGAATACTGTAGTCTTTTTGGCTCAGTGGGAATACGCGTAACACGCTTTATATACCACATGTAAGTATAATAGTATAAGTTAGTATAGTATACGTGCTACCACCTCCTACCTGCGATGATGATGGTGGTGCCTGCATCGTGAGGCACCCCACCACTCTACGGTGCCCTGCCAAAATGGGCTGGGGTGCGCGCATGCCGCTCAGCCCGTTCCACGGTTTCCTAGACTGTTTCCGGTATCGCTCCGTGCTAATTTGGTGGCAAATGGCTGAAAATACATCCACATCCTCACATCCCACATCCCATATCCCCTCCAATTGGCTCGCTAAGACAGTCAACCGCAGAAATTTGGCTCCTAACTGTAACTAGTTGCACACTAACCGCAACTAGCTCCCTAACTCCCCAACCCCCACTAACTCCTGCACTCCCCTGGTCTGTGGCACGCCGTACTACGCCGTACACTAGTCATCGCACCCTCCTCCTCCTCCCACAACCCTCTCACACCCCTCCCTTTCCCACTTCCTCATTCGCTCGCTTATCGCTTCCTCGCCCATCCCTGCCCCCTGCCCTTTTCTCAAAGTCCCAGCCAGAAGTCCTCCCTCCTACCACCAACCCATTCCCAGTACACTCTGATCCCCATCCCCATCCCCATCCCCAACCCCATCCCCATCCCCATTCCCCTCATCGCCCCCCTCCCCTCCCCCCGACCATCTCTCTTACATATACATACTTACTATTACTGTACCTACTGTACACTACCTATCATCTATATTCCACCACACCCCCCTCTTTCTCAAGTTTCAAACTCGAACCCCAAATATACAACTATCAACATCATCATCTTCAAATTGACACTCCTAATTCTCGCCTCTTAATAACCCCCGTCGTCCTCAGCAAACTCTTCGAAACTCTTTCGCCTTGGCTTCCTTTGCGTCCCACACCGAGACCTCTCGCTCTACCCAACAAAATACACCGAATCGGTCAGCTTCAGGACTCAGCTTCGGGCGCCCATCAAACGTTTCCGTCATTCCATGAGACTCGACTCCAATTCATTACGTTTTCATGATCCGATAATGTCCTCCTACTACCACTACAATGCTCACCAGCACCCAGCAACTCAGAATCACGCGGGCCGCTCCCGTAGGGCTCCTCGTCTCTCTACGTCCCAAAACTCTCATAAGCAGTTCAGGGGAGTGCGCAGCATGAAGGAACTGACGGACACAGCTTCCATCACAACTTTCCGACAGAAGTTTGAGGCTGGAAGGTCCTTCGACTTGGATGATGACATGGAGTTCTGCCCAGGGCTGTTGACGGAGATCGATGTGAGTCTTTACCGCCACCATCATGGACCCCATGACAATTGGAGTCATATCAGGGATCGTGGCTGACAATACTGTTTTCGCAGATGCAATCGATACACTCGGTGTCCGATAGGTCGTCGCTGTCCAGCGGCTCCCCCGAGTCATCACCAACACAACAAGCACAACAAGTTACGGCGCCATTTCCCCTCAACTCCGCATCGAATCCATACGTTCCGTCAGGCTACCAGCCATCAAACATGAAGGTGCATCAGCCAGCGCCGACACGGGTGCGCAACGCCATCCCAATCGTCAACCCAAGCACAAGGATGTCGAGCCCGCCGTCATCGGTGTCGCCTAGCAGGATGCAACAACAACAACAACAGAACATCGGTCGACGATGGTAAGCTGGAATCGCTCCTGTACTCCGGGATGAGCGATCCGGCTATTTCCATTTTGCGATGCGCTTTTGTTATTTTGCATTCTCAACCCATTCATTATCCTGCTAGGCGCCTGATTTCTTGGGCTTTGGGTACCGACCTTCGACTTTCCGACTGGCTGATGCACGGCCACAACGGTTTCTCTGTACAAATCCGAAAGACATTCTACGATCTTCTGAGCTTCAGTTGGGCAAAAGAAGATATCGATACCTTTTGTTCATAATCAACCGTGTTTTTCATTATAGTGGATGGGGCATAGCTGGAGTGCATTTTTGGGTGTTAGCATGGTTTTGCTTCGTCTTCCGGGGTACAGAAGCGGTGACTTCTTACAGTCTTCGACAAAAAGATACAACATATAGAACGATTTCCTTTCTCTCGGCACAAACGGTCGTTGGTGTTCTTCTTGGGTATGGAGGGTCAAGATCTATGGAGTGGTGGAAACGAATTGCTCATTTTATTGACTGAGCCGGTGTTGGGTTTTTATTACTATTCATTGTTACTGGATTGGATATGGGCGCGCGGTCTTTGAGCGGGATGGTTTATGCAGGTCGAGGCTGGCTGGGTGCATTTGCAAATGATGATAAGACAATGGGCGATGACAACAATAGGGAGACTTCAAGTGGTCGTCCGCAGCGTTTTCTTTCTTTTTTGCTCTTGCTCTAAAGGGTTTTTTTGGCACATTCCGGAGCTTGCTGTTTTTTGCTTGATCGTATCGGTGGTGTTGTGGGAGAAGTGTGTCCGGGCCATGGGTGGCATCATATACATATGATTATGTCTACAATGTACTTGAATATATCTCTATTATCTATTATATTAAAACTATACTGCGTCTGTGTAATGTGAACGAACCATTGCCTCTTGTTTCGTAGAATATTCCATCCCTCACCATCCGTCCCTCTTGGCTGGCAGTGGACCACCGCGCTCTCCCGCGAGTCCATGTAGCCTCATCATCTCATGACGTAGCCACCCCCCATCAACGAATGACGCACCAACGGCCACCCGAACAGCTTCCAGCACCCTCAAGACCCATCCATTCTCTTGTACATATATATATATATTATATACTTCCCCGGAGCTTTCGTTCAAACCTTTAAATCCACGCATTGGCCAGATTCTCATACACCCGCCCCTATAACAGAGAGACGACTACCTTTTATCACATTTACGCACATAATCATGTCTTTCATCATGAGAGCTTCTACTAGAGCAGCTGCTGCCGTGCGCCGCATGGCCACACCGGCACAAGCACGCTGCTTCTCAGTCTCGAGTTCTCAATTCCTAAAAGAGACAGCTGGGGGTTTGTCCCCCTCCCCATTCCCCCCTTCCCGTCCATCATCGTCATAACTCCCACCGCACCACGCACCATCCAGAAATCTAGCTAGCCGTATCTAAACAAAAGCAACAGACAACCGAAACCAAGGCGAAGCCTACGAGCGCGCCAAACAAGAGCAGCTCCGCCTTAAAAAAGAGGGCAAGAACGAGTGGAATCCCGACCTCGCCTCCGCGAGCGAGGAGAACGTGCATGCGGACCGTGATTATCCGGATATTGATATCAAGGAGCTGCAGAGGGAGGCGAAGGAGAGGGCGGAGAGGGAGGCGAGGGAGGCGAAGTAAGTGTATTACTGTCTTGCGGGGGGAGAGAGTGCTTGGACAGGAGTGGGGGAAGGGGGGTTGTGAAGGGGGGGGATGGGGCGGAGAGATGGGCAGGAATGAGTGTGCTGACTGACTGACGACTTTGATAGGTCGGGAAAGACCGAGGATCCGGTGTCGAGGATTAAGAGTTGAGGGACTGGGAAGAGTGGATAAAGGAATGGAGGCATGATGATGAGATGATACTGTACAAAACAATGGGGTCATGAACACATTGCACAAAAATGAAGGTTGATAGCATGGAATAATATGTATTTAACTCCATGTGACAAATAATTAGGCTTCCCTAGTTCCCCAAAACGCTATCTGTGACTCCAACTCTGTATCTCCCATTGCAAAACTCCTCTGTAGTCCGCAAAGTACTCGGATTAATGTGTGGAATATCCGCTCCTGAAAGCAGATCCATCGATACTATGTATGCACGCAAGTAGTTGGTAGACAAAACAGCAGACAAAACTCCCAGCGCCGCCATATACCGCTCGCAATACCCCCTTTCCCTCCCCTTTCCCTCCCTGCCCGCCTACTTCAGTATAATAATCAGCAGCACCAAAATGATAATCAACACAATAATAGTCGTAACCTGCATATTCCCCTTCGCCTTCCTCGCCACATTCCCCAGACTCTTCCGCGCCTGATCCAACCTCCCCTGGTGCCGATCCACCAACCCATCAACCTCATCCAGCATCGCCACCTGGCTATCAAGCTCATCCCCAATCTGAATCGACAATTCCCTTTGCCGTCCTATACTCTCCCCCAACCGATCGAGCTGCTCATCCTGCGCCGCTAGCACCTCGCTGTGGTACGTGTGGATCTGCTGGTTATCGAGCTGGCTCTGGTCTGTGGATGCATTGATGGGGTCATCGCGGTAGGGGAATAGTTGGGCCCTCGCCGGGTCCTCGGCAGCGGCGCTGGGAGCGTCGGAGAATCGCACGGACTTTGGGCAAGAGGCGGCGGCGCCGGAGGGGCCGCGGAGGGATTTCTTGAGCAGAGAGCTGCTGCGCTGGGGGTGGGAGGAGGCGTGGGCGAAGTCGGCGGCGAGGGAGGGGTCGTTGGGTTGGGAGAGGCTGCTGGGGGTGCTGGAGGGGAAGCCGTGGAATTGAGAGGTTAGGTCGTCGTATTGCGTTTGGAGGGATAGTTCGGATTGCTTGAGGGTTGCGAGGGCGCTGGTGGGGTGTTAGTTAGGGACTTGTTATGGTGGAGGAAGGGGGGGAGAGACGTACGCAGTGTCTCCGGCGTCTTCTAGACTTTCCCTCTCGACGGCGATGTTTTCGAGGCCGGCGCGGAAGGATTCGAGGGAGCGCGAGATGTGGCCATCTTGGGAGTTTGGCTCGAGGTTTAGAGAGATTGCACGTTGGCGCTCGAGGAGGGAGAGCTTGATGTGGTCGGCCAGGAGGAAAAGTTGATTAGGATTGGACATGGCTGGAATGCTGTACTAAACAGCCTGCCTTGGTGTGTTCGAAGTAGCGACTCTGCAAAGGACCCCAGCGACTGATCCCTCTTAATTCCCTTGCAATAGAACAATTCCCCTGTGTTGGAAAACAAAACGGGCGCCAGCGACTCGAAAAGTCCAAACGGAGGCTCGGTGTTTGAGTTTCGCAAAGCAACCTGGCCTCGTTCTTGGAAATCGCCCAAGCGTAATATTCGCAAGCGGCGTTCGCGGCTCGATGTTCATCCGGCCAATCGGCTGCCAGCATACTCGATAAGGCAGCGTCAGATATCGCACAGACAATCTTCCTACGCCACCAAGGTAACGGGGACAGTATAATCCCATCTATTTTGAAAAGCTGTTTTGTCTTTGGAAAGAAACTATACGATCAGCTGGAAGGAAGAGTAACTGAAATCACATCGCATTCACGCCGCGGCCTGTCCGCAACAGAGCCTCCAACGACGTCACACCCATACCGACAGAACCACGAGCGATAGGTCGGCCCGGCGGGGTCCAACTGACGACGAGGGACAGATCCCTTTGAGCGACGTGCCTACATCCACGGCAACAATACCAACATCCTCTAGCCTCACCTACGGCTTTATATAACAATTCGAACATACGCAAGAGTGCCCACGGCATGGAAGAACAAAGCCTGACGCTCGGACGGCGAAACGGCCAGTCAGGCTCGTGGCACCCACCGACGCCCATCACCCCATCTGTTGCAGCAACACATTCGAGCACATTACCGGCGAGGCCGAGTACGCCTATATCAAGATCGATAGGCGACGCTTTTCAGCAGAACTTCCTCGACGATACAAGTCCGTCGGCATTCCCCGAGTCAGAGCCAACAGCGCTTCTTTCTCGGCCATCTCCACAGCCTGGCCCCGAGGAACAGAGCGGCGCCCCTGAAAACACGGAAGAAACTTCAGCAGACGCACCCAGGGGATTGGATTTTTGCGCTTTGGACTATGTTACAGCCGTCGACGAGAACCTGGTTTGTCCAGTTTGCCGGAACCCATTCGTCGATCCTGTAACCACCAGCTGTGACCATGTATTCTGCAAGGACTGCTTCGACCAAGCATATAGAATCGCGCCTATATGTCCTATAGACAGGACTCGATTATGGCCACCGAACCATGTTGGACCAACGGCAAGAATAATTACGAACCAGCTTGATGCACTGGAAGTCAGATGCCCGAACTCTGCAGACGGATGCGAGAAGACCCTGGCGCGGTCAATGGTGCAGAACCACGTGGATAGGTACTGCGGCTACAGCCTAGTCGACTGCCCCGAAAACACATGTGAGCGCAAAGTGCCTCGAAAGGATGTACACAGAGGATGCTTACATTGGTATGCGATATGTCCGGACTGCTCGGAGAGCTTTTTCGCGGTTGATATGGAGCACCATAGGGCACGAGTCTGCACGGAACGCGTGGCAAACTGCGACAAGTGTGGCCTTGAAGTGCTTCGACTGAATGCTGACCTCCACGACCTAGATTGCGAGGAGGCCATCGCACTGTGTAGATGGGCTATATATGGCTGCGAGCATCAGTCGAAGAGGAAAGATTTGGGCAGCCACGCGCCAGAATGTGCTTTCAAAACTATGGGCCCGGTGGTGGAATTATTAAAGGATGAGATAACATCACTGAGAGGCGAAGTACAGACTCTCACGGAGAAAGACAAGACAAAAGACCGCCGCATTCGGTTCCTCGAAAGCTACAAGAACGCACCGTCATACGGTGACCCTATTATCGATATCCCCTACATGTCAGAAAACCCTCAATCATTAATAGACCCTGCACCGTACGATTCCCGAGACCAATATCTCCTATCACTACTCGAAAACCAGGAAAGCAAAGTCGACCAGCTCTCCGTCGGGATGACCGAGCTCGAAGCGAAGCAAACCGTAATGCTCTTCAACGAAACAATACCCATCAAGGAACAACTCGCCGAGCTGAGAAGTGCCCAGGGAGTCATCGGGTGCCATGTCAGATGGCTCATGAACCTGCGCCTGCAGGAGCGGCGCCCAGGAGCCACAGCAGCGCTTAACAGCGGAGCTAAAGCCGAGTCGAGCTCGGGGTCGGGGTCCGCCGGCCCCTTTGCGCAGCAACCGAGGAAGTTGAGTGACCCTAGGGAAAATATCACGAAGCTGTAGATCGGTGGTTCTCTGCTTTCTAAAAATCTCCATTGGGTTTCAAGGGATGGGTGCTTCCATACGCCCGGACGGCTTTCTCACACTTCATTCTCAAGAGTGGATATACTAGGCAGTATTGAGAGGGCTGCTGCATGAATTTATCTCCGATAACAGGACATTTCGTCAGACGAACGGATGTTTCGCCATACCACTACCCTTGCCTGACCGTTGAAACTCGGGACTGGCTGACTACTTGCTGACGCCCTAGTCTGGTTTCAAGTTGCGCAAACGGGAATCTGACGTCACGCAAGATGAAAAAATCGGACGCACATGCCAGGTAGTACAGATAGGGTCGTACGAAAACGCAAAAGATGGGTCTTTGAATTGATAAGGCTATGTCGCCAGCGTCGGCGATAATATGCCTCTGCATCATATACAGTAGTAAAAAAAATCATCAGTCAGAAAAACTCATTGCTGGTTGTTGTTTTTTTCTCTAGTCCCGTTTCCATCCGTTTGCCCCCCCCGGGAGCCCAGGTTCTGAATTCCCAATTACCGATTTATTCCTGTGAAAACCCAGAAAGGAAATAGAAGGGCTCGTCGAACACTTCGCAAGCTGAACATCATGAATCGTCCGGCTCCTTCGGAATAGGCGTCTCAGCTTCTCGATCCCTAGTAGTTCACCCGGCCCGTCCCGATTTCAAGCATCCAAGGAAGGCTTCCCTAGCGTCGAACCTTCTTCCCTCTGCAGTCACTGCATTTGTGAGGTGAGACCTCATCCTTCCTCCGGACTCCAGGGCACTGCTCCTCCCAGTAGAGCAGACATTCTTCCAGTCCGCGGTAGATGATGCAGCGGCATGGATAACTGACGTAGTATTGGGTGCACATTGCAAGTGTGAAGTGAGCGAGCGTGATGAGATGTGATGAGATAAGGTGCTTGGACCGGGATTGGTGTGACGATGGTGCAGGGGCGGCGAGGATAGCGGCTCCCTTGTGGTCTTTTGGATAGAGATTGGCGGGCGTTCGACGACGAGTGTCTGAGTGTTCGATCGTGCTTTGAATAAGCTTTGATCGTGAAGCTTAAAAAGACGTTTCTACAACGGTAGACTCTCTTAGAGCCAGCTGGGAGGGCAATTGAAAGGTGGTAGTTTTTGGTGAGATAACCAAGCACGAATGTGAAAATGATGGGACTCTCGGATGGGGGATGGGGGGCGGGATACGGATATTTATTAATGAGGAAGAATGGTCTGGCTGGCCATCCATCATCACTCACATTTCCCTCTTCCTGTGGCTCCCGAAATCCGACAGGAATAGAGCAATAGCACAAGCACAAGCACAACCTCCACCTTACAGCGTGCAGACCAGGAACATCGGGAGTACAGTCCCGTCGTACTGAGTACCTTTGGGTTGTCCATTAGTTGTCTACCATGACCCATCTCCATCCCCGACGCCGGGGGAGGGGGTTAGTTCAGACCGTCAGCAGCAGTTTCTCACTCCCCCTGCCTGGACCCTCAGGGAATAGGGGAACAGGGGAACAGGGGACTAACAGCCCAACTACTCGAGTACTTGCTCGGTCTCATATCAATCACGTGACATCAATAGTATGTCAAGGCTCGACTTTGGGCTGGGATGAGTGAGTGATATGCGACTCGACGTGGATGAATTTGTCGGCCTCCACGTCACAGATTGTGCAGCATTTCAACCTGATACTCTGAGCTGAGCAAGAAGATGCCCGAGAGGAACAATCCGTCATCGGCGTTTTTCTTTGCTTATTATCTACCAGCAGCCAGCAGCCAGCAGCCAACCACCGGCCACCAGCACAACCAGGGGTAAGAGGCGTGCGTGTGTAGTACATGGTCATCAGAATAACGAAGACGGGGAGTTGGGTTTGAGCTGACGAGGTGGTTAGGAACAGCGATGTAAAGGACCTAACGTTGCGCAGGGACGTGTACCAGCATATAGAGTACAGTATGTGTATGTACGTGGCAGTTACTCGTCGGATAGACTCCAGCATCTGAGGCTATGCAAGTAGGGCATGCACGTACGAAAGTAGATGATACTCGAGGATGATGTGTAGTTGCGTGTCACTGTCACTGTCGGTGTCGGCGTCATGCGTCAGCGCCGCGGCGTAACCGGGGAACAGCGTAACCGGGGAACAAGAAGCAGATGCCGCGCCCGAAGTGTGGCGTCCAAAAGGCTTTGACTTGCATATTATGAGATGCAGTAGTGTGGAAAATAGGAAATCCCCAAAAAAGCAAACCACGAAAAAATGTAACAGGTCAACTTTTACTTCCATAGCCCATTTACTCGCGCCGCCCACGTGATCTCGCGTGCCAGTCTCGCTCTTTTATCGTGAGGCGAGGCCTCCCCGTTGCCCCGCCAGCTCGCTTCTCATTCTACAATCTACCAATCTACCCCTACACCCTCCCGTCGTCATCACAGCCTGACGACACACAGCGCCGTTAGACTCTCCGAACCTGTACCTCCCGCTCTCCACATCTACATGCTACCACTATCAACTACACCTTCCTCCATCCTACCCTAACTCCCGCCCCATCTGCACAGCCAGACAAAGTACCTCTAAACCCCACCAGCCATGCCAGCCACGACCCGACGAACCCGTGGCGCCCCGCCCGCCAAAGGCGCCCAATCCACCCTCTCCTTCAACGGTGCCGCCACGCGAGTGACCAAGCACACCGGGCCCGCGGGCAAGGACCTCAAGAAAGCCGAGCCAGCGAAGCCAGCGAAGGTTGATGTCATAGATCTAGACCGCGCCGACGACGCTGTGGTGGAGGCAGAGGTGCAGACGCCACCGCAGGTCCAGCTCCCTAAGCCGGAGAGTGCGTTGACGCCTGAGGAGGAGAAGGCGGAGAAGGTGCCGCATAGCCAGGTACTTAGGTACTGGAAGGCGAAGGAGGCGGAGCGGTTGGCTCCAAGAGGTGAGTGATGCGGCCCGTTCCCGCCTGAGATGAACAAAGCTGATGATGAGTGACCGCAGTTCACCAGGAGGGTTTGAGCACCGAAGAGAAGATCCTGCGGTACTTCGACATGTCCTCGCAATACGGGGTAAGTTGTCCTGTGTGCTAGTTGTTGGCGTGCTATAGACTAACAGATCCGCTATAGCCCTGCGTAGGGATCCCACGCCGCAAGCGCTGGTTGCGCGCGCACAGGCTCGGTCTGGCGCCGCCCATTGAGACGCTCGCTGTGCTGGTGAAGGAGGATAAGAAGGGCAAAGGGGGGGTGGAGAAGGCGCAGCTGGAGTCGCTGCTGGAGACGATTGGTGGGGACCTTTGAGTTCTGCTGGGGTTTGCTGCGTGGGGGATTCGAGGCGTTGGGGGTGGGATTTTGCTGGAGCGATATTGATGGGATATGGCTTGTATACTGGCGTTTGCATCTTTACCGCTATCTCGGGAGAGGGGGTTGGTGATATTCGCGGGTTATTCCCGCGGGCTGGGATGTTCTCATACCTTGTTACAGTAGTTAGTAGCTATGCAGGAGATCTATCGTCCGTCTGGAATGAGCTACTCGTGCCACCCCGAAAGCCTGGGAGGGAGCTGTGGACAACACCAGTGATTACGAACATCATCAGCTTAAATCGCCAGCATCAATCCTCAACTACATCCAGGACAACACAATCCTCCCATCAAAGATCTCCGCATCTCCCCCCTCCTTACCTCCCTCCCCGCCCCCTTGCCTCCCCCAAACCAAGCTCTCGGACTCCCCGGCAACACTATAACACTCCCCCGCCGCCCCAGCCTCGCCGTCAGAGGCGCCTTGCGTTCTAAGCGTCCCAGATATCCCAGGTGTCCCAACAAATCCAACAAGAAACGCATCCTCTGTTGGGAAGTTCCGTCCGAGCACCCAGCTACGCTTTCCGACCTGTCACTCCCGATGTCCCAGCGATGGGCGGTGGTTTCTGCAGGTACCTTCCCTTTTCCCCGATGGCGATGGGGTGTATACCCACGGCGATGGGAGGGTGAGACATTGTATCTCATATTCACTAGACTGAACCTCACCGCTGCTGTGGTGTAAAGGGAACGGACCGACCCCCACTCACCTCTCCCCCTTACCGCTATTACAAATGTCCAACGGCCCCCAATACAGGTGTAGCCAGCCAATACGACTGAGGGGAAAGCGAGACAGTTCAAAAAAATGTGTCAAACGAACAAACCCCAACCCAAGCAAACACAAACCGACATAGCTATTATTAAAAAACAAACCAAAAAAAAACTATAACAATCCCAGGTGATTGTTCAATATCATAGGTTATTATGATGAGGTTTTGAACCACACCCGATTTGAACGGATAACCTTTCGCTCTGGAGGCGAACGCGCTACCGTTGCGCCAGCGGTCCTGGTTCGATTAATGTTGGTTTCGCTTGTCTCGGATTATGTAGCCGAGATGAGTTGCTTAGGTAATTTCTTAACTTTTGGCGACGACGCGGGAAGGAACGATCACGATGGGGTTCGGACGGAGATTAGGATTGGGAAATTGGTCACAAGACCGTCAGAGATCGTTATGGCGGAGGAGGGCGACAGTTAACTTGAAACCCTTTCATAGATTGTCTAAAGTTATGTTATGTCCAATAGATCCCGCCCAAATGAAATACTGTGATAAAAAGATGTTCCACAACCAACGCCATTGTTTCCATCCCCATCAATCGAAAATATAACTGTAGTTCCTAAAACAAGATAAATAATCGAGAAGCTCTCCGCTACATTTGTTAATACCCAAAAATGTGGAGCCCAGAAATAAGGCCCATTCCAGCCGCCGAAAGATGGAATAAAATGCATGCTTGCTTGCTCTCAAAAGTGATGTCGACTTTCCCCGAGCCACAGCACCAAGGAACGAAACCAAAAAAGGTTCCTATCCGATTGAACCCCCAGTTTCCAGAAATCGTAAATAGAAAAAGATAGAAAACACGGCCAAAAATAAGATAGGCCCCAAGAAATCCCCTCCAAAATCTCATCACCTCATAAATGTCGTTAAATAATAAATCCCATATCCCCCTTTCCCTCCTCTAGTAAAACCCAGAAGGAGGCCTTAAAACCCGCACCGCCCAAACCGCAAACCAAGAAAAGAAAAGAAATTCAAGCACCCAAAACCAAAACCCCAAAATCACCGCGAATACGGCTTATTTATCGCCGCGATCCCCCTCGCAATCTCGCCCCACTCCAGCTCCCTCCTCACACCCTCCCCACGCCTCACCTGCATCGTCTCCTCCCACTTTAGAAGCTCATAGCTGAAGCGCAGGTGCGGCTGGATAATGACATTGAGGCGGCGCGCACGCACAAAGCAGTATGCGCGTGGGTAGGAGAGGGATTGCGCGCGCATCACCTCGGCGATGCAGATTGTGGCGCTGCGAGAGACGCCGACGCGGCAGTGGACTAGGGTTGATGTGCCATTGAAGCGGCCGCGGTCTGAGGGAGGGGGAGTTAGCCTGGTTGACGGTGTAGAAGGGGATAGGGGTACGTACTGATGAATGCGAGACAACGGTCGAATTCGTTGGTGAGCGGGTCAACGCCATTATCCTGTACGCTCTGGACGACACAGACGTTTTCATCGCCCCAGGCAGCGATGTCAGCGGCAGTCCAGGCGGCAGTCTCACCGACGCTGAGGAGTTGCCCGATACCCATAGCGCGGAGGAGGTCGGGGTTGTTCGCGTGACCTAGGTTACCGAGGTACATGTAATCAAGGATGCGACTCGGGAGGGAACCGTCCATGAGGGCGAGCCAGGCCGGCTCATCGTGGATGCGTTGGGTGATGTCCTGCGGGGCGGAGTGTGCGAGCGCAGGGGAGTTGGAGAGAATGCTTGGGGCGATGGAGTTCAGTAGCGCCACGTCGGAGGGGTAGGCGAAGAAGTTGCGGCGCTTGTCTAGGTGCATTTGCAGCCAGGCTTCTGAAACTGTTACGCCGTGTGCGTACATGTAGTAGGCGAGAGCGAGCATGGAGGACTCTGTGTATCCATCAGTGCAGTATACGAGGATCTTGCGCGGCCTGCTTGTTCTAGTTTCTATAGGACTGGGCATTGGGCTGTCTCCTTCAATATACATGATCTCACCCTCGTCTTCTGAGGGTCTAATGCCGTTCGCCAAGTTGTAAATCCACTTGCAGCTCTCTACTATCTCATCGGCCTCGGTGAGGGGCCAGGACGGCGGCATGATGCTCCCAGAAGACGGGAACTCGATATATTGGCTTGTTTCAGCCCCACTGTCAAATCCTCGAACAATATTCTTCAGGGCCGGCACATTAGCTCGACCGAGGTCGCTGCACTCTATGAAGAGATCAAACGGCTCGTCATCTGGTGACGGGCCCTTCATAGACAGATCATCTCTCGGCCCCAACCAAACATTTCTCGCAATCTCCGACGCCTTCGTCATGGTGGCCATCTCTACATGCTCCTGATGAAAGAAGTCCAGGACGTTCCCCGTCAGCCCGCCGCGGGTATCCGCAACCACGATCTCTGGATGATGCTCCTCAAACTCCTCAAAATGACTCGTACACACAAACGTATGGTACACTGGGACCCCGTGACCGAGCGCCTTGAGCCCTTGCCGCCGCGATCGCTGGGCCCTGGCAATATCGCTACCCACTCTCAACACTTCGTCCTCGTCTTCTCCGTATACAATGATATCGGATAACATAGCTGTCTTGGCAGACTGAATCTGGAAGTTCCGCACAGACAAGCCCTCCCTAGGGTCGATGTCCTTGAACTCCGCCGTGGCGGTCTGCATGAACTCCTCGGTAGTGACAGCAGCCTTCAGCCGGGAACAGCTCAGGTTCCCGTTAGCTTTCACGATCGTTACCCCACGATAACACTCCGGGATCTTCCGTAGGGCCTTGCGTTGCGCCATGAAGAACGCTTGTTGCACATGGTTCGCGGGATGCAAGCCATGAAGCCAAGGGAACACCTGACCCGCCTCCGGCAAAGGTTGCTGCGAGATGTGGTTCACTGCGGCTGCTACTCCCGCCGCATCAATGAGATATACGACCGCAGAGTTGTGCGTGACCTTCTTATAATTGGTAGGTGGATAGAGCAACGACTGCGGCTGGAGCCTCAGGTGCTTCGTCGGCGGCGACGCAGGAGGCGTATCTGGCTTATCAGACGGGGCCGGGCCGGGTGGGCAAACGGGCAGGTGTTTGTTGGGTATAGGAATTGGGCACGCGGCGGAGGTATTGATGCCATCGAGGTTTATGGAGTGGGTGAGCGTGGGTATGGGAGAGGAGGAGCGATAACGCGGCAGTGGACGAGGCAGAGCAATGGTGGCCATAATGATGAAGCGGTTTGTATTAAATCGTTGTAGATGTCAACGCGGCGGCTCCAGATTGTAGGCAAGGGGCGCCGAGATTATTGACTGATTGAGTGAAGGGGTGGTGAACTGGGCGAGGACTCAGTCCGTCATCGACGTCTGCTGTGGTTGTGCTACAGAGAGAAGCCGTCAGCCAAGCCGTACCGTAAACATGGCGATAAGGCTCGATATCGACGACCGAGCAGCTGCAAGCTGCAGGTGAAGCAAGACGGCATACTCACTATCCAAAATGACTCTATTCACTCCCAAGTCTGCGTAAATGACGAGAAGGCCGGCATCAAACGCGAAGACGAGGGCAAGGCGGACGGGACATTCAGATAAGAAGATAACAGGCAGGGTTGAGCATACGGAGTACAACGATTAATGGTGTAACGGCGAATCAATTACAGCAGCGGAGAGGAAGGAAGAGGGTGATGATGTTTGTTGTTGGCGATGTATTTTTGAAAGAAAGAAGAAGTTGTTGAGGAGGGGTGAGGGGGAAAGAGAGAGAGGGAGGGCAATGTGTGGTTTCAATGGAAGGATGATGGATGGATGGGAGGGAGGAGAAAGGTGTCGAGGCGAGAAGTGACTTGTGAGCCATGTACTATATGCAACTGCACCACGATTGGGCCTTTCTAGCACCAGATAGGGCGAGGATGATGGAGAAAGAGGATATAGGGCAGATCTGTAAAAGCCAGGTCGGTCTTTTGTCTTTGTCTTTGTCTTTGTCTTTGTCTTTGTCTGTCTTTGTCTTTGTCTTTGTCTTTGTCTTTGTCTTTGTCTTTGTCTTTGTCTTTGTCTTTGTCTTTGTCTTTGTCTTTGTCTTTGTCTTTGTCTTTGTCTTTGTCTTTGTCGCTGTTGATTTTATTGATTATTATGTTGATCTCACCCCTCTTCACCCTTCAACCTCCCCGTTACCTGTCACCCTCCCAGTCTCAGGGACACTGCCCTTCGGTGTCATAAAGATGGGATTGCTCCCTCGCACCGCCCCATCTCGGCACTGTCGTACTCGCACAACACCGGCCGTCGTACAGTGCAGTACATGACATGAGCCGAGACAAGAAAGACAAGACACCGCAGACGTTATCCGGCAAATGCTGCAGATAAGAGACAGAGAGAGAAACTTGACGGACAACGGCGCTGAGCTACAGGTAGGTAACCTTACATACAGGCCGACTGAGTATCCTCCTTGCCTCCAGTATCGTGCAGTTCATCTCCGCTAACATATTGGTTCTATGTCTTACCCTACGTCTCACCCCGACTATCTACCAACAAAGGCAGAGTGGGAAGAAGAGAAGAAGAGGAAGAAGAGGAAGAAGAGGAAGAAGAGGAAGAAGAGGAAGAAGAGGAAGAAGAGAAGAAGAGGAAGAAGAGGACATCTTATCCTGTGCCTGGAGGGGTCAGGTCTATAACTTATGGCTACAGCCATCACCCTGCCCGTCCTTTGTCCGTCCACCATCCGCGCTGCTGCACACTCCAGCATACTCCGTACATACTGTGGATCATCCCGCTACTGAGACGACTACTGGGACTTGTACCACTACTAGACTAACACCACTACTGACTACTGCACTACTAACACTATCAACCCACACTCTCGCACCACTCGCAGCACGCGCCCCTCATCCAACGCTGCCACAAGCATCCAAGACGACGGGGGTCCCCATACAAGCTTGCCAACCTCGCTCCCCTCCCAAACCAAGACGACGGGGGTCCCCAGCTCCCCTCCCCCAAGACGACGGGGGTCCCCATACAAGCTTGCCAACCTCGCTCCCCTCACAGACCACTACTGACACTAGCATGGGTCGGCGGCCGCTTGCTGGTTTGATCGCTTATTGCAGACGGCTGTGGGAGAGTCTTACCAGGACCGATGTGGTGAGGGCCTGAAATAGCGTCGTGTGGGGATGCGATATCTTGTCCTGGTGATGGTGATGTTCCAGGCCTTTGTTGTGGTGCAATTAATTGTGGTAAGTTAGATGAAAGAGGAAGAGAAGCCGATGCAGTAACGGCAGAGGGTGAGCCTGTCCCGTATTCATAGTACCACAGATTCAAGTCAGCAATTCACATTTTGAAAAACTCACATCGGATTTTCAAAAGACAGCAGTAGCACAGCAATTACGTGAAACTTTTTCGGAATTCTTCACATCATTAGTCTATCGAAGGACAGGGGAAGAATAAGCCGACGTCCGCCAACGCCGACTAGCCCCCCCTTCTCCGTAATCGTTATTACAGTAATTAGAATCAACAAAACGCCAAACCCATGCTCCCAGAACTCCAGGCCGCCCAACCATTTTTAAAACGCAATGAACGCATGAATAGAACCACACAAGAATTTAAACACAAGAATCCAAGTACAACCCCCCACCCCAGAGAGCCAGGAGTGGATTCATACCCTTCCGCCGGGTGAACTCTCCACCCCCGGCCCTCACATATCCTCCGCCGCCTCCAGATCCCCGCCAAACCCCCCATTTAATAACACAGCCGCGATCCGACGGCGCTGCATGGTCATATCATCGCCATCATAGCTGGTGGTGGTGACCCCACCCACGACGCACTCAGCATTGGTAACCGCAAACACCCCACAATCATATCCATTATGCTGACTGGCAGACTGTGTGTTAAGGACGCGCCAGTCGTCCTCATTCCACGCAGAGCCCAGCTCTATCGCCAGCCACGCCTTTGTGTTGCGTATAAAGACGTCTTTGGACCCGCCAAAAGAGTCGAGGTATTCGATTGTGCGGGCTCTCGGGGAGACGACAATCATTGTCCAGTGAGAGGCGTTGTTCACCGGTATCAACATCGTCTCAACGTCCAGTAAGTTCTTCCCTGCAGCCCGCTTCCGTCTCATCCAGCGAGATACGGATTGGGGCCCGTCGTCACGGATCTTCTTGTAGAAGAATGAACTCTGTGCGACAACCTTCGGGGTTTTGTCACGCTGGTTTCTTCCAGCTTTCTTGTTTGCGTGTTCAACCACCATGTCCACGTATGAATTTATGATATTGTCGTTCAACCAAGCTGCATGGCCGAGGGCTGTGATAAAGTCTCTCTTCACCAGCTGTGTCCCGTCTAAAGTGGTCGCCAGAGTAACTCCCTCCCCTTTCCTCATAGCTTGGTCAACCTTGACCTGCCACTCGTCGCTGAGTTGAACCAGCTTCGTCTGTAGTCGACGACGCCCTGTATGTGGTTCTCGAGCAGCCTCTTCTTCTGCAATCTCTCTAGCCAATTTCTCTGCTACTGCTTGAGCCCTGGCCAGTTCTTCGGCGGCCATCCGAGTATAATCTTCGAACGCCTTCTTCCTCCTTTTGTCATCTTCAGTCTTCCATTCCGCATGTTCACTGGACGATTCCAAGGCAAGGCTCTTCAAACCAACCTGGACCCCGGCCTCCAGAACCTTCGCTTCTTCATATACTTCGGGCATGAGGAAATAATCAACATAGCTCTCATCCCGAGCTTTTTGAACTTCTTCAGAAGGCGCCATCGGCACCTGTATCGATGGTAAAGGCTCATCTTGAGCCTCATGCTGGTGATTGCGCTTCAAAATCGACCGGACCGCTTGCTGTGCTAGTTTCTCTGGCTTGTTCGCCTGTTGCTTGCCAATCGTCCGCGCCAATCGCTGTGCTGGTGTCTGTGCCCCATATCCGGCCCCCTGTTCGGCCCCTTCGGAACTCTCTGCCTCATCTTCGGCCTCCTGTTCGGAACTCTGTGGGGAAGCTAGCTGTACCCTTGGTCGTGTCAGTGTCTTCGCTAGACTGGCTCGTTGCCGGGTAGTCGGCCGCGCCATTTCCTGTACCAGTCTCTCCGCCTCCTTGGCGGCCTCTTGTTGGGCTTTTACGCTGGCTATCCGCTCGAAATCCTTCCGGGCCGTCTTCTGTAACTTCTCCTCCTCCACTTGCTTCTGAGCCATCTCGTCATGGGTTCGTCTCTTCCTGGCATTCTCCAGGGCTATCATCTCGTCAAGGCTCTTTGGCCGATTTCTTTCGAGATAGAGCCGTGACTCTTTCCTTCTCTCTTCAAAACTATCTTCGTCGGGCATGTCGTCGACGCGCAGAGACCGATCCATCGCTGGTGCTTGAGTGTCCAGGATGGGCATGCCGGCGGCCATTAGAGGAGATGCGGGGGGGCTGGGCGGTCCCAATGGTTGGGCACCGGTTGTATTTTGAGGAGCAGTGTGTTCCCTTGATGATTTGCCACTGCGGAACTGCGCAGAAGCTGGAATATTTGTTGGTTCTCGCTGGGATCGACGGAGATTTCGGGGAAGCTGGCGCAGAGATTGTCGTGGAGCTGTTTGCGCCCGCCGCTGATGGGTAAGCTCCTCAACTGTCGGAGCAGACGGTCCCATGACCTCCGTTGCCCGACGCTTGATGGACATATATCCATCAGCGGCGACGCGCCGGATCTCTGTGACTTGGACTATTGTTGTCAGATTGAGGCCAGTATCATGATTGCGGGGATGGAAACTCACCCCGACGCGCTTTCCGGAATGTCCACTGGGCCGAAGCCCAGGTGATCCCGGCAAACCAGCACACTGCGGTGATGAAGTACCGCAGTTTCATCGTCGCGGGGCCGTCAATAATCTGAAAAAAAAGTTAGCTCGTTGCGCAAATCAAACGAAACAAAGAAATGGTGGTACCGGCTGGATGCCAGGGACACCTGCCGACCCCTCGACGTATTGAGGATGGTCCTCGAATTGCGCACGTTCAGCGGTGCGCTTGCGACTGGGGGAATGAAAACCCCCGCCGCATCGAAGACCAACCTCGTTACGACGAGGTGGTGTGTCGACAAATGCCCCTGGCATCGGGGGCACCCAGTCTGGATGGTCGCGCTCATTCGCGACGGCCACACACCGACCTGACATTGGCGGCTGCCAGGCCGGCGTGTAGTCGCCGCGATGAGTTGGCTCCCAATCCATCGGGCTGGAGAGGAGCGCCATCGCGGGAAGTTATCAATGAGTATCGTTCGCTGCGATAAGAAAGTGAAGAGAGCTGAAGCTGTTGTGCAAAAAAGCTAGCTGATGCTGTCGTAAGAATGTGTACTGCGCGTGCGATGATGTTGGAGGGAAGAAGAAGAGAGAAGTGGGCGGGAAGTAAATAAAGAACATGCGACTTGGGCCGGCACTGGGTTGAACGTACCTTCCAGTATCGAGTACATATTTGAGTTTCTGTGCCGTCGTGGCCAACCCTCAGTTACTGAGATGGAGATTCGAATAAAGAGAGACTGGCGCGATGGAGAGCCCCAGTTGCGATTTCCCGACGCTGTTAAACTTAGTTTCTGCCTTACCTAAGCGAAGGCGGTCAAAGTAAGGTAGGGATCAGACCTGCAGCCCTCAATGTGGAGAAGATGGAACAGGGATTGATTCATCACGAGCTATCGTTTGTTCCAAGATTCATTCATATCCTGGGACGAGTAACTGCTTGCTTCTAAAAAATGCCTACCTTATATTTATGTACAGTATCTCTCATCAAGATTACAGCTGACCCCTCAGCTCACCAAGTTTCTTCGTGCAGAATGCGGCAAAGTACTCGTTCAAGGTATCCACCGTTCCACTGCCTTCCACCAAACTGACAACAATACCAACATATCCATCAGGTCGCACTCCGCCCTTGTTCTGATCCAGGCCCATCTTTGCGTGTGTTGCTGCAGTGGCGTTTGGCACTCGCTGGTCCCAAATGTCATCCGCGAAAATGTGGTCCCTGTAACGCGCTAGAGTCGCTGGGACGTCTTGCGATACCTCAATGTCGGCTCTCTTGCTGGCAAACACGGTGCATAAAGTGTAGAACAAACTCTCTGGGTTGTGACGCTTATGATAAGAGATAGATGTATTGTCAGGACGCCTGTATGAGCTGTAGAAGGAACCCTTCTTGTCAAGATTGGCGCCAAAGTCATATAGAGCCTTCCTTGTCACAGCCTGTTCACCAGCAAACACATAGATGCGGTATGATCCATTCATAGGTATCTCTTGCTCCATCCAAGTGGACGACGTTGGCATCGACAATCCGGGTGACATTTGCGTTGATCAAGATGCGGCCTGTGCGGAGTGTGGTGCCTTCAGGATGGATAAGAGGCGACTTTGCGGGGTGGTCTGGGCTCCAATTAAGGGGGTTTGGCATATATGCCACTCCGTAGCCGCTAGTAAACTCACAAGACTCCTTGAACGTCTTGATGAATATGTTCTCTTCTCCAGTGTTGGATGTGGCGCCCTCTGAGGCGGCTTTCACGTCGTGGGCAGCAGGCGGGCGCTGAGAGAACAATGCAGCATACTTTGCATCAAAGTTCAATAAGTTTTCGGCGACAAGCTTACGCTCTGATTCATAAGTCTCCAAGATGCCACGGTCCGCAAATCCAGATTCGACATGGTGAATCTTCCATGCAAGGTTCTGGGCATCGAGGAAAGCAGTGTTCATGCCCTGACTAGCTTTTGGCTATTTTACAGTAAGCATCGGTCAAGGCATTGAGTATATTTGCTCGCAATGCCTTGACCGTAGACCGAGAACCACTCAACACGCTCCCAAGTAATGTTATATTGGCGCCATAAACTTTTTCGCGGCTGCCTGAACCTCCTCTTCTGTAGCAGTTCTCTTGGGATGCCAGTTTTTATCTGTCGACGAGGCAATTTGGATATATAATCGGACCATATTTTCCTCTCGAGGGATAACCATGATCGATCCGTGCTCGGAATGAATCGTACATTTCATCTGGTATAATTGTTAACCTCGCACGGGTAAAATCTTGGGGACAGACTTACTTTGATATCAGGGAAGTCTGTCTGAACGATACCATCCATAACACCCCATACATAGCAATGGGGTCTTTGTGTGTTGTTTGGATGTTCAAGTGGTCCCTAATAAACGACCTGCTCCCTCGCCGCGAACAAGTATTTGGCTCGAACCGTTTCGGTGGCCTCACCATCGACATGCGCGATGTTGACATCCACAGGGTATGTTGGGTCAACATCTGCATCTGTTTTGAACCAGGTTATAGTCCAAGGTCGTTGTATTTCAACCCCGTTCAATAAAGGCACGTTCGATATGTCCTTGGTGCAACAGGGTCGTAAATGGGTATCTGGCATCGATGAAGCTCGGACAGCTCGCCCATGTTCCTGTCCGGTGGATGCCATCTTGAGCAGAAGTGGGATCCCAAAATGCTACTCGAAGACCTTTGCTGGCTTATGGGCCATTATTTGAGGCTTCAAGCCCATGTTCTTGAGTAAATCAAGGGAGCGGGGTTGGATGCCATCTGGGCGACCTGTCTTCGTCGGTTCAGGACGATTGTCGATATGCTTTATCTTGTAACCCCATCTTGCAAGACAGGTAGAGAGCAAGAGGCCAACCGGGCCAGCCCCAACTATCAGCACGCGGGTTGGACTCCGATTGATGCGGGGCAGTGGGAGGCTAGAGGTGAGATGTGGGATGGCTGACTAATCCAGGGTCCAAGATGCAAAGCCAACCCGGGGACCACGCATACGCATGGACCTTCTGTATTCTTCCAGATATTCATGAGTGAGCTTCAAAATGTCAATCAAGATTAAACCAAGTAACTATCAACCTACATGGTCTCTACTGTTGAATATCCTATAGTCCAAATGCCCCTCAGGATGTTAATGTCAAAGACTGCCCATGCAGCTCGAGTGACAGCCATGATGGGATCATCAGCGTGCCCATGCCGAAGTAAATCAGGCGGGTCGATCCTACCCAGTAAGTCCAATTTGCTTCTTTTCAAACAGTCCTGGTGCTCTTTGATAAAGTCTGGGCCTTGGTTAAAGATGCCGGAGAGGAAAGCATCAGGCATGTTTTGTCCACACCAACATAATGGAATTGTTGCTGCTATGACCTGGATAGAACACAAGTTATCTGTTCTAGATGGGCTTTACCTCCCATTGGTTTGAATCTCATATGCCCGGTGCAATAGCACAACGGTATTGGATCTCTTCCCCGTTTGAATCTGTTGATGCAACAGCCATTCAAGAACCAAGGAGATTTGGGATTGGAGCTCGCAAGAACCACCTTGGCCAACTGTGCATTTCTATTGCCATATAGTCCAAGTATTATATGCCTAGTAACCAAAGAAGTTGGGCCAAGAGAAGTGTTTTCGGCAACGAGCTCTGGATGGCTCAATCTGCTAGAAATGTTACTATCAATACCACAAGTGTGTTATAACAAGAAGTATTCTTTGTTCGCTTCGTGATTGTACAAAAAAAACATTAGCAACAATCCCATAGTATATTGTGGTATCCAGTTTTGTTAGAGGCCCAGTTGGCCATTTATGTGCATCATTGTTGTGTTTTTTCCTGGAATTGTATATGCTTAGATATTCTACGGAATCGCTTGTGGTACCAGGACGCTGGTTCTATGATGATTCTACAAAAATATTTTTGTTAACCAACCTCTATGTTCTCTCGCCATGGTTGGATACAACGCCCATTGCTGCTTTCTTTGGCAAAGCTGGAATATTATACTGGGGGGATACTGAAACCTGAAGGTACCACCTAAGCTGCCAGACTAGATAAAGTCATGTGCGCTTAGTACTGCCCCTACATATATTTACCAAAACGTCAACGATAGGCGCGGTAGGCACAAAACAACGAACAACACACCCAAGCACTCTGTTGTACAGGAGAATCCGATATAAGAAGTCTCTACTGCAGCTATACTCGAAGCAATCCATGGCACCCTCTATTTACTCATCAATGCGTCAAGACGTAGACATCATGGTTCCGAGCCGTTATCTTCCTCAAAACAACCCACTTCTGGTGTGCGATCCTGAGCCACATGGATGGGCAAGGAAAGACCCAATTGCTCACAGCGATTATGTGTCAATGGAAGAACTTGTTACTTATAACAACTTTCGGTATGTTTAGACCTATTATATGGGCATTGAGCTCTTCAACTAATGTCATAGACTTGCCAAATACAGAGAAGAACACTCCGTGAACAACCTAAACAACCTTGAAGCTGAGACAGCCACAAATATTCGAACAGTTCCAGAGGCTGCAGAAGACAGAAAGTATGAGATCTAAAGAACCCAAAATATGATTGTGTGTGCTAATGTTTCCACAGAATTGCTTCACGCAGAGCCGATATCGTCAGGGCCATCCGTGGCCAAGCTAGCCCGCGGAAGAATCCATATCCCGAGAGCTTCACAAAGAGGCGCAATGTGCAAGGTCTTCGCAACAGAGCAACTTACTTTGCAAAAAAAGAATGTTGGGAAGAGTGCCAAAGAGATTCCTGGCTTCAACAGGATGCCATAAGCTGGGAACAGTCGATCAATAAAGCTTTGCCTCAGACGCCACCTTTGAGTAAGTTTGAATCCCCAGCACGCGACATATGAATCCAATTTCTCCAACACTTACGTCCAGCGACATTACACCCAAAAACCCCTTTACGAATAGAGACAGAGTTCATTGAATCTGTATACTCGGATGAGCGATAAATTGGAACGTGCTAACGTCTTCTCTCAAGGTCTTCATCAGCAAAGCAAGTCCGAGGAATCGAGGGTTTTAAGAGTTGCTAGCTCCATCTATTCGGATGATTCTTATTTATCTTCCAGACATGGCCATGGAAACAACAATCAGGATGACCTTTCCATGAATGCCTCTGCCTCCGAGTCTTGTGCCGAATCTGCTGATGGCTATCCTAACTCGCCGCCGCCTTCGCACTCTCATTCAAGCCGGATGGAACAGACCGAAGATTCTTCCAGCAGCCCGCCGGAAATCTCGGACCCAAATTACCAGATTAATGAAGGACTATTGGAAGAGCTCAAAAATCACTATCTGAAACCAAGGAACAAAATCTCACACGAGGAAAGCACATCGTGTAAGCCAGCCACGACGCAGAAGGTCAGTAACTTCTTGTATAGAAGCAACTCGCTGCCAGTGAATATCACACCAATGAGCGAACGCCAGAAGACTCGCCTTGAAATATTCCGAGAGAGTGCCCCAACCAATGGAACGAGTCAGGTGGATAGACTGCCACATCATGTTGCAATCACTCGGCCTCGGGCATCCGGCCTATTAAGTCCCGCTATAAACGCCAAGGAGCTGCATCCTGCGGCCGATCAGTTAACTGGCATTCACCAACCAGCTATTCGCCGACCAGAAGTCGCCATAGTCACCTATGGCAATGACGAAAACAATCATGGGACAGCTCATACTAACGGGTATCAATCCGAGGGGAACGGTCCACGAAACTTTCGCCAGCGCACCGTTAGCACCGACTATCCCGAGGATAGAAGCACAAGCACACTTGGCGGGGATTATTTTGCGTCCTCTGACGACGATCCATTGGAAGCGCAAGGAGTTGCTGACTCACCATTGAAGAAAATATTTGGCGATGGTGGCTCTTTCGATCAACTCAAGGCCGACACGAAGCCAGTCCTCAAGTCCATGTGGGGCTCTGTAAAGGCGAAGGTTCATATAACCGTAAGCCACGTCGACATTTATAACGCCCTTCCACTAACGCTCGCTCTAGAAACCGAAGATGGGCATGTCAGCCTTCAAAGAAATGTTCTCTCTCCGCTCACAGGACCCCAACTTGGGAATGGTGACGTCGAATTTCATGATATCTTGTGATCAGGAATTTCAGTCGTCGCTATATGCAAGCCTTGATCTTTTAATCTGCACGGTTGCGAACAAATTTCTTCTGTTTGAGCATTTTGAAGATAGGGTCACTCCAGTCATGGCGGCTCAATACATAGAGAAGTGGGTTAAGCTAGGTAGGGCGCAGTTCACCGAGTTCAACTGTGGTCAACCTTTCCAGGCGTTGATAATCTGGGAATGTCGCGAGTCACTTCAGTTCTATGGCGACCACGAGGCTCGTGTAAGGAATGCGGCCCTCGACACGTGGCTTAAAAATGCCAACTCAATGTCTGTGCTAACTCGATGCAATGGAGATTCTGCTATCCAGAAGCATATGCATGATTCCTGGAAGGTTCTGGAGATACTGGGTGGCACCTGGGACAACTACGACTCTCTGTCCCGCCTTCACATTTCGTTTCATGATGTGGTTGCTGGCGCAAAGACACGCAATGATGCCCTCGGCATTGAACACGATTGGAACCCGCCACCTGTGCCACCAACTCCGGCGATGGCATCAATAAAGTCCCCGGATTTGTCCCACCTATACAGGCAAGGTTGAACTGCTGTTGGCATACTCGCAGCAAAGTCTATGTCCAAGAACCGGGCCATTTGGCATCAATAATCTCAAATGCAAAGTACCCTGTACCATATACGACGGCCTGTACGATTTATAATACAGTTGTAGTTCCTCTACTTCAATGGTTTTAGTATAGCAACTGTCGGGCTGCAGAATAGGATGGGGTGCGTTGTACGGATATTCGGTGGTTGAACTCTGTGCGACGGTAGAAGCTTTCTGAGATGCTTACAGCCTACACAATTTGCAGGGTTCCCAACAGTGTCTGAGGGCAGCTCAGTGACTATGCATGGTGTTTCATGTAGGAACCGCTTCATTATGTACTATATAGGAATGATAATGGAACTTTTATTTCTCATACACTCTCTGGCGTAGATCCAAACCGTGGCAGTACCAGGAGTCCCTGAGGGCGGTGAGCCTAATTGGCGCTTGCATGTGGCAGAACAGGGCTGACGTCACGCTCAAAGGAACAAACAACACAGCAGCGCCGGAATCACCTGCATCAACTCCGACAATCGCAAAACGACACGCGTTATAGCAGGAAAGAACGCGGGAAGGCCGTTGCACCTATCAACAAGTCAGCTGCCTACTGAGAGCCCCGTGGGCTCGAACTTTCAATCCAAAACGACGGATTGTCAGTGCTTGCCCATTTTTCGCATATGGCACCTCCGGCTTGAGATGAAAAGTATTGTCTCAGCCCCGAAGCTCTTGGACCTACCATGTGAGTAAAAACATGCCAGTAAGCTTATCAAATCACCACCTGACAGGCGCAGTTTACCATGGCTCGCTCAAGCCATTCTTACGGCCCTACCTGCCGTCTCGCTCCAAATGTCGACTCTAGCAGTAAGGGGGATGATAGCCAGCCACCTGTTTGGATACAGTTCTTTTACGCATCAGCTCTACCAATCGACGATCCGCTATCTGTTGTCCCCACCCCTAGCAGCGACCCGAGATCAGCAAAACATGCACCGCGACCCTTCTCACCATGCGATAATAATGCCCTCGAAGAAGCTTGGCTTGCCTTTGGCCCAGCTCGACTCAAAACCGGACATCGAACATCTAGCATAAGTCCGAAAAAACCTCTAGTCAAAGTTACTGCCAATGCAGCGAATGGAAATAGAGGAAGTGGGGTTATAATTGAGGATGAAGGCACAAATAAAGGGCATTCGCAGCCGCACGACGAAGACCACAAAGACCGCAAGGCGGCGATAAAAAGTCAGAGCTCCTCCAGTTTAACTGATGATCAAACCACCGGGGATGCTGGAGCGACATCGTTAGGGCTCTCTGAAGCTGGCACCACGGGCTTTCCATTCCAAAGGGCGCCTGAACGTTCAGAAAACGTCCGGCCACTAGCTGCAGAAGTGTCTCCAAAGTCACCATCTTCACCTGCCACATTTATGCCCCTAGAAGAAGACAGTAGCCACCGCGAAAACGAACAGCTGGAATCAACTGCGCCCTGCGACGATGCACAACTTGAGGAAGCTAACGCTTCTCGCTGCGAATCAAAAGAATCTACGAAGGAGACTGCCAGCATACCTGTTGGAATATCTCGATTGCATCTCGTGCAACTGCCAAATCTCCAAATGAAACCTATATATTGGTCGCCCGTGCACGACGTTGCTGCAGTTTCCCGCGGAACATGGTTTTATCGAGATACTATGTATCCCGTGGAAAGCGCCGTTGCCAATCAATTAGAAACGGGGTATCGGGAACTGCGTCCATGGTCTCGGACATGGAGCGATGAGCTCGCGAGTGCGCTTGCTCTTGGTGCAGATGGCGAGGAAAAGATATCACATCGATTATGGCCGAGTGGCGAGGAGCCTTCTGAGGAAGCCCGATCTCATTCCGCTGTATCCCTGAACAATCCTCGGTTCGCTGCTATGTGCTTCAACGGAGAAGTTGCCGCTGAAGGGGATGCCTATCTTATCGAATCCGACGAAAACAGTCCTGCGAAAGTGAACACTCCACGTCGTTACCCAAACTCGCATGTTATTTACAAGGATTCGCGAAATGCGTATATTTTGAAGACTAGCCTTCAACCATCTGCCTATTACGGACGGAAACCGCTTTCTAAGATTAGGAAAGGTATTACTGTTGGGCTACACGTTGTCCGTGGATTTGATTGGCCATTATGGGAGAAGCTGCACCCTAACCACAAATCAGCTGTAGCTTCTATGGCAGAAGATGCAGCCCCGGCTTCTGGGACTGAAAATCGATGTCAGAGAGCTGTCTGTGAAGCTTGTGCAGCACAACCCGAGAGACCGGCAGTTACAGACCTTGTTCTTGTTATACATGGAATTGGTCAGAAACTGTCTGAGAGAGTCGAGAGTTTCCATTTCACACACGCAATCAACTCATTTAGGCGGTCTATCAACGTAGAATTAGCTAATGAGGGCGTCCAAACGGTGCTCCGACCCGGTCTGGGCGGAATCATGGTTTTGCCTGTCAACTGGCGCTCCAATCTCTCATTTGAAGAAGGTGGCCCTATGAAGGCTTCGGATAAGGGCAGGGAGTCCCTCCACACCAAATTTTCCTTGAAGGATATCACCCCGGATACTATACCAACAATTCGGAACCTTATCTCAGATGTCATGCTCGATATACCTTTCTATATGTCACATCATAAGCCCAAGATGATCGAAGCGCTTGTTTACGAAGCCAACCGCGTGTACCGGCTATGGTGCGAGAACAACGAGGGGTTTCACCAAAATGGCCGTGTCCACATCATTGCCCATTCTCTGGGTAGTGCGATGGCCTTAGACGTGTTATCGAGGCAACCTACTGTTCCGCCGGAGGTTATTCCAGGCGATGGGTCTTCAGTGTCGAAACATTTTGACTTCGACACCAAGAACTTGTTTTTTGTAGGTAGCCCGGCCGGGTTCTTTTTACTGCTGGAGAGAGGGAAACTCGTGCCAAGGAAGGGAAGGAACAAGCCTGGCGCGGGCTCTGATGGCCAGGACGAAAGCATTACCAGCGATGCTGACAATTATGGTTGTCCGGCGGTGGACAACCTGTATAACGTTATGGTAAGATAATAAATCCCTGACTCGTTTGGGTTCTTCAAAGGCATCTGCTGATCTGTTTTATAGCATTGCAATGACCCCATCACATATCGCCTTAACGCCACCATCGATCCAGCGTATGCACTGTCTCTCAAGAACGCCCGAGTCCCCTACGCCACGGCGGGTTTCTTTGGATCCATTGGCAATACGATGAAGAGCCTCATTCCAGGTGCAACTTCAGCACCCGACCTGGGCGTCGGACAGGTCGCAAAGCCAGCTATCCCCCGGCTCCCGTCGCAGCTGGAAATGGAAGTCCACGACTTCACGCGCGAAGAGATTGCTGAGAAGAAATTTTTTCTACTCAACGACAACGGGCAGGTCGATTACTTCCTGAGCTCTGGCGGCGGCCCGCTCGAGATCCAGTACCTGAACATGCTGAGCGCCCATAGTTCGTACTGGAGTAGTCCGGACTTCATCAGGATGCTGGTTACCGAAGTAGGCCGAAAACCCGGGAAACTGAATACGCTACCTAATATGAGGGCCGCGAAGAAGACGCAGAAGACACAAAAGTGAATGGCCCAGGGGGGTCCGAGAGTAGATTGGTTGGAAAAGTAGGCGATTGGTAACGGAGTTTGGAGCATGGAGTACCAGGGGGAGATAAATAATATATTTGCATGGAGAAATAGAGACGTGCATTTAGTCTCAGACCGTCCATAACTACAGTATGCCTCACAATATAGGGCCATTCGCTATTGATACTGCTACATAGAGTGATCTGTAGAGAGTGATCGCCATCGCCATGACTCGCTATACTTACCCCCGAGTGGAGCTTCGCTGTTATCAACGGCGGCTCGACTTCCCTAGAGTACATACTGTAACTTACGAAAAGCGGAAGGTGGGGGTTTGGTCGTTAAAGCGCTAATTTCAAAGTCAACGTGGTGCGGAGGTGGGCAGGTCCCGCCAGGGTACGTGCGGACATGTTGCTCGACTGCGAGCTAATTATGAACCATAAGGGGTCCATACTCTGGCGTCTTACCCACAGCAGAACAACCTCAGCTTCTGTTGGGATGTATGATGGAACCTCAAGCACCAAGAAACCCATATTCGTACCGACTGTGACAGCTTACAACATCAACTATTGATATGCCAGACTGTTGTTGCGAGTGTATGCGTACAGCCGCCGTATGATAGTTGTTTGATAGCAGCACCAATGGCCAAAAAGGTGCGCCAGCGGATTAGCTATGGTGAGTGTGGTTACATAAAACCCCGCCACGCAACGATGCAACTTGTCTTGCCACCAGAGATATCTCGCTGGATGTTGCGCATGAGTGCTGATTCTTTTGTCTAGTTTTACCGCTTGCGAATTCGCCAGGCGGTCATAGGCTAGGCGTGAATGGACTCGCTGTTGACGGCGAGAACTCGATACTGTACGTTTTGAAAGACTTTGCTTCTCGCCTGCCTGACCGCACGCTTCGACATTTAGACTGATGTAACATAGATACTCGGGAGGTCGCGATGGTGCCATTTGCGCATGGGACTTGGATCTCAACCTCAAACGCAGCAACGGTCTTGAGGACCCATTCGAATCCCCGGAGGATCCCAAGGAGGACCCGAGCTCCAAACGCACACCGAAGACGACTTTCCGAGCCCAGACACAGGCCCATACGCACTGGGTGAATGATATTGTGCTCGCGCAAAACAACACAGCGTTGGTTTCAGCCTCGTCGGATCTTACGGTGCGAGTATGGCGGCCATTGACATATGACTCGGAGGCGCCACAGACAATTGGGCAGCACACAGACTATGTTAAATGCCTAGCGACGCCGAACAGCCAGGCCGATTGGGTTGCGTCTGGAGGCTTGGATCGAAATATCTGCCTCTGGGACCTGAATGGGGCCGGAAAGAAGCTAGAGATTGAGATCAGTGGCGAAGAGAAGAGCGAGAAAGGATCCGTCTATGCTCTGGGCGTCAGCCGTAGCATGCTTGCCAGCGGGGGGCCCGAAAGCATAGTGCGCCTTTGGGATCCAAGAAGCGGACAGCGCATAACGAAATTCGTTGGACACACGGACAACGTCCGGTCAATCCTGATAAACGAGAGCAGCGACACGATTATGACCGCCAGTTCGGATCAGACTGTGAAAGTATGGAGTGTGACTGCTGGCAGATGCATGCATACCCTCACGATGCACAATGACAGTGTGTGGACGCTATTTTCCGACGATCCCGAGTTGGGAACCTTTTACTCTGCTGATCGTTCTGGCCTCATCGTTAAGACGGACGTGAGAAACACAAACGGCGAGATGGACGATGGCATCTCGCTGGCCGTAGGGCAGGAGACTGAAGGGGTGAACAAAGTTATTGCATACGGAGACCACATCTGGACTGCCACTGCTAGTTCATCTATCAATAGATGGGCTAATGTGGATACTGGGGATAGCATCCAGTTGCCCGAAGTATGCAAACACCGCAGGACATCGAGCGACGCGTCAAGGCAGAGACCTGCGTCACCCCCAGCGGCAACTCCCAGCGGCAAAAAGGAGATCCCAGTTAGATCGATACTTCGAATTTCGAACACAGCAAGTTTCCCTGCTGCTGCTGCTAGAGATGGAGATGCTATGACCACATCCACTGCGAGCGTCAAGCAAGATGCAGACCTCTTGGACCCAGATATTGTTCTGATAGAGCCGATCCATGGATTACCTGCCGAAACGATCGAAGGTCAGCATGGGTTGGTGAAACACAAGTTGATGAATGACAGGCGAAGAGTTCTAACACTGGATACCGCGGGAGATGTACTCCTATGGGACCTTCTCCAATGCGTCCCAATACAATCTTTTGGGAAGAGACATCTAGAAGATGTGGAGCCTGAAGTCAACACCAATGAAGCGATTGCACCTTGGTGCTCTATTGATACTAGAACGGGCCGGTTGGCGGTTGTGCTGGAAGAGTATAATTGCTTTGATGCGGAGATGTACGCCGATGAGATACAGATGGGCGAACCAATCTCCCACCGTGATGATCAACGCATAAATCTAGGCAAATGGGTTTTGAGGCATATATTTTCTAGGCTCATCGATGAAGTCATAAGGAGGGACGAGGACCTCCGCAAAGAACTTACTTCAAAGGCTAGAGCATCGAGGCCGCGAGACCTGCCACCGACAGGATTACAGATCCCAACCGATAACCCCTTTTCTTCTGGGGATAGCGACGTCTCGACGCCACGTGGAAACGGCCACCAGGTTCAGGGGACTCCTAACCTGGGAATCGTTGTTGCTACACCTCTAGTGCCGCCGAATAGCGTACCTGCAGTTTCCGAAGACGAGTCGAAACTGGAGAAACTGCAGTCACAAATAAGCCACAGTTCGGCCGATAAAACGGGCGATTACTTTACCAGTGCCCCGTTGGCATCGTCTGAGACTAAACCCGCAGCGACACCGAATGATGCGCAGGAAGCGCCTAAAGCTACCCCCGATCCTGAAAAACAAACCAATGGGAAGGAGGCTGGATCAAAGTTTGGCAAGAAATTCAAGATGTCCTTCGGTAGCAAGAAGGTTGCCCGCTCTACATCCACTTCCGCAGAGAAACCAGTCGTGGAAGTTGAGAAATCAGAATCTGAGACCTCGGAGCCTACTGAGAAGGACACCGACGACAGCTTTGCGGGCATTATCCAGAAGATCAACGCCGAATACCAGAAACACCTGAGCGAGTTCCCCAATCAGCCACTGGCAAGCGGGGTCACGCCAAGCTTGCCGAACGAGGCGCCGGTCTTGAAGCCGCCCACGATGACTACTGTAATTATCCAGGAAGAGACTTCAGGAGGAAGTGCGGATTTGTATCGAGGTACTGTAGGCACAGTTGGCGAGGATGCGAGCACGATCATCGAAAGAGCACCAAACTGGTTAGGGGCACTTCTGTTGAAGAATAGGATACCGTTCAAAGAACCGGTGAAGCTGTCGTTCATCCTTCAGCCCTGGCAGGACTTACTTCCTGGCATTGCTGGCCCAGACGGGTATTCCACTCTTCCATCTGAAACCGATCCAAGCTAATATCTCCACAGAAATTGCAGATTGAACGCAAACCGGATGCTTCGTGTCAAGAAAATACTGGCTTACGTCGCTGAACGCATGGAGGCTATACCTGAGCATTCTGAACCGGATGCCCTGAAGCCAGAAGAATATCTCGAGCTATATTGTTATGATCAGGTATATACGATGCCTCTCTACAATCCTTGGCCTTTAACTCATGTTTATATAGAAACTACCCGTAACGATGACTTTGGCCACCCTTCGAGCGCGTATTTGGAAAGGAGGCGCAGATGTCATGTTATACTACAAGAGTAATGGGCGGAAGGAGCTCAAAATCGACAAGGGACCTGAACCGCCAGCAGTTGCTGATGCACCCCCGCCCCCTGCACCCGAAGAGCCTTGAGAGGGCGTGTATTCTGTTCTGGTTCCTTGATCGCGGGGAGAACTACTTACCATGTCTATATGCCAAAGACGCGGGACGTGTAATGACTATCAACTCAATGATATTCCTATCATTGCTTGCGCCATCTATATGCATTCTCGCCCAATAATGATGCAAATATTCACATATCCCCCCTGACTCTCATATCGCCTCCTCTCGCTTTTGTACTGCTTTCCCCTCCAACGCATTATATGCCCACTGGTAGCTTCCCAGGAAGATAGCTCCTCCAATGCTAATCCACATAATCCTTGGCCCGATCCCCGAAAAGAAGGCCATGGGTCCACTGTCTCTCAATATCTGCCTCAACAGTACAAACATCCGCGTCTTCTCCTTCGCCAGCATCATCCTCGTCTTCAGCACATCCAACGGCGTAGTTATCCCCGCCGCCGTCGCCCCCGCCATACTCCCCGCCAACCCACTCTCCCACGCCGCAATCTTCCCCCTCCCCTCATCCCTCTGCGTAGTCCTCAACCTCCACTTCTTCATCGCCTCCCACAACGGGAACTGAATAACCGTGAACGGCACCTCGCGGAAAATCGTAATACTCCACCCGCGATACAGCTCCCGCCACACGCCCGGCACGCCAATGGCCCCGCGCTGGCTCAGAATCGACGACAGCGCCGCCAGCGACGACGGGAACTGCCGCGCCTGCGCGCGCTGCTTCACCACCTCCGTCGGCACGCGTACCGCGCACGCGGCGACCTCGCCCAGCGACGCGGCCATCATGTGTTCTATCGGGGCTTCCCATTTGTGTGCGTCCGCCGAGCTGGGGTCGAGGGTGTCGCGCGCGGTGCGCCGCGAGGAGAGGAAGGATTTGGTGTTTTCGTAGGTTACGAAGAAGAGGGCTGCGCCGGGGGCGGAGCCGACGATGGCGGAGCCGACGCCGGCGTAGATGCCGGAGAAGCCGCCGGCGCCGCGGAAGCCGAGGGGGGATTGGAGACGGGTTTTGAGGGTGTCGAGGGGGTAGAGGGAGAGGTCGACTGTGGTGCCAGCTAGGGCGCCGGAGAAGAGGGCGGAGGTGAAGGAGGTATTTGTTGAGGTCGACATTTTCGGTGATTTGGTGAGGGGGAGAGGAGGAGGAATGAGGGACTGGATTAAATTGCAAAGGGAAGGAAGGCCGTAGCCCTCATGAGTTGTTGAGGAAGGGGGAAGCCTGTGCTGTAAACTTATCTCGGGAGCCCACGGTTGTGGGGATGCCGCATTATCGATAGCCGCCCAAACGCGATATCCCGGACATCAGCACGCGACAGTTTTTTGGCACGCACGCATCCCGCCGCAGTATGGCGAACACCGAAGAGGAGCTATGGTAGAATTGGGGGGATAATGCTAGAATGGTGGGGGTCCTACATCGAACAGGATGGAGCGGTCGTGGGGCTGCTGCCATCAGCCTGGATAGGTTTATTGCGAGCTTGCGGCGGCTGAACCACAAGGGACTGAATCAGCGTATGAAACTCAATAAGAATCAATATGAAGTTTAACGACTAATAATGCCTAGTCGCCGAAAAGACACACGGAAAGCCTTGCAATCCGTTAACAATTGGTATTTTACTTCCATGGTACTCAAATGCTTGATCCCCTAAATCTAACAAGGCTCAGGTCTGGCAATCAGCGGTGGCGTGGATTCCATGGCCTTGGCCTTCCTTTGCTCTGAAATTCACAATAAGGATCGATTTAGATTCCGTGCCTTCGTTGTAGACCATAAAGTTCGCGCAGGAAGCGGCCATGAGGCTCATGCCGTTGCTAAAATCCTGGAAGAGAAAGGTGAGTTGAACTATGTCTTGCTCCCACTGCTCTTATTGACAATATTAGATATTCCCACGGATATACTCAAAATTGAATGGGCAGAAGGGCTAAATCCCAAAGAAGCATCAAACTTTGAGTCTCTTGCCAGGACGTACCGCTTTCAAGCTCTTGGGAAGGCGTGCCGCGACCACGGCATCCAATCCCTATTCCTTGCGCACCACCGCGATGATCAAGTCGAGACCGTCTTGATGAGGATGATTAATGGTCACCGAAAGGATGGACTTTGTGGGATGCGATTGTCTGGTGACATTCCAGAGTGCCGTGGGATATATGGCGTACACCAGAGTGGTGTAGTTGATGATTCGGCGTCCGCGAGCCAAATTAAGTTTGGTAGGGGAATGGACTTGACGAAGTCTCGTTCTTTGGACTCATCAGACGATGCTACATTTTCCTTAGGCATGCGGATAGAATCTGGCGGAATCAAAGTCTACCGCCCACTCTTATGCTTCAGCAAACAAGAGCTCAGGGATACATGTGAAGCCAACGGCATGTCTTGGTTTGAGGACAACACAAATGCAGATCCGACGCTCACAATGAGGAACGCTATTCGCCATATTTACGCGAACAATAAGCTCCCCGTGGCGCTTCAAAAGCCTTCCATTCTTGCACTAGCGAAAAGGCTCCAGGAAAACAGGGACAGGGACATGGAAAGGCGTAACAAGTCCTTTGCCCAGAAATTTCGGATCTTGAAGTTTGAACCCAGTGTTCCGTATTGCTCAGTTTATTTTGAGCCTCTAGATATGGGACATAACGCCAAGAGCTCGACGGAGATTTCCAGCACCGAGTTTGAGGACGCAAGTTGGTGGCTCCGTGCTGTTATCCAGTTGATCTCTCCTGTCGAAAATATCGCCCTAGGGACATTGAGTACTGCGGTTCAACGAATATATCCGGAGCTTGATTCACAAGTTGGCCATGATCCAGCGCCTCGCAAAGCATTTACTGTGGCTGGCGTCATGTTTGAGCCTGCGCCTTCTGATATGCATGACAGTCTACTTTCCAGTCACACAAGTTACAATTCGACAGCAAGTGAGGGCTCAACGCTCGCCCCTCAACAGATAGCGAACCGGCACTGGATTATCAGGCCGCAGCCGTATAAGAGAGGCAAAGAGCCACGTCTAGAGTTTATGCCATTCCAGGGGAAAGACGAAGGCGCATATTGGAGAGATAATGATTTCTGGAAGTTATTCGATGGCCGCTTCTGGATCCGCATTTTGAATCTGACGTCCACCAGCATATCTCTAAGGCCGTTTCAGGTAGAGGATGTGCATAAACTCAAAAGAACGGAATTTATGGAGCAGCTGGAACAGCGGGAGAAGTTGCTACTGCCTCTCAAAACTTCGGAATTTAGACATGTGCTACCGGCGATTGTAACTGAAGTGGATGGTGTGGAACAAGTAGTGGGGCTTCCTACTCTTGGTATTATTGCACAGGACTTTGAGAAGTTGGTGAAGTATGAAGTCAGGTATAGGGGCTTGGGTTCATGGCCAAATTAATATTACATTGAGGAGCATGTTTGATTAGGCATATATAGAAGGCATCGATGGACCAGCAAAATAATTAAATTTGGTCTATAAACTTTTCTCTTCTGGTTTGAATGGTCTAAAACTGATGAATTTCGAAAATATGGCTCAGTACCAAATAGCGCGCGTGCGGTGATGGGGTAAAGCGCCTTCGTCGTCTACCTTCTCCCTCTCTTGCTCTATCTTCTCCTGCTCCTTCGCCGTGTCGTAGAGGAAGAAGTCTATTAATATGGCATTTATCTCCGTGTCTGGATGCTGCCTGAGAATCTCTTTCCTGATGAGCTCCACACACCAAATACTGCAGCCTATTTATTTTGTCAGTAACAGCTCGGGCATAACAACATATCTTCCAAACATACCTCTGATTTGCACCTCCCACGAATGACCCGTCTCAATCAACTTTTTCTTCCGCAGGGTAGTCTCTAATAACGGACTGTACTGCATACAGCCTAACAAGTTCAATATTTGCGGAATCCTATAATCAGCAAACATGGTTATCTTGTCTATATCATAAAACTCCCCGTAGTCGAGGCCGTCAAAGCATGCCCACAGATCAGCCACGAGGATCTGAGCACGCTTGAGGATCCGGACGGTCTTTCGGCCCTCAAACCGCACTTCGTCCCGGAAACAACTAAAATCATCGGCCAGGATGTTGACCAGAGACGCTGCGGACTGGTCTGCTGCTTCTATGCAGTCCAGGAAGCTGCAATTATATTTCTGAAGAGTGAACTTAGTGCCATCACTATCATTCGCTACGAGTCTGTCATACCTCGTAGAGCACTTGCCCTGCCTCCCGGAGGCACGCCAATCGCTCCTTCAACATGGGCATCTCCTCGTCTGTAGCAGACCGGAAGATATACGCCATCTTTTCCTCAGTCAACTCATACTCACTCTGCCAGTAGTCCGAACTGGTGATTGGTATATCTGGTCATTCATAAGCACGGGTCCCAAAGGCAGGTAAGAGGGGAGATATGCCAACCTTCATCCAGCGCACGATTAATAGCGGCAACTAAGCTCCAATACCCCGTCCACTTCTTGCCTTTGTATTCAATGGCAAACCTCTCCTCCGAGCACCTATCAGACCAAAAAGAAAAATTGAGTAAATCCATGGTAAAAATAAACGCCACCGTCTTTTCATCCTTGGCCTTGGGATGCAGCTCATGTGAGGACCAGGTCGAGGTGCAGTACTTCTTCTTCTGCATCTGCTCGTAGATCATGGCGGCCGCCGCCTTGGTGCTCCGCATGTCAAGGGCCACATCTATGGAATTATCGGTGACATACTTTGCTCCATCGAGCACATGTGTCTCAGGCACGCTGGGGTCAGGCTGTGCACCCATGAGGTGTTGACGGAGCAGCGCCAGGAGCTCTGGGTCCGCTTCGTCGTCCGACATTATGAGAAATTTGTTAGAGAGAGCACAAGGATTGTGAACAGATTTTCAGCTTGATTCTGTGAGAAAGATGTAAGGTGTGCTTGCTACTCTCTGAGCTGCTGGAAGGGGTAGATTGAGAAATAATACTGATAAAGAATTTTGGGAAGTTGTTATCGGCCACACCGAACGTTGGTAGGGAACCACTTATCTGGCGCACGCGCCAAACCTTAGTACAGAGGCTTGGAGTCTGGTATTAATTGTACTCGTTGTTTTGAATAGTACTGTACTTGGAATGTGCATACTTAAGGGTTGAAGGCAAGACATGATACGCTTCGGCCATCAAAATACATCCAGTAGGGAATTTCTAGGAATATAATGAAGTTTGGAGCCTTGGAAGTTCACTGCATGCGACAAAAGGAAACATCGGCAGGTACTGCCTATGCATGGCCAGGTACCTGACTTGGCGGCTCCCAACTAAATTACTACATAGAACAGTACAAAAGATACTTCCGGCTGCACGTCGTGGCTTCTAGTGGACGCGGGTGAACTGTCGCCAGTCAACTTTGGGGACTCTTCAATCGGACCCCACTCACCACGCGACTACGGCGCGTGGTGTACCAGACTTACCACAAGTACCATACCACCAAAAAAACGCGTAGTGGGTACATACACCAATCGGTTTAACGTCGGTCTCCTCCATCCAGCCGCGCTTTGCGACGAACCTCCCATTTCCTGCGACAAGTCAATATTTTGTTTCCCTACACTTCACCCTGCGCTTCGGCACGCTTTTGAATTTCTATCCTTTGGGTTCTCCGTTGGGCTGTCTTTTTATATCAGATGTACAATATTCAACTCTCTTGTCAATTGACGCAGACATGGCCCGCGACCACTACAACCAGCAGGCGCTGGGTAAGCCGTTGAATAATGATGTCAAGCAGGTAAGCCCGAGCCTTCTCTATGCTTCATGGCCAACAGAGTCGTCTCGCTCTGTATAGAGTGTATTGAGTGACTACAGCCTCTGGGCTGTAGTTCTCACTGCGCAATCTTTGCGAATGATGCGACATGCGCCTGCCTAAGCCATCATGGACCTTTCCTGCTCTGCAACGAACCAGGCTGATATCTCAACTATAGGCACGAATTCTGATGGTAGGAGCCGGTGGCATCGGCTGCGAGCTTCTCAAGAACCTACTTCTCACCGGTTATGGCGAAATACACATCGTGGACCTTGATACCATCGACCTCAGCAACCTGAACCGCCAGTTTCTCTTCCGTCATGAGCACATCAAAAAGTCCAAGGCTCTGGTTCATCTCCCCCACCTCTGGTCCATTTCGGCAAAAACAAAACCCCTACTAACTGTGACTCCAGGTTGCGAAGGAAGTTGCGCAAAGGTTTAATCCAGCAGTCAAACTCGAATCATACCACACCAATATCAAAGATGCCCAGTTCAACATCGACTGGTTCAAAACCTTTACTATCGTCTTCAATGCGCTCGATAACCTCGATGCCCGCCGCCATGTTAACAAAATGTGCCTTGCGGCTGACGTACCGCTGATCGAGAGTGGAACGACGGGTTTCAATGGTCAAGTGCAGGTCATCAAAAAGGGAATCACCGCATGTTACGACTGCACCACGAAAGTTACACCCAAGAGCTATCCAGTATGCACAATCAGGAGTACACCCAGTCAGCCGATACACTGCATTGTATGGGGCAAGAGCTACCTGTTGAGCGAGGTGTTTGGGGCCACGGAGATAGACGCCGATGGGATGGACCATTCACAGGACTCGGAGAACGCGAAGGAGATCGAGAAACTACGACAGGAAGCGCAGGCCTTGAAAAATATTAGAGATTCCATGGGCACTGACGACTTCCCAAAACTACTCTTCAATAAGGTATTCAATGAGGATATCACGCGCCTGCGGTCGATGGAGGAGATGTGGACGACAAGGAGGAAGCCAGATCCACTAGAGTACGACACTGTGGCTGCTGCTGCCGCGCCTCTGGAGGAGTCAAAAGAAACAGTTCTTAAAAATGATCAGAAGCCTTGGTCTCTGGAAGAAAACTTGACTGTCTTCAAAGACAGGTACGCATACATTCAACCTCGTTCGTATCTACAAGGCTAACATATATAGTTTAAATCGTCTGAGCAAACGCATGAAGGATCTGAAGGCCGCCTCCGATGGAAACTCCGCAGAGCCAACAATAATCTTTGACAAGGATGACGAAGATACGCTCAACTTTGTCACCGCTACTGCGAATATCCGATCCATCATCTTCGGGATCGAGACCAAGTCTCGATTTGACACCAAGCAAATGGCAGGCAACATTATTCCGGCTATTGCCACAACAAATGCAATTGTCGCAGGCCTCTGCGTGTTGCAATCCTTCAAAGTCCTTCGTGGCGATTATTCAAGCACAAAAGAAATCTTTCTGTCACCTTTCGCATCCGAGCGTCTCATGGCTTACGAGAAGACCCGAGCACCAAACCTGGACTGCCCTGTTTGTAGTGTTGCGCAAACCAGGCTCCTGGTAGACTTATCACGAGCTACGTTGAATGATCTAGTAGAGGACTTCTTGCGCGTTCAGCTCGGATATGGCGAAGAGTTTGTGGTCAGCAATGAAGCTGGCTTGCTCTATGACGTGGACGAGACAGAAAACCTCGAGAAGAAACTGAGCGAGCTCGGAATCAAGGAGGACAGCTTTCTCACAGTCATCGACGAGGATGAAGAGGACCCACGAGTCAACCTTGTTCTCAGCGTTCAGGGGACCGCAACGCCGACTGACGAAAAGCCAATTAGTGCACTCCCCACGGCCGTCGATAGCGAGCAGCCGATTTCCATACCCAGACGGCCACGGATTATTCCACCCCCAACTGAAGCCACGAATGTTGATGCCGGGCATAAAGAGGCCATCACCAACGGTGAGGCTCCTAAAGCCTCTCCTGGTCCGGTGGTAGGGACGAAGAGAGGGGCAGATGAGCTTGGAGAAGCTGGTCCTGAAGCTAAACGTGGGAAGCTCAAAGAGACAAGCGATGATATTATCGTTTTAGACAGCGCGGACGACGGTGCCATCATCATTGATGATGACTGAACCACACCTCAACATTAGTGATGATTGAGACGTGTTCCGGAATCTCCCAGCACATGGCGAACCTGGCCTATTCATACCGCACTCAGACCTCCATCAAGGTTGAGGGTGCAGTTATTGGCATACTGGTTAGCGGCTAGGAAGAACGCGGCATCAGCAACCTCTTCGGCGGTACCGAAACGTTGCAGGGGTATGGCGTTATTGGTGGACTCAAAAAGGGCAGGCTCCATGCCTGGAGATGTATATTAGCCACTGGTTGTCAGATATACCCCGCCTGCAGGAGGAGGATAAATTAAGAATTAATGAAGAATAATTGCTCGTACCTGATGTCATCTCGGTTTCTATGTATCCGGGCACTACGGCATTCACGCGGATGCCTGATGGCCCTGATTCTGCGGCTAGAGCTCTTGTAAAACCTGGGAAATGTTAAAAATGTGTGGCAGTGGCATTCAATGGGCGATGATTAACCTAGAACGCCTGCTTTTGAAGCAGCATAAACGGAACTTCCGCGACCACCTTTGACTCCAAGTAGAGATGAAATGTTGATAATACAGCCTGTCAGAAACTCCAGTTAGTACGTGGGATTATACAAATCACATGGCTAGAGAACTTGCCTGTCTTCTTCCTTATCATGTCCTTGATCATGTGCTGGCATCCCAATATGGTGCCTCTCAGATTCGTATCAATAACCTCATCCACTTTCGCCGCTGGCGTCCGGACCAACAACGAATAATGTGTTATGCCAGCTGCATTAACCAGAACATCGCAATGGTCCTTGTCCTCCCTCTACATTAAATCAGCGCCGTATTTCATCTACCTATTTCTTTCCACTTGCCATTTTCTTCGCGAGGTCCTTCCAAAATGCCTCTTTCCCCACATCTCCAACCACAATCCGGTGATCTCTCAGAGCTGAGAGCTCTCTGAGGGATGCTTGGAGTTTCGACTCCGTTCGCCCAATTAAAGTACATTTTGCGCCCTCTGATGCAAATCGTGATGCAATGGCTCTGCCAATTCCACCAGAAGCTCCGGTGATAATAACATGTTTAATGGGGGTTTTGTCAGAGCTTCCAGAAGAAAATGACTTTCTCAGAGACTGGTAGAACCGAGTTCCTTGGCGGGTGATAACGGGGCGGAGCATGGTTATAATGCTCAACTTCAGAATGCTATCAAAACCGAATAATAGACCGTTGATTCAAGTTATACATATGATGGCCGATGGAAGTCGTCGCTTTGGTCCAATATCAGAAACATTCACGTGATATCAAATTGACGCGGCCGCTAGGTTACTCATCAAGCCTAATACCCAAGCCTCTTCGAACTCCCCACATCAACCTCCAAGCTCCCACATGCAGAGAATTCCAGTCCTTTCCAACCTCGAAACCCCCAAAGCCACAATCAAGAAATGGCAGACTCGAGCGACCAGCAGCTGAGTAGATGGGTGACGCTGGTGAGCTACGACGGCTTCGAGTTCGTCGTTCTCCGCGAGGCGGCCTGTATCAGCGGCGCCATTCGCCGGATGCTGGATCCGAAGAGTAGGTCCTCACGCAACGCGTTGCGTTTTGCTATACAAGATACTGGGAACGGACTGACGGCGGGCAGGTGGATTTGTGGAGAGTGTGGAGAATAGATGCGTGTTTGAGGAGATCAGGTAAATACCCTTATGTTTCGTGCTGCTGGGAGATAGGGTGGGGTGAGGGAGAGAGTCGGTGATGAAGAAGCGATTTGAGCTCTTACAGACCCTCTTTCTGGCGTCGTTATACGGAGGATGGGAGCTGGATGAGATGCCATTACACTTGATCTGAGGCCTTTTCTGATGCCTGCTCCTTGTGCGAGTCCTTGGGTTGTGGGATGTTGAGGCAGATGCTAATGGTTGTTGTGGTGTTACAGTGGCATAGTCCTTGAGAAGGTCGCGGAGTACTTTTACTATAACTACGTCAATCGGGATCGGGATGGGGTGAAGGATATGGATATTCCTCCGGAGTTGTGCTTGGAGTTGCTTATGGCGGCGGATTATTTGGATAGTAAGTCTTCATGTCCCCACTCCTTGTCTACTTCGCTAACACGATATTGTAGCTTGAATCTGGCATTTTTTCTAATGACCTCATGTAATGATATACGATGGGCGGCGGACTGGAGCATTTGGGATGGAGGCTGGCGTTCGACAGGTTGCCATGGCGCATATACGTCTATAATACAAGTACAATTTCAAATTTCTGGTATGTTTTACGGGGCGATGAAGTGTACGAGCTTGGTGCTCGATATCCATTTGAGCATATGCGTTCTTCTCCACTCTTCCATGAGCATGAACGTCTATAGATGATGGAAGAAACATTACTCCCTCTTATTCTGTTCTCTTCCAGGCTTGCAGAAAGCCGAGTATAGAAGAAGAGCCTTATTCCAGGGGATACATTCCTTTCCTTCTGTCTTCTCTACTATCTTACCTTACAAATAGATTCAATGAACAATACTTTACACCATTCGCACATCTCCTGATCATGTGTCTATTATCGCCGAATGAGGCGAACCAATCCAGGCTACGTCCACAAAACATCCCATCTGAGCATATGCGTTCTCCTAACTCTCTCCTTGAGGTTGACGTCTAAAGATGATGGTACATTGAGTACGGATAATTATAAAATTATAAAATCCGGTCCCTCTTTTCTGGCCGGCCCTACGATTTCTACGGGGCCTGGACTTTCTTGCTGGGGATATATTTCTTTTGCTATATTCAAATAGTTTATGGCAACTCCAATAATAGATAGGCGAGATACGTTTTAGACGCCTTGGGGTGCAACGGGTTGGAAATATATTTCCAGGTTGCACGATGAGGATATAGAATGTACATACACCCATCACAACATTGCATCCCACTGAGCCTTACATGAGTCGGATGTGCATAGCTGATGGCAGAACATATACGTCCCAAAGCAAAGTTGAAGTCGTAGCTGTGCAATAGCCTCGGTTTTATTAGTTGGGGTATATTCTAAGCTAGCTACAGTGAAGTAAAGCTGATGCCTTTGCCATTCTTACACCTTTGATGGCATTATATTTCCTCCTTCAAAGCCCATTGAGAAGGGGTCTCAGTAGCCTCTCCCTCTTCCCCTGCCACCACCTCCTCTGTCTCTATTCCCACCAAATCCTCCACCTCCACCTCTCCCTCGCCCACCTCCACGCCCACCCCCTCCACCAAATCCATCCCTCCTCGGCTCTGCCGGCGCCGGACCCTTTGCCGCCCTCTGCTCCTTCTCCTCATCCGTAGCGAAGAATTTATTCTCAATCCCCATCAACTCACAATACGCCACCATCTGGGGATTATTATATTCCTTCGGCTGCTCACGGATATTGAGCGTGGGAGGGACACCATCTTGTACTGGCGCCGTGATGACGAAATTCTCGGGCACCTGTAGCTTCCCCTTCTTAACGATGTTCTCCTCGACCCACACCTCTTCTGCCTTGATAAGCTCCCTGTATTTCTCTTCGCCTAAATCAGAGGGCGGCCGAGCATCACGGTCACCGAGGACCAACGACGGGGAGAAGGCGCGCGTGATGGCGAGCCACTCTGGGTCGTACGATAAATGGTACCGAGGCCAGCCAGGCGCCCCGGTAGATCCATCAGCACCGCTCTCGGCGGACAGAGGAGGATAATTCGGCGCTGGAGGCGAGGAGGGCGAGACTTCGAGTAGTTGGAGAAATTTACGGCCGGGGAGGCATTTGTCGAGAGCGAGGAAGCGGACGGTGCTGTTGAAGATGGTTTCGGGAACAGGTTGGCCAGGCGGCAAGCGAGAAGTACGAGCAGGGCGGGAAAATGACGCGGGGAGGAGGGCACGGAGGTCGTCGGAGATGGAGTTGGTGGGCTTTGTGGTAGTTGGGGCCTCTTCTGGCTTTGGTGTGGGTGCAGGAGGCTCGTCGTCATCGTCCATGTCGAGGTCTATCTCTTCTTCATTCTTTGTTGCGGCTGGGACGCTATTATCAGTAGCCGTAGCTGCAGATGGAGCTGTTGGTGTTGCGATTGTCTGCGACGCAGAATCCGCAGTCTCGTCCTTGTATATCTTGGTCGCAGCAAATTTGCAATGCATATGCGCCGCGAACCAATATGGGGGTCGTAGTCGGTCAAGAACATATGTAGCAGCCTGGCTACCAAGTGTCCCATCTCTAGATTCCTTCTCGAAATCTGGTTTCATTCTCCATAGAGCTTTAGCATTGCCATGATTCTCGATTGCTCTCGGCCAATCGTGGCTGATACCGATATCAACTTGTGTCCGTACTTGCAATAGTTTCCGAACATCCAGCTCTCGGATATGATATATAGACTTTATATCATCTTGGTTATATGGCAGCCGCTCGTGGTGACTTTTGTTGTAGTTGTACCCCTTCCATATTCCAGACATACCTGATATGCGCACTGGACCGAGTCGCATCACGTTGGCAGCTCCCATATAATAGATGTTCGGTGCCACCCAGCCACCATAGTAAAGTTCCCACAAATGACTACTTGCTTCATGATTGCCTCCAACGAAGGTGGTCAGATAAGGGGCTTTACGAATGCCGCTGTAGTATTCGTGGAAGTCGCCCAGTTCCCGAAACCTGGCGGGGACTGACATGACAGTCAGGTCGAGGACATTTCGAACAGCCTAGACTTGTCAGGTCAACCACAAATCAGCTGAATCGGAATATTAACCTGGAAATCTCCCCCAATGATCAACAAGTCAACATTTGGCCAGCCCCTCTCCTCGCAGGCCTTCTCTGTTGCGACGTAGATGGCATTCAATGTGCCATGGCCCTGCGATTAAGTTAGCTTTAGTAAAGGCTGGAGTTTATGTAAGCTTACACAGCCTTCCACAGCAACCCTTAGGCCATGTATATCTTGAAGAGAGTTCTCCATAGCAAAGTATCATGGGAATGCTTGGTGGATTAAAACGAGGATTCAAGCTCGCGCAAGAAGGCTGACGAAACTTCCCGAGACGTCACTACCCAATTTTTTATTCAAGACTATGCCTGATCTTATCTTCAACAATATTGAGAAGCTATTCTTCATGTAATACAATTCTTCAAGCAAGCCAAATGCCTGTCTATGTAGCTACAGTTTATCTCCGTCCGAAGAGACACGTACGTTCACGTGACCACTGGTCCTGGCGAGGCTGAGGAAACATAAAAAGCTTGGCTCGATTTACCGAAACTTCAATCCTCCCCCTGCATAAACCTTCAAACCGCGCGTCATAGGCCGAGGAGTTGAAGGAAGATGGCTCAAGATCCGGGGGCTGTGGGAGCCCTGTCAGCACAGCTGAAATATTTGACCGACGCGGCTCATCTAATGGCATTTTCAGCACCTGGTTGTTCATCGCACCTCATGTCGAGATGTAACCTATTAATGTTCTCAAACGATACCGACCAGTCCGACACTCGCCGAAGGCATGTCTGCGGTGGGTGCGGTAACATAATGACCCCAGGCTGGACCAGCACGGTCAAGAATGATGTGAAACGCCAACCTGAGAGTCGGAAAACTCACAGGAGGAAGGCAGGTGCTATCACGCAGGCAGCAGAGCGTTCCATGGTCTACACTTGTGATCGTTGCAAACGTAAGACTCGCCATGTTATCACTACAACAGCTCTCCCGCGGATAAACCCTCGTCGCGCAGAACAGTCAAGCCTAGTCTCAGGGGAAGCCCCAGAACGCCTTACCAGCACTCCCCAATCGCAAGCTGGAACTCCGACAATGCCATCAGCGAACGCTAGCAGCAGAAAGAGAGCGAAGAGCCGCAAGCAGGGAGGTCTGCAAGCCCTGTTGGCCAAAAACAAGGAGGCCTCACAAAGCTCAAGCGGTGGCTTTGGTTTGGATCTTTGGGATCTTATGAACAATGGTTAAGGGCCACTTTGAGCTACATTGTAAGCCAGTTACCAGCCATTGCACTTCACGGATTCAGTTCACCACCCAGCTTGGCCTGGCGCCAGGCACTCTCCCGTCGGTGGACGTCGGTGGACGTTGGTGGAGCCTTAGCGCGGGGTAACAAACCAAAAGGCTCAGCCTCGCCACAACGTCCCAGAAAATTTTGTGGAACCCCGCGTCCAAAACGCTCTCTCTTCGTGCAATCATATAATTTTCAAAACCACAAACCATCGATATGTCTGCTCCAGAGACTAACCCCAAGCCGGATGGCAAGGCTTTTGATGACTTCTTCGACAGCATCGGGTCGAAGGCCGAGCAAGTAAACTCCTCCAAAGCCAAGGATGCGACAGAAGGGACCCCCGTGAAAGAGGAAGAGGAGCAGAAGGTTGTGGACGAGATCGAGAGTCTGTGCATGAACTGCCACGCAAATGTATGTATACTCTTATTACTGAATGTTTGGATATGTGCTTATATTATTATTATTGTAATAGGGCATTACTAGACTCCTCCTCACCCGAATCCCTTTCTTCCGCGAAATAATCATCATGTCCTTCAACTGCCCACACTGCAGTTTCAAAAACTCCGAGATCCAATCTGCCGGCGAAATTCAACAGAAGGGTGTCCACTGCGAGTTGCGACTCACTTCTCTGGGAGACTTCGCTCGCCAAGTTGTCAAGAGCGATACGTGCGTGGTGAAGTTCATTGAGCTGGATGTCGAGGTACCTGCCGGCCGTGGGCAGCTCAGCAACATCGAGGGGTTATTAAGCATGGTTTTGGAAGATTTGGAGGTTGGCCAGAAAGCAAGAAAAGAGCAGCAGCCAGAGGTCTATACCGCTATCGAGGCGATTCTTGTCAGGGGGCGAAAGATGCTGGATGGGATGGCATTCCCCTTCCGCGTCTCACTAGATGATCCCTCCGGGAATTCATTGATTGAACCAGATCAAACAGATGGTGTTGGAAAACTGCTACGCACGGAGTATCCTAGGACGCCAGAGCAGAATGAGGCTCTCGGTTTGGGTGACGGTTCCAATGATGAGAATAATGCGACCGGGGTTTCAACTGTTCCACAAGATGAAGACGATATTATCCCCAACGAGGTCTACTCCTTCCCAGCAACATGTCCTGGGTGCACGAAAGCCTGCATTACCCACATGAAAATGGTGGAAATTCCCCATTTCAAACAAGTTGTTATCATGTCAACTGTCTGCGACCTATGCGGCTATCGCTCCAATGAAGTTAAGACCGGCGGTGAAGTCCCAGAGAAGGGAAAGAAAATTACACTGAAGGTTGACAGTGAGATTGACTTGGCCAGAGACATTCTGAAGTCTGAGTCTTGCGCCCTTGAATGCCCGGAGCTCAAGTTATCCGTCAACCCCGGCACGCTCGGAGGACGGTTCACAACGGTTGAGGGTCTTCTGACTCAGATCCGCGACGACCTTAAGCATCAAATCTTTGATGTCGGCGACTCTGGGGGCGATTCATTGCCTACTACCCAGCAAGAGAGCTGGACTAAGTTCTTTGATGGCATCGACGCTGCAATCAAGGGCGATGTGAAGTTCACAGTTATCCTAAGCGACCCTCTCGCAAGCAGCTACGTCCAGAATCTCTGCAGCCCCGATGATGATCCTCAGATTACCACGGAGGAGTATGAAAGGACCGCGGAAGAGGAAGAGGACCTGGGATTGAAGGACATCAAGACAGAGGGTTATGAGGAAGGACATGCTGCAGATGTTAAGGCTGAGCAGGATAGAAAGGACGAGGAAGCCAAGGCGCGTAGAAAGTAAAGTAGACTACTAAATAGTAAACGAATCAAATTAGAAAAAACCAAATGACTTTGTAAATAAATTTGAAAGGGGATTAATTAATGCACCGTATGTTTAACGTATCTCACACGCGAGCGCATCACCCAGCCGAGCGCATCACTGAACTTCTCACCCAAAATTGAGAAATTTAAAAGATAATAACTCAACCACAACCTCATAATATATTTTATAAATGTATATCTAGCCTTTTCTATTCAGTTGAATTCCTACGTAATTTTTTGGGAATAATCTATGTAGTAGTTTTTAAGGTATCAAGGGTAAGCGCTAATGTAAGCGCTGAAATTTATACAAGGTCTTTATATCTCAATATCTACTATTCTGATTGCTCTAAAACTAGAATGACAGGATCTACGTGTATAGATAAGGCTACATACACATTTTTAAAATATATTATGAGGTTGTGGTTGAGTTATTATCTTTTAAATTTCTCAATTTTGGGTGAGAAGTTCAGTGATGCGCTCGGCCGGGTGATGCGCTCGCGTGTGAGATACGTTATTGATAATTGATAACGTGGTGTATGGGCGTTCATTGTACCTCTGCACTAGATTTTATATGTAAAGGTACTTATTACACATATTTTTAAAGTTATAATAACTTCTACAAATAGAACTATAGAGCTTAGTCCCTTTATATTTAGAGTATACAGACTATAATTAATAATTCTTTAAGACTACAAATTTGTAAATAGCCCATTAAGTTAATATGACGGTTAAGTTTGTGGGTAGTGGTACATTATGTTACAATTTGATCCAGTCTTCCATCGAGTGCATGCTCATACCTTGAAGTTAGACATAATTTAGTTATTTTCACTAGAAAAAATCATACAAGAAAACCAAAGTGCATATAACCTCCTTTGTAGGCTATCTATAGGACGGACTATCATCTAAATTAATATTTCTTGACTACCTAAGTAGTTTATTATACTTGAAGGGATTAAGCTCTATGGTTTCAATTGTAGAAGTTATTATAACTTTAAAAATATGTGTAATAAGTACCTTTACATATAAAATCTGGTGCAGAGTACAATGAACGATATCACCATATTAACGAGATCCCTAGTATAAGAATAAGTTTTAACTTATATTTATTTAGTATGTCGCATAGTTTATGATTAGCAACCTCAACCAGAGTAGACCTACCACTCAACAAAACATATATATTTTAACCCGCTTTGTTAATTTGTTTCGGATATTATTTTTTTATAAAAAAACGGAAACGGCTACCTAGAGTTTTCCTTCCCCTGATAATACTGTGAATATAAATATTCCATCTAATATAAAAACTTAAGCGAAACAAAAAAAATTGAGAGCCGCAGGATTCGAACCTGCGCGGTTTCCCACTGCGGGAATCAAGGTTTCCTTGCGGATGACCTAAACACAGCGCCTTAACCACTCGGCCAGACTCCCATACTAGTTTGATTTTCAAGGCATACTTAGGTACACTAGCCGACAAAACAACAGAAAAAGTGGAAAGACAACCCACCCACACCCCACCTTGGTTGTCCAAGGCAGGCGCAAGTGAATCTCAGCCTCGCGGATATTTTACTCATCACCAATGCCTTATCGACGGCCCTGAGCCATCCGCCGTCAAACGAACGCTCCAAAGGCGGAACTGTAACGAACACACCATGTCTGAAGCGACGATCGATGAGGATGCCCCATTGACGGCTCTCTCAAAGGGCCCTCAGCATGACGAGAACTTCGACCCGGACGATGAGGTCCAAGATTACCGATTCATCGCGGCGCTGAGCTCGAGTGGGAAAAGCACGATCCCGAAACGAGGAGAGAAGGACTTTGAACCGCATGGAACGAAACATCAGGAATCGATCTTGGATGCGAGTAGGCAGGCGATGCACGATGCGCTCGACTATACAAGATCGCATGGACCGAAGTCTTCAGTGCGCGCGTGGTATTTTGGGGATGGAGTTCAGGAGCCAAGATCACAGACGAGGCGGGATAAGGATACACAAGAAGAGGAGGAAGAAGAAGACGAAGAGACAGTGGATATTCTTGATCCGTCTGTAAGAGGGAGGGAGTTGGACAGAGATATGACGGTCATGGTGGAATCGAGCAAGGGCACACATTTCCGGACTATGGGGAAGACACCTATGGGAACTAAGTCGGCGAAGCTGTGGCTGCTGCCTGAAGAGACTCTATACCTGGTGGAGAGAGGCAATCTGGACCTGTGGTGGCCGTCACGGCCGCTCCAGGCTGTCCGGTCCCAGACCGGGAATTATGACTTGGAGGAGGGGACAGAAGATGGTGTTCCGTTAAGCTTGCAGGCTGCATACAGTCTGTTTATCGGGGAGGGAGAGGGACTGGTGAGCATGGAGACGTACCAGGTTTATGCGAATCTCAAGAGAACAGGATATGTTGTTTCCAGAGCACCACCAGCGGCGATCCCATGTGAGGACACTCCTCGCCCACAAGAGTCATCGCCGAGCCTTTTCAGCTGGCTCTTTGGCAAAATATTCGCATCTGAACCCAAAACCCCAGCTCCCTACGGGCCTCTTGTTCAACCCGGCTTGTATAGGAGTTATGCCCAGATCTACAAACAACTCTCCATCATCCCCATTCACCAACCTTCACCTGTTCCCAGCTCCACCCGCCCTACATCGCAGCTTGAAGTTACCTTTCACATCTGGAAACCAATCCGCATCCCCACATTCGCAAAATCAAATCCAGGAGAGCCTGATTTCCGGATTGCCGTCGTGTCCGCTAGAGACACCAGTGTGCCGACGCTGGAGGAGATCGCAGGGCTTCTGGAGAGCACGCCGTGGGATCCGCCGAAGAAGGAGTGGGCCGGTGATGTAAAGAGTTACCAGAGACTGAAACACGGGTTTCGGAATGTGATACTGGCGGTGGTGGACCAGGGGATCATTAGTTACCTGAACATGAGCGAGGCGGCATTCGGTGAGGAGAGTCTTTCTGGGAGGTTTGATAGAGGCGGAGGAGGGGTTAGGGGAGGGAAACGAGGCGGTGGAGGACGTGGACGGGGAAGGGGACGTGGGAGGGGACGGGGCGGTAAGCGGTGAGGTGGATTGTAAGCTATAAACGAAGACCCAATGAAAGATGCGGTTGTATCGTTATAATAGACCGACTGGTGCGTGAAGTACCTTTGTTCGAGTAACCCTGTCGGTGCGTCAAGCAATAAGTTGCTGTAGATACGTTTGTTAATAGACGACATACACAACATATAGTAATGATACAGGCTAGAGGCAGCTAAACTAGGGCTGTCTATATGTGCAGTACATATAGTATCATGTGCAAGATTATAGTATCATGTGTAAGATTAAGCCACTAGCGTTGGTCTATGGATGTATCTCTCTTCCAGGTACTAACTAATATAGAGTTGTTTGGAGTTGTTTGTGACTCACACTGTATAGTGTGATCTGTATAGGCCATGGCCAGGACCACTCACTGTTTGTGTGCCATAAAGAAACCAGAAACAAAGCAACAACACTTGGGTGCCAAATATCAAAATCAAATTATGTTGTGATTGTTTGCTGAAATTAGCTGTGTCCAGTGACAATTGCTTGGCGCTGTTTAGGTGTGGAGCCTTAGGCTAAAAATGCTTGAGATTCTAGGATCTCGCTTCCTAAGATGACGGCGGTTAGGTGGTTAGGTGAGATGGTACGTAAGTTATGCTAGACCATACCTGTTACTTTACGAGTTCTAATCCCTAACTAAAGGCCAACAACGACCAAAAAAACCAACTCGACCGGGCCAACGCCCAGTTGATCGTCAAATATTTGTTTGAAGTCGGTTGCCTAACCCAACGAAACTCACCCTGACTGGTTGCTTCCACTGTGCTTAGCGCATTAATTCAACGTTCTTTGTCACTTTGGCAACTCGCACTCCTAGTTTAATTCCGATTCGCCTCGCTTACTCCCCTTTCACCTTTCACCTTTCACCTTTCACCCTTCACCATTTGAGCGCCCTAGCCGAACCTACCAGTCCGTCAAACGCGATTCTCTCTAATCTCCTAACAAAGAAATTCACCCGCCGGCATCCTCACTTCCTCAGGTCGTTGTTCATCCTCATCCTCATCCTCATCAACTCACTCCTCGCAATAGATGGAATCATCAAAGTAAGTATTCTATTTTGTTATCATCAAGGTTCTTCTCAATCGTTAAGGTCACGGGCGTCTCGTTTGAGTTTGGCAAAATTCGTGCCGTGTTTCTACGATGCTTCTTCATGCCATCATCTACGCCCTAGTTTGCTAGACTGCATCAATCTTATTAGCATCTCCACACATCACTTTATCAATGTCAACCATCCTTTGTGCAAAACAAACGATAAAAACTTATACCAGCTACTGACTGGACATTACAGCCAAGTCAGCAATTGAGGGATGATGTTTTCTCCAAGTAGCATCCAGAAAGTTCCACCTGGCGAAGGTGAAATGAACAAAGAGAACATTTACACCATCTCAGATGCTCCTATGGCAGCTCCTCCCACCGCAAAAACTGACACTGGGATAAACCAGCCGGTGTCCAGCACGCCACTCCCTACTTCGGAAGAGCCGGCTGCACCAACTGGGGCCATGGATTCCGTTACTCAGCCAAGCACAGCTCAGCCAAGCACAGGCTATTCTACTATATTCGTCAACCACAATGAGCCCGACGATCCAGATGACGACGATTCTCCCATCCTCGGGCGAAAGCGCAAGAGAAATTCTACTAATGTTGACTACCTCGCCGACTTTGCAAGCAGAGCTCAGCCTAACGAGCCAGCGGAGAAAAAGACTGGATGGGCGTGGAAGGGCACACAGGGTCCGACCTGGAAGGGTCATGAAGTGAAACATGGGGTGCCGATCGGAGTGTGGAGCTTGTCAGACGAGCCGATCGATGAGAGGAAGCACGTACTCTACGGATTTTTAGATCCAAAACTTGCATTGCATGGCCGCAAATATCCTGAGCGCAAGGATGGATCAAAGTATACTGGGAACTTTCCTTCAGGCACCGGAACATGGGCGGCGAAGTCGCATGAGTGGCTGCTGGACCCTCATCTTAAAGGCCTCTCTAGAAAAGAGTTAACAGAATACGTACGAATTAGAGTTAAGACCTGGAACAAGGAAGAAAAGCCAGAAGAGCGAGATGCTCTCGATCAGAGTGCTGTTGCCGAAGCAAAAGAGATAGCTGCTGCTTCTGAACCCACTATTAAAAGCGAGAACAAAGGGAATAGTGCAAAGAAAGGTAATAAAACGCCTCGCAAATCAGACGAAGGCAAGCTCGATAAGGGCACACCTGGGGGTTCCTTTGACGAGGCTTCTCCACCCACCAGCAATTCGACGACGAAGGGTCCAGAGCAGATTTACACACCTTCAGGCAATAGAGAGACACGTAATGACAGCCCACTCGACATGAAGCCTCCCAAAGAGTCCCAAAAGGCTTCCTCTCTCCCAAGGTCCACTCCAAACGCAATGCGGAGCAATACTGGTTCTCCAAGCCGTTTGGAAACTCCACCAAGAGAGCGATCGAAGTATGTCATCAAGGGCAAGGACGTCCTTATTGGCTACTGGAAAGATTCTTCCGAACCCGACGTTATCAATAAGCACGCGATGTACGGCGTTATCCAAGCGCACGGCGTCTTCCGAGTGAAGGTCGTCCCGGAAACGCGAGACGGTCGACATCTCAAAGATGGGAACTACCCTAAACTGTCTGGAGGATGCTGGGTTAACTACGATACTTGCGTCTTCGAAAAGTACCTCAATGACCTGATTCGCACGGAGATAGAAGAGTATTGCCGAATCTGCGTGGCTGACCCAGACTACAACGACAGAGCTCAAGGACCAGGTATCGACAGAGCGGTGAGGGAAGCCAAGAGAATCGTGGCCGAAAAGGCGGCGGCGAAGAGCATGGACATCATCGAATATAATCGGAAGAGAGTCGACCAACTCGAACAAGGTGCAATTTCCAGAGAAGTTGAGAAGCAGAGGAGGAATGGCGAGGTCGTTGTGACACCATTGAAGAAAGCTGAAGTGAAGCACACTGCAAAAAGATCCGGCAAGGCTGCCAGTGATGCTAGAGCCCGGATGGTGAGGCAAGCAAGGAAAGAGGTTAAAGAAGCCAAGGAGAGAGAGACGCTGAACTCAAAGGGGGATGCGGATATGGCCGAGGCGATTCGCCGAAGTACAACTGAGCAAGAAGCACTGGAAGCTCGGAAAAAATCTAACCTGAATTCCAATGCCTCGCCAGCCACACCAGCGGAGGCTAACAAGAGCACTGGGGCAGAGACATCTTCGAGTAGACATGCCAAGGACCTGACATCTGCCTACAGTCATCTCAGACAGGCCAATAGCACGCCGATATCGGCAAGGAGCAGTGTAACCAGCTCTGAATCTGATCGCAGCAAGTTCTATCTGCTGGATCGAGAGACGCAAAGGGTGAAGATGGAAAAATGGTGCAGAATGAAGTTGACTTCTCAATACCACAACCTGGATAGGGAAGGCCAGAGAAGACATGTCGAGAAGCACATCGATCAGTTGATCGCAAAACAAACTGGCGCGGCTACGCCGAAAAGACCCAAGAAGCGCTCCCGAACTGGAGATTACCCAGCTCAGCCAGGTGCGGTTTCAGCGCCTTCGCCTCTTTCGGATATGACGAGGGCGGTGTCGACCCCAACGACGGCGACGCAAGAACCGGCGGCCCGCGCAGGATTTGCAGCCACGGCGGCCGCTCCAGGAGCTGCTGCGGTGGAGAGATTCTCGCGCGCTGAGTCTCCGGCTGTTAATAAATGGCCAGGCGCAGGTAATACCCGAACAAACTTGACATTGCGGTCTGTACTCAATGAACCGATGACGCCCATTCCGTCTGAGAGTGAGGTGACTCCTCAGCCGAAATCTGTTGAAAATACGGTAGATGTTGCGATGGTTGATGCTCCGGTTGAGACTACAGCGCCTGTGCAACCGGTTACTTCGAATTCTACTCCGCCAGCTGAATCTAGCGCAATCCCGGTGACTACTGTTGAAACCGAGGCAGTTCAGGCTGTGCCAAGCGCGGTGACTACTCATCCCACATCCGTGGAGAACGCAGCAGACAACCAACCATCCCGCTCCGCAACCCAGGAAGAGGCCTCGAGACCCTCTCACTCCTCAGCTGCCTCAACCGACGTCCCCATGGCCGATGCCCCCACCGAGATAAACCAGCCACCACTCGACCCCAGCACAGCTCCTGAGTCTGTCGAGACCGAGCAATTCGCAAAGCCCCATTTCCCATCCAAGCTCCACCAACAACTCTTCGCCACCCCGCGCGTAGCCTCCTCCGACAACCCACAGGGTTTCATGTCCGCCCCGCCCCGCGCCTACATTACACCCTACCCTACCCCTCCCTTCGCAGCAGCGCCCTCCAGCGCACCACCCGTCCGCGCGCCCGCTTTGCCCCCGGCACCACTAATCCTCCAAGGCCAAGACGGGATAAAGTACTCCTCCGACCCCAGCAGCGAGTTCGGGGACCTCCTGGTTAGTGTGGACAGAGAGCTCGTTGACGTCGATGACAAGGAATACACGAGACAGATTGTGCTTGTTGCGAAGAAGGCGCCGAGACCGCCGAGGGCGCAGGGGGAGGAGAGGAAGGTTGGGGAAGAAGTTTTCAAGATGACGGGGGAGGGGGTGTTTGGGGGGTATTTTGTGGGGGCTGAGAGGAAGGTTACGAGGTTGGGGGGGAGGATTGGGTGAAGTTTGTTGTGTTGGTGCCGTTTTAGATGGATGGATGGGGAGTGTGTAGGTTTATGGGAATTGGGGGTGTGGATTTTCGGCGTTTGGGGGGAGGTATCGTTTTTGCTTTGAACGGGGGGAGGGAGGCGGAGTGGTTCTTCTGTTGCCACCGGCTCAGCTTAAGAGCTCACCTCCAGGGTCGGCAGGGGCCGCAGAAATCCAATCCCCGGAATACGTTCGCAAAGAAGAAGGCCTGACTAGCCCAAGGGGGCGTTGAATTTTAGCAAGGAGCTATGGTATGGGTTGGTTGCTAGGTATCCGGTTATTCAGGGATAATTATTACCAAGGAGTGATGGATGGGATGAGCTGTTTCTTTATTTTAGGTAGCTGGGGAAGCTTTACTCGTCGAGTTGAGGGGTAATATTGGGCTTTGTGGCTTCAAATCAGATTGATCCAACAATTAAGAGTCAAAGTTGTTGTTGTTGTTGTATTACCTAGGTTTGCTACTTTGAGATGGGCTAATCGAGGTATCTAAATTGTTGTTGGAGTGATCCGTGGTGATATGTATGGATGCTTGGCTATATGCAGCACCCCCACTCTGTTCTCACTGGACCTGATTATGGCTCTGGGTGCCTATGGTGCCTGGTGAACAACTGCACCGGATATCTGGGCCAGCTACACCTCATACCACCATGGTAGAGGGTATCATACTGGGCGTGACAATCTTCCCCTGGCCTCGTCGGTAACCACTGCTCCTTCCCCCAGCAGCGGCTCCTTTCCCCTCTCCCCTCTCTTGGCCTCTCCTCCGCTTCATATAATCATCCTCCCATCCCCCCCCCTTCACCCCGCCAAAGGATTCGCATGCACCGTCACCCCTACCACCCCCACCTCCCCCACCGGCCTATTCTTCCTCCCCACCTCCACCCCCCCCAACTTTTTCAGAGTCTCCATCCCCTCCTCCCCCACCACATGTCCAAACACCGTATTCCGCTCATCCAAATGCGGCGCCGGCGCGAGGGTGATGAAGAACTGGCTCCCATTCGTGTCGGGGCCTTTGTTGGCCATACTCACGATCCCTGCGGCGTTGTGGCGCAGGGAGGGGCGGATCTCGTCTTCGAAGTCGTGGTTCCAGATGGAGGTGCCGCCCTTTGGCAACGAAGGGGGGGCGCCGGTTTGGATCATGAAGCCGGGGATCAGGCGGTGGAAGGGGGTGGGGGTGTAGTAGCCGGAGGCGCAGAGGGCGAGGAAGTTCTGGGGAGGGGGGTTAGCTGGGTGTGCTGGGTGTTTGTGTGTGGATGGGGTGGGAAATGGAAGGGGGAGGGAAGGGGTGGGGGCTATTTACCTCTGCGGTCTTGGGCACGCTCTCGCAGAAGACTTCGATCTTGATGTCGCCGTGGGTGGTGTGCAGTGTTACGGACATGATGCGTGTCTGTCCCGTCTGCGTCTGCGGCGGGTTGAGGGTGGGAAGGTAGGTAGCTGTACAGCAGCGGCGTACGAGTGAGCGTGGAGCGTGGAGCTTCCGTAGGGCTGAAGAGGAAAGCACGGCGGTACCGAGATTTTAGGTTTGTATGGTGTTTTACTTACTCTACTACTAACTTACTCTACTACTCTACTAACTTACTCTACTACTTTACTCTACTAACTTACCCTACTACTACTCTACTACTCTACTAACTTACTCTACTACTACTCTGCTACTCGATTACTGTACTCTACTACTGTACTCTACTACTGTACTCTACTACTGTACTCTACTACTCTACTACTCTACTACTCTACTACTCTACTACTCTACTACTCTACTACTCTAACTTACTACTTACTCTACTAACTTACTCTACTACTCTACCCCTCTACTATACTACTACTTACTCTACTACTCTACTAACTTACTCTACTATACTACTACTTACTCTACTACTCTACTCCTCTACTCTACTCTTCTACTCTACTCCTCCAACTTACTCTACTCCTCTACTCTACTCTTCCACTCCATCCCCCGCGAACGTCTTGTCGGATACATAGCTCCGCTCTGGCTATCCTGGCCTACCTACCTCTGGGGCTACTACTTTCTCCTCGACTACTGGACTACTCATCCTCCTCCTCCTCCTCCTCACAACGGCACATACCTCTTCCCCACATCGCAGCTGCCTCAACTCACCTCTGAGCAGCTACCTACACTATTACCGCCAGCAGCATCCCCACACTCGTTAACAAATGCGCCCTTGAACCACCACGTCAACAAACTAAACATCTCCCTCTAGCACCTCAGCCCGCTCCCCGACGCAGCCTTTGTCTTAGATTGTGCTTATCGGTTGCGGCAAGAACGACGTCAAAAGGTACACAAGGCCTTGGCACTCTACTACAAACCTATCGAAACTATCACGCCCCCATACCAGGACTTATTCTCGCTCTGTCTGGCCAACTGTACCAGCAATTGTGCGCATTGACGACGAGGTTCCACTACCTTCCACTCCAGGTCGCTGCCCGACGGCAGCAGCTCTGGTCTACACTGCTGGCGAAATAGAGCGAGTAAGCGCGAGACCGCGCAAGTGTGGTCGCCCACGATTCCGACAACAGCGAGGAACGCGAGAGGGTGACGAGATCGCGCACCCCTCCCACCACTCATGGCGGCGTTCGTACGGGTTCTGGGGCCGCCTAATAGCAACTTCTTGGTCGGGTACCCAGGAATCTCTGCTACTCTGGTAAGTCCCACCTTGCGACGCGGGAGAGAGCTTCGATATGCGGTGACGTCGGGGTAGCTAGCTAATGGGATCACGCAGCCGCGCATAGAGGGCAAAGTCGAAATCCGCCCGAAGAAGGGCGTCTCCGCCCCGGTCGCCATCTCCCTTGTCTCGATATGTTTACAGCGATGCGAAACCATCCACCCCGCTGCCGAGCTGATCGTGAAGAAGCACCTAGGGACCCCACGGCGCGAGACGGTGGATATAGTGGGCAAGGAGCTCTTATTATGGAAGTGCGACATTGGGAGGGTGTCTGAGAATCTGGTCATGATGGACCTACCGTTTGTGCTGTTTATACCGTTTGGGAGAGGAGGACAGGAGACGAACCGGAGGATCCCACCGGCGAGCCTGCAGCTCCCGAGCCGGACGGCAGAGACGCGGTATGAGCTGGTGGTTACGGTGCAGCAGGGGAGCGCGGACCAGAGCAAGTTCGTCACGCCGGTGCCGATACAGAGATACGATACGTTGTCGACGTTCGGGATGTACAACCGCCCGGAGTCGGCAGATATGGTGTCGGACCACCTCATCACGCTGGGCATATCACTACCGCGGTGGTCCTACGGACCGCTCGATCCAGTCAGCGTGTATATCAAGCTGAGCCCGAACCTGGACCATATGAAGAAGGCGACGAAGGTGATGATTCAGAAGATCACGATGGCGATCGAGGAGGAGATTACATTTAACCATGAGGGCGACGAGCCTACGAAGAAGGTGAATAGGATTGCGAAGCAGACCACGCTGATCGGGGTCAGGATGCCCGGGACGGGCTACACCACCAATCTCGGCCTCGTCTTCCCGAGTAAGGAGAACAGGGATGCAGAAGGGATTATTAGGAGGGGCAAGCCGCATTTCCCCATGTACGGCGTCAACTCGTTCACCACGACAGGAAGCCTGTACAAAATCGAGTTCTTCCTGATAATAAAGGTAACCCCCGCACCCAGCTCGCCGACCCCGAACATACCACCCCATGGCGCCATACATACATACATACACTAACAACAACCCAGGCACACATGACAAACACCCGCGACATCGTCCTCCGCCAACCCATCATCGTCTGCCCCTTCGACCAACAAGCGTGCAAGGAGGAAATGGAATCCATCGAACAGGCCGCCAAAGACGCCTCCCACGTCGACGCGAACAACCCCATGCTCCCCGCCCGCACCGTCATCAAGGCCACCGACCGCGACGCCCTGAAGGCGCTCGGCTTCACGTCGGTGGGGAATCAGCGGAAGATCCTCATTGAATGAGGAAGTGCGTGACGCCGTACGATTGTTGAGCCTTACCTTATACCGAGCTAGTCCAGGGCCGCCCGCCGCAGCGGTCGGTCGAGAGAGACCCTGGATCGGATGATGCGGAGTCGGCGCCAAGACGCCAGACTTGCTGCGCTGTGCCGAGTGGATTCGAGCGGCAGTGGGACGGACGCCGGATATGAATGACGAGCGATGTAATGCATGGCGTGTATACTTGATTGATGTGTGGGTGGAGCTTTGCTTTTGGGCGAAATAACTGACTGACTGGACCAGTCCACGCATGCAATGGCCGGTTCATGGACTTTGGGGGGGGGGGGGGATGCATGGAATGGCCGGTTCATGGACTTTTGGGGGGGGGGGGATGCATGGAATGGCCGGTTTGGGATTCCGGGAGGGAAAAAGGGCGGGGGAAGGGGGGTGGCAAAGATTTGATTTTTTGGATGAGAGGGCCGATGGATGGGCGCTCTTGTAGTATACCCGCGTTTTAGTGATGAGGCGCTGTGATCATGGTGTGATGTGAGGCTATCGGTGAGGGGAGGGGGTGGGCGGGGGTGTTGTAGGTTTGTAGGTTCTAGGGGAGGATGGGTATGGAAGGAGTTTGTGAGCATCTTCTAGATAGAGCGACAATCCCCACGAAGGGTTTATTTTATTTAAGAAAATGAACCCGGAGACCTGCAAATGTTGAGAGCCGCTGAAGAAATCGAGTACCAGTTGTTTCACAGAGAAGCAGCATTGGAAGCAACACCTTTCTGTCTCGGTTGCTGTAGTTGATGTTTGCCGTCTTGGTTGCTGTCTGTAGTTGGTATTTGCTATCGTCGATATCTGCTGTCGTTTGCATTCGCTGTCCATGATGGTCTTCCTATCACCAATCTTGCCATCTTTTGGGAGACACACACCCCGCCACTCCCCGTACAGACGATGCCTCCCCCTCGCCACTTATAATGTGGAGACGAGGGTTTCGCCGTTCATATGCTCCATGAGAGCATGTCTCCGCGCCAACTTAACCGTTGGCCTTTAGTAGTCTCTTCGATGTGGCTTTACTAGCTGATATAGCTTGCTTTTTAAAGGAGGCTTCTGCTCGTTGTTTTGGGGGGAGAGGAGGCGGGGTGTGTAATGGGTTGGCGGTGGGGGATGGGACGCGATAACTACGCGATTATGGTGGTGGAGCGAATTCTGGGGCGGGCTCTTGGAGATGGCTTGTATTGCGAGCACAACTACTATAATACGGACAACGCTTTATGAGATCCTCGTTCTCTGAGAAAGATATTGTTATAGTAATAGGATTTATTTTTGATTTTAAATCGAAATATTGGTCAATCAAAACGTCAAAAGTACTCAAACACCAGTTAATCACAATTGTGCTCGCAATACAAGCCATCTCCTCTCCCCCCAAAACAAAATGTCAACCTCCACCAAACCCCCCACCGGCGCAGGCGCCTCCACCAACGCGCCCGGCGAACGCACCTACTTCGAGGCCCAGCGCGCCGCTCTCCTCGGTGAAATCGGCGTCGTACGTCCCTCCTCCCCCATCCCCATCCCCCTCCATTCTCCACTTCCTCACCCCGCGACCCAAGCTAACGCGCTGCGCCTACAGAGCCTCGAGCACGTCCTCGCGAACATCAATAAACTTAATCGCTCGCTGGAGGGTGTTATAGCAGTCGGGAATGAGTTTGGGTCTGTGGAGGCGCTGTGGAGTCAGTTTGAGAATGTGATGGGGCATGAGCCGGTGGTGAATGAGGGGAAGAGTGAGGAGGGGGGGAGTGAGGGGGATTATGAGGAAGGGGAGGGGGAGGGGAGTGAGGTTGATGAGTCGAGGGTTTGAGTTGGGGGGGTGGGTTGGAGAGATGGGATGGGATGGCGTTTGGGGGGTTGTTTACGAGATATCATGGGATGGGATGCGGTGTGGGCACGGAAGCTTGTTGGTAGACAAGAATGACGGGGACGGATGGATCAGTTGAACGCGAATTGTATATACATCTATAATACCACCCAACGAGTTAAACGACAAAAGAAAAAAGATGCCATAGTGCGACTGCAGCCCATCCCTCTCAGCATGCTAATGCAACCCAACCCCCCCAATTCCCGCCCATCAAAACTCCATAAGCCGTCGTAATCATAATATCACACATCAGTTCCCCCCCTTCCCCTTCCGCGCTGTTACAAAAATCTGCAATTCCTCTTCTTCTTCTTCACCACCATCCCTCCGACCGTCCCGCCCTGGGGAGTCTGCGCAGCGTTCCTCCGGTCGCCGGAGACGACGATCTCGATTGCTTGCTCGAAGATCTCGTCGACGCCGCGCATTTCCTTGCTGCTGCACTCCATGTAGCGTGCGCCCATCTTTTGGGCGACGGCCATGCCTTGCTCTTGCGTGACGGGGGTGAGGCCTTGGGTCTTAAGGAGGTCGATGCAGGTGCGCTTGGTGCGGAGGTCGGATTTGAGTCCGACGAGGACGAGGGGGGTGTAGGGGCAGAAATGGAGGACTTCGGGGTACCACTGAGGTTGTAGGTTAGTATTGAGTCTTCACCAGAGCCAGAGAGGCGTGGAAGGAGTGGTTGGGGGGCATACCTTGTCCATTACATTCTCCAGAGAGTTCGGGCAGTCAATGGCGAAGCAGACGAAGAGGAGGTCGGTTTCAGGGTAGGAGAGTGGACGCAGACGGTCATACTCTTCTTGCCCCGCAGTATCCCAAAGAGCGAGCTCAACAGCCTTGCCGGACTTTTTGTGGATGGGATATGTGATGTAGTTTTCAAAGACGGTGGGAACGTATTTCTGTTGCCGGTCAGTCAGCACATGCCTCTCTATTCAGATCAGACTTTGAGCGAGCATACCTCTGGGAAATATCCCTGGCTGTAGGAGATAAGCAGGCAAGTCTTTCCACACCCTCCATCGCCGACGACGACAATCTTTTTCGAGTACGCTGGACCCTCTGTGACGTTCGTGCCCGCCGACTCGCGACCTGTTGACATTGTGTTCCCGCTCATCATCGTGCTAACAGTTCCTTCGCTTGATCTGGTGCTCTGGTCTCGTTGTGTGGTTTTCCTTGTTTGGTTGTCGTAGGAGTCGGCCGTCGAGGGGGATGGGTCTTGGGTGTACGAGTAGCGATCTTGCTGATAAGCCATACGCGACATCGTTGTGGGTCGGCTGCGATACTGGTGGTTATTTTGATCGTGGGCTCTTTAGAGATAATATGGCAGCTGTAAGTGTAATGCAATAGCTGTAATTGATTTTTTTGTCTGCTCGTCACAGTTTCAGTTGGGAATCAGGTGGGTTCCTATAATCGACCTGGCCAAAAGCTGGACCCCAAAAGCCAGGTGTGGGTGTAAACATAAAGTGAGTTGGCGAAGCAACCACAAACCCTGAAACTAAGAAACCCTTCCCCCGCCTCCCCGACTTTTGGTTGGCATTAGCCATCTTGGGCCACTTGCGCTTCACCAAATGTGCATTTCGATGCGCAAATCCTAGAACTTCTTCTCCTTTCCCCTCTCTCCTCCCCTACGTGCCATTCGATGCGCCAAATGAACCTATGTATTCTTCGCCCAATGCATCCCACGGCGAACTCGAGAAGTTCCCGGATCTCGACGATGCCGTGCTCCCTGAGATAGCGATTGACACGTCTCCCACGCCCCCCGCCTCATTGAACAATCGCGATGCGGGGATGAGGAGTCTGGATCACTGTATGTTACGAAACGCACATATCCTATACCAGCATCACTGTCGTGCTTTTGCTTGACCAATTGCTAACTATTTGGCATCGCAGATAGACGTAAACTCCCACCATGGCGATACAAGTTGCGCCAGTCCCTTCTGCCCCTTATACGAGTAGAGACTCCGTATTTGGCCTGGATGCAGGATAAAATGCGCTCACCAGCCCTCGACTCCTACTTCGCCATCACTGCCAACCTCGGAACCCATACCTTCTTCATGGTCGTCCTGCCCATCCTCTTCTGGTGCGGATATACTTCACTTGGCCGCGGAATGGTACACATCCTCGCGAACGGCGTCTTCTTTACAGGTTTCCTCAAGGACATGTTATCACTTCCTCGGCCGCTCTCGCCCCCTCTCCACCGCATAACTATGTCTGGATCTGCGGCGCTCGAATATGGCTTTCCGTCTACCCACTCCGCCAATGCCGTCTCCGTGGCAGTCTATGCGCTCTTCACTCTTCGCGCACCAGACTGCCCACTCGCCCCAACCACCAAGCTCATCCTTGAAGGTCTATCCTATGCATATGCTCTCTCCATTATTCTTGGGCGCCTGTACTGTGGCATGCACGGCTTCCTAGATGTCATAATCGGGTCTCTGATGGGTGCCACCATCTCCATCATCGAGTGCGTCTACGGTGGCGACATCGACAACTACCTCCACAACTCCTCCTGGCGTGCCCCGCTCCTCGTCGCTGTCGTAATCATCATCCTCGTGCGCATCCACCCCGAACCCGCGGATGATTGCCCCTGCTTCGACGACTCCGTTGCTTTCGCCGGCGTCATGATAGGCTGTGAACTCGGTGACTGGCACTATAGTAACTCGTCATACTCTTGGTCCCACCCTGTCCCAGCCACTGTGCCTTTCTCCCTCGACCACATGGGCTGGCCGATGGCTATTACCCGCATACTCGTCGGCGTCCTCATAATCTTCATGTGGCGCGAAGTCATGAAGCCAGCCATGCTCAAGTCCCTCCCCCACCTCTTCCGCTTCATCGAGCAGTTTGGCCTCATCCTGCCCAGAAAGTTTTTCATACCCGCCAGCGAGTACAAGAAGATTCCAGCGAGATTGCGCGTTGATAATGTCATGCCCAGCGTCTCCGACTTGCCATCGCTGCTGACTTCAATCCGTCATCCAGGCCGCGGGCGCGCCGTCTCCATCGGCCCTCAATCTGCAGCCGATGCGTATGAGACGCTCGCATACCGTGACAAGCGCCGGCGCGAGAGCATGGGGACGCCGTCACCGAGCCACTCGCGGGGTAATTCTACGAACAAAGCTACGCATGTACAAACTGTCGGGTCGGAGGCGCAGGGACTGAAGTTGGAAACTGGTGAGGGGGGAGGGCTGTCGTCGCAGATTTCTCTGCCGAATAGTGTGCCTACGTCGTTGCAGAGCAGGTTGGGGGATTATGAGCAGATGATGGGCCAGGGACATGTTATTGTCAGCCCGCCGACGCCGAGTACCGAGGAGAAGATCCCGCAGGATTGGGATCGGACGAAGCTAGGTGGGGATAGAGGGACGGAGACGGACCTTCTGGTTGGGACGGAAAATGAGTTGGGGGAGAAAGAGATGTTTTCGAGGCTGGAGAAGCCGAGAGTCAGGTATGATGTGGAGGTCGTTACAAAATTGGTTGTTTATACAGGTATGTTTTCCCCACTCTCCCACGGCTACTATTTGATAGGATACGAGGGAACTGGAGCTGACAGAAGATAGGAATCGGTTGGTTAGCAGTGGAGATCAACCCCATCATCTTCGAACTGCTCGGCATAGGAATGAGGGAGCACAGTCCGTACGTGTAATGACGAGGGCGCAAGTGACGACGACATACATAGAACGATAGAGGCTGAGAGGGGGGAGGCGATGGATTGGGGCCTCGCCCCGTGTACATTACCCAATCTCATGATACGCAGTTAATGGGCAGACAGCGCCTAACTGAATTCTGGCCGATGGCAGAGACTAGGCCTTGGGTTCGGGCCTTGTAGACTGACCGGCGGGGGCCGCAGGGTTGGATACTTATGATTGACGAACGTGTTTGGGACACTAGCATTATCAGCGGACATAGTATATTGCAAAGATAGGCTGCGGTGTGCTGATATATATATATGTGCCCTTGTTCAATCTAATCCTTATCCTGGTCCTCGTCTACCCCAGTTCCTCTCCCTCGTCCCCTTGGAGTCCCAGGTCTACCTGCCGACAAGACTCTAATCTCATCTCCGCAGAGCTCTGTGAGCTCATGACCACCTTATGGTCTCCATTCCGTGACGCCCTTTCACCAAGAGAGAATAAGAGCTAGACAACCGAAGCCTTTAGGAACCAATGAGTAAATAATGTCCGACGCTCTGCTGTGTCGAACGAGAGGCCTATTTCCAACAGATAAAAAAAACCCAACTAAAGCTCGAATGCAAAACGAGGGCAAGGGCAAACGACAGCAAGGGCAAAACGACGGCAAGGACAGAACGACAGCAAGGGGAAAACGACAGCGAATTCGAGTGACAACAAAGACACGTTAAGCAACACTAAGAGCAGCGGACGCTTTGAGTATCCCCCGTCTCGTGGTAGCCTAATCTTGAAGTAGGGATGCATGCCTTTGAATGAGCGGCGTTGAGTGTCAACCGTGGCGTTGTGAAACGCAATTATCGTTATTTGAGCAACTCTGTTATATGCATGCACAGCAATCACAATCTAAAAATATGACAATTTTTCAATTCATGCATGATCTATAAGTACATCTCGACCCCCCGTCCCCTCATTTGGCCACTCTACGCCAACTTCCCCGGCACAAACGGATGTCCCGCGCTCAACCCCCCATCCACCGCCCACGCCTGCCCATTAACATAACTACTCTCATCGCTCCCCAAAAACAGCGCCACCCTCGCGACCTCATCTGCATGCGCGCCCCTCCTCAGCGGGTTCAACTGCCCAATCTTCGCCTGCGTCCCGCGCTCCCTTGCCGCATCATACATCGGCGCCGTCATCCCCGTCTCAATAACACCCGGGCACAGCGCGTTGATACGCACCCCCGTCCCAGCGAGCTGGAACGCAATAGTCTGCGCGATCGACACGACGCCCGCCTTGCTGCACGAGTAATCCGTTGACCCTGCGTTGGAGCGTAGACCGGCTACGGAGGCGGTGCCGATGATGGAGCCGGAGGGGTAGGGCTTGGAGGGGGAGGTGGTCTGCATAGCGGGCGCCGCATACTTGGCGGCCAGGAAGACGGAAACGGTGTTTGTCTTCAAGGTCGCGAGGAACTCGTCGGCTTCGACCTCGGTGAAGATCTTAGGCATGCCCACGATGCCAGCGTTGGCGAAGAAGACGTCGAGACGGCCGTAGGTGGCTAGGGCGTCATCGACGACCGCTTTGACGCCTGATGACTCTCCGGCGTCGAATTGACGGGTGTGCACGTCGACGGAGGGGAAGAGGGATGCGAGCTCGCGCTTGTGAGTTGCGAGATGCGAGTCGGCGAAGTCGCAGAGGTAGATGGCACGGGCACCATTCTCAGCGTACTGGTGGGCTGTTGCGCGGCCGATGCCCATGGGACTGTTGGTGCCTGCGATTACGTGTGAGAAGATGGGAGGCAAAAGGGAGGCGGCTTGGGCGTACCGGTGATGATTACGACTTTCCCTGCTGCGCGAGGGCCAGCGGAGGGGCCGGCGACCTTCTTGAGCTTGGGGATGTTCTCGAAGCTGCCTTGGTCGGGGATGGGGGAGACGAGCTGCTCGCTGAGCGCTGAGAGGCGGCGCTTGGCGACGGAGGCGGCGGAGGATCGGGTGGACATGGTGTATATATGAAGGTTGGCGTGAGAAGGAGAGTTGAATTTATTAGGGGGTGAAGGAATGGGGATATATATGCTGAGGAGTGTATGTGGGGCGGCACCTGGGGGAGCCGAGGCCGAGGCTCCCGAGGCTGCTACGATAAGTACATCACGTGACCTACAACACCTCGCAAGGCTACACTGCACTTTTGGCTTATTGTGGCTAACGTGGGCATGGGAAACCTGGAACACATTTTGTTGATTCTTCTTGTTGTTTGCGTCAGTGTGGTGGTTATTGGCGTCACTGAATAAAGCTCGCACTCACCTCCGACATTCTCTCGACCTACATTATACAGCAACTTCAAGCTTACTACTACCTGCCTACGCTCATTCCCACTCTATACGAAGAGAATATCTCCCTTAAGAGTTGCCCAGACTCTCTATCGCCACTGGTAAGTAGCAGCTAAGGCATCGCGTGCCTAGGCCCTGCCCTGCCTGTGCGTTCCATGAGGAATGACATGTTTGGCCCCTCTAACTGACAACGTACTTCAGACCGCTCGCACAACAGCGCCGACCTGCGACCAACTACAGCGTTTCAGTAGCACCAACATTTTTGATCGTTTAGAGAGTCTTGTTTTGGGAAAGGCTTACCGATGCGTGCACTGCCGCCACCTTGAGGTTTCTCTGACGGTTCGATGGAGACCGACGACCCCATACGCATCCAGAAGAGGAGCTCCTCTCAGCACTCCGACATTTCGACTAGGAGCCGGAGATCACAGAGTACGAGAGTACGATCACGCAAGACGCCATCATACGCTTCTAGCTCGGCGTCCTCGATAGCCGCCTCCGACAAGTCACTCACCTCATTCCCCTCATTGTCGCCCGAGTCGCCGTTGCCCCAGAAACCCCGATCTTTCGATGCGGCACTTGTCAATGACAGGACTGCTCTCCCGACTAGACGAACGTCGAGCCATGCACCGTCTATGGTAGAGAGCCTGACGCAGCCCTCGCCGCCAAATGAAGCCCGATCAGCACTGTTTGACGACGCCCCGATGAACACAAGCTACGTCCCTGGAGCGATACACCTTGCCAGCGACGAGTTTCTAGAGCGTTTGATAGCACGACAGGGAGCGGTAAATCTTGTCCGCCAGATCTCGTCGGACCTTGCTCAGAGGGATGCAGAGGTTGCACGGCTACGACAGAAGGCAGAGGAGAGGGAGAGGGCGCTGAGGAAGGTCGTCCTTGAATGTGGCCTGTCCAACTTGGACCTCGAGAGGCGCCTCCGCGCGATCGAGGAGTCGAAATATGCGGATGACGCGAGCATAGCGACTGACTCTGGGGTTGGTGGCTTGGAGACGATGATAAATGATGCCATGATTATTGACGCCGAAACCGACGACTATGGCTTATCTGGCGAAGCTACGATCCGAGCAATCGAAAAGCCGAAGCAAGCAGCGGTGCCTGGCCTATCCAAGGAGATGACGAGGAACTGGAAAGACTATATATGGGGCGGAACAAGCAAGAAGAGCAGCCAAGCAAGTAGTATCAGCGAGGAGTATGATGGCCTGGACGCACCGACAGGGCTCTCAAACCCACCTCGAAAAGCAGATCGTCGCAGCGTACTACAAGATGGACTGTTCCACCCACCGGATGCAGAGTCTCCCACGCGTGCGAGCAGAGCGTCCAGCTTACACAACATTAACTCACAAACGACCCGTAAGCCTTCGATGTCTCTAGCAGCTATGGCCCTCAAGCTGGTGGCTGGGGCTAGTGGAGCTGCGACACTAAGTCGGGATAGCGATGCATCCTCTGCACAAGGGCAGTCCAATGACGCTACCGGGCGACAGTCTTCCAAGTCTCAATCATCAACTACCACACCGAGAGTTTTTTCCCGCCAGACCGGTAGGGCCTTACAGGGTAATCGAAGGACAACCAGTGGAACATCTTCAAGTGGTACAGCCCGCAATGGACTTCAAACTTCCGCGGACCAGCAAGACAAGGCGACGGACGTGACCAACTACGGACCCGTTGAGATGGACACAATTCTACCCTTTGAGAACCAGCCGCCTACCGTCACTCAAGTCAATAACAATCAATATAACCCAGAATTTCTAACGGATCGATTTGGCTTCATTTATGACCAGAGACGGAAGAAGAGGCAAAAGGATGCTACTGACACCTTAAAGAACACGAAGCACGGAAGACACGGAAGCAGGACGGAGATGATCAACACTGCTAGAGATACTATCTCGTCTCCGGAGACTAATATAGAGGCCAATGCTGAAGTGGATGAAAGGCCAGACACTCCGCTGTCGACAGAAGAGCCTGCCGAGAATGGCAAACCGGCCAAAAAGTGGCAAGACTACCTGAAGATAGCTACGTTCCCGACGGAACTGCTTTCACACACCCCCTCGATGAGCCTACCCAACTTGGAAGTTATGGAAGGCGAGGAGGTGCCAAAGCTTGTTGGGATGAAATCATCTGATGGAGGCTTTGTACCGCCAACAAATGTCTCAGTGGCTGTACCAACGGTATCCACGACCGTTTCGACGCTGGTGTCTACAAAGTCCGCTGTCCCATTGGCAGAAGAGGATATCGAGCCTGTGAAACTGCTTCTAAAGCAGCTTGGAGAGGTTCATGATTCTCTGCAGCGTGAGAAAACTGTCAAATGGAATGATTTCCTTCGCAAAGTACGCGCTGAGCGTAAGCGTGAGAGCGAGGCTGCCACAGCTGCTGCAGGAGACTCAAAATCGCAACGATCCAAGACGGTTATGCCCGAAGTCAGCATAGCAGACGGAGAGATAATCGGCGTCTCGGGGCTTGGCAATAAAGGCAAAGCTGGGAGGGCAAAGTGGCAAGAGTTCAAGCAGCTGGCGTTATCTGGCATCCCAGTGTCATACCGTGCAAAGATTTGGGCGGAATGCTCAGGCGCTACTACTCTACGAGTCCCAGGTTACTACGATAATCTCGTTACGAATCGCGATGGAAACGATGATCCTATTATCGTCTCACAGATCAGCATGGATATAAATCGTACTCTGACGGACAACATCTTCTTCAGGCGAGGTCCAGGCGTCGCGAAGCTTGAGGAAGTGCTTTTAGCCTACTCTAGAAGGAACAGGGAAGTGGGGTATTGCCAAGGCATGAACTTGATTACGGCTTGTCTTCTCTTGATTATGCCTACAGCTGAGGACGCCTTCTGGCTACTTACCAGCATTATCGAGAATATCCTACCACAAGGATATTACGACCACAGCCTCCTCGCATCACGTGCCGATCAGCAAGTTCTGCGCCACTATGTTGCAGAGCTCCTGCCGAAACTATCGAAGCACCTTGACGAGCTAGGTATCGAGCTAGAGGCGCTAACTTTCCAGTGGTTCCTGAGCGTATTCACCGACTGCCTGTCAGCTGAGGCGCTATTCCGCGTATGGGACGTGGTGTTCTGTATCAACGATGGCAGCACGTTTCTGTTCCAGGTCGCGCTAGCTCTGCTCAAGCTCAACGAGCAGCAGCTTTTGCGCTGCCCGACGCCAGCGGGTATATACACGTACATCAACCACCAGATGACCAACCATGCTATCAGCATTGACGGCTTGATTCATGCATCAGAAGGGCTGCGCAGGGTGGTAAGGAGGGAGGATGTCGAATCTCGCCGCAACAAAGCGATCGCGGCGGAGAAGGACCTCATACGGCAGCGGGAAGCAAAGAATAACCTCCGCAAGGCGGAGAGACAGGCTGCGCTTAAGAACAGTGCCGTCCAAGCGGCAGAGGTAAGATCTGCATCTCCAGCCAGAAGTGTAGCTACAAGGGAAGAGGTGGTTGCAGATGATTTTACTTTGCAGACTCCGAAGCCGTTGAACGACGAGGCGATGATTGAATTGGGTTGAACTGGGTATATGGTGGGGCGCTCAAGGAATGGGGGCTAGATGGTACGGCGATGGTTGCACATCGGTGGCGTTTTTGGAGCTGGAGACTAAGAAAGGAGATTTACAATGATACCCGAGCTCTAACACAGGTTGAGAATCCAACCAGAAAAGAAGCTACATCTTCTGTTTTGCAGGAGCTAAAGTGGCACGTGAATGCTTTGAGATGTCGACGGCGCGGAGTTAATTTAGGGTTTTAAGGTCCGCCTTGGAGCTATGTTGCTCGGTGATGTCAACTTTTGATAACTAACTTTAGCTCCCGGTCCGGCCCCTCGAAAGACCTGACTAAATGTGAGTAGTGCCAGACAATTTGAAAATGATGCCAGGTTGGTTGGAACATGCTTTCTTTACAAACCCTCTCTCTCTCTCTTGTTTACTTCCTTCCGTTCTTTTCCACAATATACCATCTTAGCATAACTCCTAGTTGTTAAGTCGAGTACTTCGAATATCACAACCTAGCATTTCATTCTCATTTGAATAATATCCCCAGCTATATTACATCGACTGCCATACCACGCATCGCCATACGACAATGCCCGCTCCGGAACTTCAAGCAGTCACCGGTGGGAAACGCAGAAAGCTCCAACAGCCACAATCCACATTTGCTATTATCTCATCCAACTGCTGCACACAACAGCCCTACAACGTCAAGGATACGCCTTTAACCATGTCAACCCTCAAACGCGTGAAAGCCCGCATTCATTCCCTCACTACGTCTTCGAAACTCTCACAACTGAGGAATGCCTGTGCCTCTCCCGAAGCAGCTACGACTTCACCCACTCCTCGAGACGATCCCCGAGATACCCGTCCTCAAGACACGTATCGAAGACCGGCTCAGAGCCATCGGCGCCTGCTCATCGGAGTCTCTCGTAGAGGCCGAGGATCATATTCCCGCTATCCCGATACCAGCAGATTCCGAGGATCCCATCCCCGTTATCTCTTTACCTGCAGAAACCCAAACCATCAACGACCCCCCCACCACACCATTCGACGTCCACAGCACACTACTTGGCCGCACCGCCACTCGCTATGCCGCGGCCAAGGCATTTAACCTGGGTTTACCGGCGCCGGATAGGGATGAGCTGGTTGAGCTTTGCGATGATATTGCGAGGAGGGATGAGCAGCCGGGGATTATGTGGTCGCTTGAGGGGACATATGTGCCGCGTGGGGTGCCGAGTGGGAGGGTAACGAGGTTTGTGGAGACGGAGATGGGCCTAGAGACACAGTCGGAAGAGGAGGACGGGTTGGCTATCGAGAAGAAGGCGAGTTTTGATAGCCCGGTACCGATGAAGAGTGGTAGGGGCCGAGTTCGCGAACTGTGGAAGGCAAGGCGTCGACTAGCTAATATGTCAGATTTACCAAGCTTCACCAAGAGCTTCCTATGTCTCAACAAAAATCTCGAACCATGAGCATAGCCTCCTCCCGTCCCAGTCCTCAAGCCGAACCCCGACACACTTGCCCCGAGCAAGGGGCGGATCAACGTCATCCACGGCGCTAGCGGAGTTCTTGCTGCCACTGGTTCTTGCTATCTGATGTTGTTCTTGCTGTCGGAGCTATCGATCGGGCATTCTCGTTGTCTCCCCCTAATTTGCACGCATGCCTAATTTGCACGCATGCGTGGTGAAGTAGATTCAACGAGGTCTTACTAACCTTCTCGCCTGATTTGTGGTGCCATTCCGCCCCATATCTTCTCCACAGACGATTGATGTTTTCTGGGTCTAAATTATAAAAAGACACGACTCGAGTCACTCTAAATAATAAAAAGACACGACTCGAGTCACTCTAAATAATAAAAAGAGACCACCCCCCCATTTCTAGCCCCCAAACCCTAAAAATAAATCACTATATTATCATCAGTATCGCCAGTACCAGCACCCCATGGCCCACACAACGATAGACAGGATATCCCACGGCATCTCGCAAATAGAGAACCACATTCTCGAACTCCAGCCCCAGCGACTTCCCCCCACCCAAGGCGCGCAAATCCCACCACCATCACCGTCAGCACCACTCCTCCCTCCTCCACCGCCATACTGCGCAGATGCTTCACCAGCCGATCCAATAACTGCGCTTGAATCCTAGGTCAAACAGCTTGTAAGAGAGGTGGAAAGGATGGGGAGGGATATGGGGGGATTAGAGAGGCGGTTGGTAGATAGGATGGAGAAGGGGGGACGGGTGGAGGCAGGGGTGAGGGATGGAGGAGACTAGGAAGGTGGAGGAGAGGGAGGGAGATGGGATTGCTTTCGTGTTTGTTATTTTCGTGTTGGTAATTGTGGTTAATGTGATCAGGTTCCATGGTGGGGGATAGGGTTTTCAAAATTATCACATTTCGATGGAAACGGGGATACCGTTACGCATGCTATATACCCTCGACTACAAATTGGAGATCACGTTGAAAGTCTATGCCCTATATTCATTACTACTCTTGGGAAACATTCTATCATTCTTGGGAAAGCTTGGATGAAGCAGCATGGAGTCACACTCAATATGGTAAACGACCAAGTCATCTTTACAAAGGGTCACTGCCAGCACACTACACCAACAGACACTTTAAAAGTGAAAACTACAAGTCCCCAAGCTGAGAAGGAAATACAAGATAAAGAAGCTCCGAAGCCAGCCCTCCAACCTCATTATAAGAACAAGAACAAATGCACTGTTACAATGATTGGAGCTGCACCATTCAATATGCTTCGGAAGCAGAAAGGAGCTAAGGTTTTTGCAGTATCATTTAAAGATATACTCGCTGAAGAAGCAAAGAAGGAAATGAAAGAAATCGACCCAAAACTGATCCTCCCAAAGGAGTTCCATAAATATCTCGATGTGTTCTCAAAACAGGCTGCAGACAAGCTCCCGCCTCACAGATATGCAGACCATCACATTGTGTTAGAAGGGAACTCGAAACTAGGGCATGCACCACTCTATAACATGTCTCGAGAAGAGCTTGATCTTGTGAAGAAATACGTGGAGGACAATCTTACCAAAGGATTCATCAAAGCTAGCAAAGCACCATTTGCATCGTCTCATGAATAAAAAATATACCTCCATACCCGTAAATAAACATACTATCTATCGAGCTACCCCGAAATATTAACAAAGAGCCACCAACTGCTTTCCCCATCTCCATCCCAAATTTCCCAAAATCCCAAGTATCACCGCCAGTATCATCAGCCACCAACACCCATGGACTATGGCACGATAGACATGGCAAACCATCCCCTCGATGATGTAGAGGACAGGGCATTCTTGCGCTCTCAAGCCCCCTCCCCGCCTCTACCACAAGGCACACCAAATGCTACGCAAATCCAAACACCAGCACCATCATCAATGACCAACCCGCCGCCCTACACCGCCGCCCTCCCCCCAGGCACCTGCACCGCAGCAGAATCGTCCACTTCACGCTCACAGCCCGAGCCTACACCATCAACACTCTACGAGAAAGCATCGGCAACACAATGTCGCGTAGTAGAGGATGTGGTGGGGAAGATGCGAAAGCAGATTGTGCATGAATTAGGGAGCATAGAGAAGCGCGTGATCGAGGAGCAGGGACGGACGTTGGAGGAGGGGCTAGGACAGCAGCTGAAGGAGGCGGTGGAGGAAGGGAAGAGGAGGGGGGGTTTGGGGGGGAGTTGTGGATTCTAGTTGTTTTGATCATAGGGTTTCTTGTTATGACTAAGATGTGAGGGGGTGGGATGGGGGTTTGGATGGGGAGTTTGGAGATGGGAGTTTGGAACGTGTTACTATTAATTATATGGAACTAACTAACTATTTTAAGTCCTCGTAACTAACAACACTAAGTGAAGAGATAAGGCCTATGGTCCCATTAAATAATTTTCCTACTCCTCTAAGTAACGTACGATCCCCGCCTCCTGAACCATAAAAAGAGACGCTACCCCCCGCCCCTGCAATCTCTAACACAAGTTTCTCATCAGTACTACTATTAATATCAGCCTCAATATCAATATCAATATCAACACCGGCAGAGCACTAGCACCGATGGCCTCCACTACACCTCCTCCCCCACCATACGCGTAAGCCGCATCCCCCACCCCTGCCCACGCACCTGTTTCTACCGCCTCAGAGCCTACCTCAATCCAGGAACAACGCTCACAACTCAATGAAATATGCTCGCAGCGCGACGAAAAAAACTTACAGCTTGATAGAAAACATCCACAGCTTGAGCAAGAACTCTCAGAGCTCGATGAAGAATACTCGCGGCTTGAGGAACTATAACTACGTGTGGATCAAGGAACTACATTCAAAGCGCTCGGATCAGCACCCGCGGCTCCAGACACCCTACTTGAAGCCCCAGGATGCTCGCAGCTTGATTTGCAATACTCGAAGCTGCACCTTCAAATCACACTAGCTGTAAACATCCATGCGGGCTCTATGACAACGGAACCGCAGCACAACGCCGCGTGGAAAAGAACTTGGCTGGGATGGAGGAGATGAATTCCTAGGGACGACGGCTGGAGTAAGTGATGCGGTAGGGGGAAAGACGGTGGTAGAAAGATGGAAGGAGAGAGGTGTTACGCTATAGGGGGAAAGACGGTGGTAGAAAGATGGAAGGATAGAGGTGTTAAGCTTGTGAGAGAGGAAGCTATTCGGGGATTAGGGATTTTGGACTTAAGGGTCTGGAATGCGTATTTATTGAATTATATGCAAGAAACCAACCATTTCAATCTTACAACTAACAATATGTCTATGCCTTAGTTTTTAAAATAATACCGAAGAAGAATGTAAGAAATACTACCGTCCACCGTTACTTTTTCAAAACTAAACAAATTCATGAGCCGATGATAAATGTATCACATGCCCCCCTCCACCCCCATTCCCACTCCCTAAATAAACTTACGACCCTCCCTAAGATTATAAAACGAGACGCTAACCCCCCATAATCTTTAATACAACTCTCTTGAATATCAGCCATAGTACTAGTATACGCCTCAATACCAATACTAGCACCAATGACCACCACCACACCCCCCCCCCACCATACACGGAAACCGCACCCCCCGTACCCGCCCGCGCCCACGCACCCACCCTCGCCGAGCAGCCTTTGCGCTCACCTTACTCGAGGAAGAATATTCACAGCTCTCGGAGCAATACTCGCAGCTTGAGGAAAAAGGCTCACAGCTCCAGAAAAAAGACTCACAGCTCCAGAAAAAAGACTCACAGCTCTCGGACCAATACTCGCATCTCCACTCACTATACTGGTGTCTAGAGTCACTACACCCATGGCTCAAAGAACCACACTCAGAGCACGAGAAACTACACTCGCGGTTTCGGGAATTATATTCGCAGCTCCACGAACTATACAAACGGCTCCAGGAACTACATCAACAGCGCGAGGAAAAATACTTGCAGCGCAAGGCACAATACTCACAGCGCAAGGCACAATACATGCAGCGCAAGGTACAATACTCGCAGCTCAAGGACAATACTCGTAGCTCGAGCTCCAAATTGCACAGCTAGCCATGGGCCATTTGTTCCAGAGGGCATCAAGATGGGGGCCGTAGCAGCGGCGCACAGGAACGTTTCGTGTCATTTCTTCAATCTCTCCAAGGTCGTCCTTAGGAGTCATGCTTCTCAGCTCCCCGATGCCTGCAGTAGTTAGGTTCGAGGGGGGAGGAAAAGGGGGTTGCTTATACTGCTATATTGCTACATAGATACACCCTATAGTACTTCATTTGTTCACAACTTAGACTTTCCCTTCGTCTCAGCCTCCCAGGCCTGCACCCTCTCCTCCTTACCCTGTGCGACCTTCTCCAACTTCTCCCCATCCGCCGCGTCCTTCTTCACTCTCTCCTCATGCCCCTCCAAGTTCGCAATAACCTCCCGATACATCTCCTGCTTCAAAACACCATAAACCCCGCTCTTCGACCGCTGCGTTAGCTTCCTCTCTTCCACCAACGCGACCACCTCCTCCCATCCACCCAGCTTATCCACCATCTGCTGCTCCAACGCCTCCTTCGCGGTGAACCTATGCGCCTCAAGAATCAAAGTTCTGTACGACACAGGCGACAACTTGGCCTCAAAAATACCCAGCATAGCCGGCTTGAGCGGCGCGCCGAAGTCGAGCTCGTTCAGGCAGAGGTAGCCCCGCGAGGCGTTGAAGACGCGGTAGTCGTGGTGCATGGCCAACATGAAGCCGCCGGCAAAGGCGTGGCCATTGAGCCAGGCGACGGTAGGCATGGGGTAGGCTGCCAGGCGGGCGAAGAGCTTGTACAGCAGGGCATAGTAGCCGGGGGTGCTGAAGGCATGGTCAAGGTCGAGGCCGTTGCTGTAGAATTTGGTGATGCCAGAGGTGGTGATGACGACGCCGTGGGGGTAGCGGGCCTCGATGATGTCGAGGGCGAGGAGGAAGGCCTCGCAAAAGCTGCTGACGAGGCGGTTGTCGGGGGGAGAGTTGAAGGTGAGGAGGTAGGTTTTGGGGGCGGGCTCGGTGACGGTTACGGAACCACTTGATGACTTGATGGGGATGCTGAAGAGCGTCTTTCCTGCTGGTGATAACATTGTGAATGAGGTGTAGTAGAAGTAGAGGCTGGCTGTAGTGGATAGGGGGAATTATAGGGATCTAATTGCTTGGAGGTTTTTATATATATATTTTTTTAAGAAGCATCTATGGTCGGGGAGACGTGCCGAGGTTGACGTTAGAATGATTACTTATCGCCAGGTCTGGGCCAGTCAGCCTTGGAAGGTCCGGGATGACCTCGGCCCTTATTTCAATATGACATCGCCCATTGAAGTTATAAGCATATAGCATGTTAATGTATATCCTCATCTATCTTGATAATTAATAATAAGTAAAAATTAAATATTAGCCTTCAAACTATGTCGCAGTGTTCTGCCCCTCATAGTTTTTCACATGCCAGCCATGTGGACTCAATGCTCAGCCTTCCCAAATGCCTAAGGCCGCTAGTGCAAGGCTACCAAAATGACCCACAGCGCTGACGACGTCGGGGATACAACCTGTCATCGCGCCTGCCGCAAGACAGAGCTTAAGGGAGCTTCATAGCTGCAGCAATGACGGAAAAAACGAAAGCGGAACATATCGTCTTCTTCCACCCAGATCTGGGCATTGGCGGCGCTGAACGCCTCATCGTCGATGCCGCCGTCGGCCTTCAGAAGCGGGGGCATAAGGTGACAATTTTTACGAGCCACTGTGATCCTCAGCACTGCTTCGACGAGGCGCGCGATGGTATGTCTGCTCATAGCTACACTCATAAATCTAGAAACTGATAATTGTAGGCACGCTCGATGTCCGCGTCCGGGGAAACACCATAATCCCCGCCACGATCCTCTCCCGCTTCGCCATCCTCTGCGCCATCCTGCGCCAAATCCACCTCATCCTCCAAATCAGCCTCACCCCCGAACTTTTCGCCCTCAAACCCACCATCTTCTTCGCCGACCAACTCTCCGCCGGGCTCCCCCTCCTCCAAGCCCTTCACCCCACAGTCCGCACCCTCTTCTACTGCCACTTCCCCGACCTCCTCCTCGCCAAAGGGCGCCAGAAGTGGTATAAAGCGCTGTACCGCCTCCCCTTTGACGCCTGGGAGGAATGGAGCATGTCCTTCGCCGCCTCCATCGCTGTCAACTCCGCTTTCACCAAATCGATCGTCACCGCGCAATGGCCCTCCCTTGCTGCCTCCCGCACCCTCTCCATCATCTACCCCTGCGTCGACGTCTCCGACAAGCCCGTCGAGACAACCGACAATAACACCCTCACCTGGCAAGACACCAACGTCATCCTCTCGATCAACCGCTTCGAAGCGAAGAAGAACATCGACCTCGCTATCCGCGCCTTCGCCGGGCTGCCCAAGCACGCCCGCTCGTCCGTTCGCCTCGTCCTCGCTGGTGGCTACGACCCGCGCGTCACTGAGAACGTCATCTACCACCAGGACCTACTCCTTCTGGCCGAGGGCCTCGGTCTCAAGACGGCCACAACCAAGAACCTCGTCACGGCGCTGCGCGTGCCTGATGACGTCGAGGTGCTGTTCCTGCTATCTGTGCCGGGGGGGTTGAAAGATGCGCTACTACGCAGTGCGCGGCTAGTGGTATATACGCCAGCCAACGAGCACTTCGGGATCGTGCCGCTGGAAGCGATGTTAGTAGGGACTCCCGTGTTGGCGGCGAATACGGGGGGCCCGCTGGAGACGGTGGTAGACGGTGTGACAGGGTGGTTGCGGGATCCGGAGGTGGTGGAGGACTGGACGAGGGTGATGGATTCAGTGTTGCATAAGATGACTGCTAAGGAGCTGGAGAAGATGGGCGATAAGGGGAGGGAGAGGGTGAGGGCGGAGTTTTCGGAGGAGAGTATGGCAGAAAGGTTTGAGGTGTTGATTGGGAAGATGGGGCCGCCGCCGAGAAGCGTGAGGAGTGCGGTTGTTGCTGTTGTGGTGGTGGCTTTGGCTGTGGTTCTTGGACCTATTATTACACTGTGGAGTTTGTATAGTAGTAGGTAAATATAATACCATCTTATTCACTCTACCTTGCGCGAGGTTAAAAATAATGTTCGCGTACCTAATATGCACTTCCTTGTATCCCAGAAACCCCAAAATAAAAACAGAAACCCAAGTCTCTACACCCACGCGCGCCAGTTCCCTATATACACCTCAGTACAATCCCGCAGCAGCCTCAAATGGCAATGCCCCTCTGAGACCACCCTCCTGGCCCCTTCCACGCCCACGCCCACAGTAGACACGCAAGCCACACGCTCCCCGCCATCGCCCAGAACGTAGTCTCATAGCACTCCCGCCCATAACAAAGCACATACGTATCCCTATCCTCCACCCCGCCCCTCTCCGCTGCCCACTGATACACACTACTATACACGACCCCCCACAGCGTCGCCCCCAGCGCCGGCACCACCGCCACGATTCCCCAATTTGTTCCGAAGTTTTCAACCCCCCAGATGACGCTGATGATGATGGGCGTGATGCTGAAAATCGCACCGTAACCAGCCCCAATAGCTGACGACACGATCCAGAAACGCTCGCCGTGACCCTGCACAAAGCCGCTCGCTAGTGCAACTTGTCCGCCTGTCATGAGGAGGGAGAAGAAGAGGAGGAAGACGATGCGGGAGATGGTTAGGTGGGAGGGGCGAAGCGAGGGCGGGCGGAGGGATGAGATGGATGCGGCCATGTTTTCGTGGGGCCGAGAGATGGGCGCGAGGAGGTCGGTAAGCGTCCCGGTGAGGATACGCGCGATGGTGCTAGTCACGGCGACGATGCTCACGTGGGTGGCTGCTGTAGTTTGGGTCTCGCCTTTGACGCCCGGGACGATGGGTGGGTAGAGTGTCCCTATGATGGTACCGAGGTTGTTGACGAATGCCTCTCCGGGTCCGGTGACGAGGAAGAAACCAAGCGCTAGGAGCCACATCGTCGGGTCGGTCAAGAAGATGCGCGTCTCTTCGTTGAGAAGGAATGTTTTCTTGCGCGCCTCGAGCGCCTCCCTCGCAGCCTCTCTCGCCTTGGCGGCCGCTGCCAGCCGCCTAGTTGAGGCCGTATCATCCGTAGAATCGTGGCCATTGATAGAGCCATAATCCCGCGCCGCCTCGCTCCCCCTGAAAAACGCACTATCCTGCAACAGCCCGCTCGCCTCAAGCGTCTCCAGCGCATCATCAATCAGCTCATCTTCACCCACAATCTGCAGCCCCACAGACCCCAACAATCCCGCAGCCAACAACGTCACAGCCAAGAACAAGAAATACATGAACGGCTCCACATCCCCCTTCCCACCCTCAGGCAACCGCTCATACAGCACCCGACTCCCAATCTGACTCTGCCACATCCCACTCAGCCCAAACGCCGCAATCGGCGCCGCAAGCGCCAGTCCCTTATGCCTTCCACGCCCAAAGTTCTTCGCGCACGTCGTCACAGCAGAGAGATACATACTCGCCGTCCCCATCCCAATCGCCACAAACGCCACCACCATACACGCAAATGGCCACCCCCCCTGCGCCTCCGGCATCCCCACTTCCGCCGCACCACTCCGATACGTGAAAGCCGCGAGTGTATACCCCAGGCCGAACACGACGCCAGCAAAGAGGGACAGCGGCGCCGGCCCGACACGGTCGCAGAGATATCCGAAGATGGGAACGGGGAGGTACATGGCCAGCTCGGCGGTGATGGAGACGATATTCACCTGCAGCTGGGTGTAGCGCAGGCGCTCTTGGAAGAGATGCCCGTAGAGAGAGTATGCGGTTATGGAGCCGGCGCAGAGGCAGGAGACGATGGCGCTTGCGAAGGCGAGGTAGCGGCGCACGTCGCGCTGGTGGGGGTTCTGGTACCGGTCGGGGAAGTGCATGGAGCTGCTCGAGCTGGCTGGGTGGAGGGTCGAGGTGTCTTCCGGTTCGGATTCATCTTCGGGCTCGGCGGGGAGTTGGAGGAGGGGCTGGGTGGGGGAGGAGGCTCGGCGGGCGATGTGGGGGGGCATTGAGAGGGGTTGGTGGGGGTCTGGGAGACCACAGTGAGGTATAGGAGATTCAGTAGGTAGGACGGTATCCTAGGTTAATATGTTGAAGCGTATATCGCAGAGCTTCGATGCAGATATTGTTGTTGGGCGTTTGATATGTTGGTGGTTGGTGGTTGCGTCGTTTCCCACACTGACTGTGTCTCTGACGAGTGCGGCCGCCGGCCCGATCCACCGTACAACAGTGCTTTATCACGATAAGGACCCAAAATGGTGCTTCAGAGGGCATGTCATGCGTGTACTATTATCGTGCTTCATTGCCATAGACGAGCAAGCCAAATATTATTATGCTACAGTTATGCTTCGGTTGCCTTTCTTCGCGTCGCCCTTCCCAAGAAACACCTAGACTTCAAGCGCTCATCCTCATAACGCCCCGCCCAATCACTCCTCAATCAGCAACACCCAGACTGCAGGCGCTCATCCCACCCCTCCCAGTCCCCCAGTCCGCTACTCTGCCCCAGGCACCCCCAACACCCCCCTCCCAAAGAACTCACTAACCGTCCCAAAGCGATCACCACTCCTCTCCAACGCATCCTTAAAAACCTCATGCTTCCCGGCCATTTCCGTCTGCGCCTTCATAATCGCACGAATCGTCTCATTCCCCGGCCGACACGTCGGACACTCCCATTTCTCGCCTTCTGCCTCGTTAGGGACGTTGAGGCACAGCTGGTGGAAGCTATGCTTGCACAGGAAGTGCACCATAGGTGGATCGAGCGGGCTGCCGCAGCGCGCGCACCGTGTTGCCTGAAAGACGACGGGCTTGGTGGAGAGCTCTTCGATTTCGCGGCGCTTAGTTTCTGTCTCAGCACGGTATGAAGAGATGACGCGCTGGTTGGAGTCAATATCGCGGCGCTCGCGCTCGATGGTTTTTTGCAGGTAAGGTTTGATCAGTCCCATCGTCGCGACGGAGTTAGCAGAGAGTGTCTGGATGACCTGGAGCGGCGCCATGAGGCCATCGTCGTCGATTTTCTTGAGCACAGCGTCGAGCTCGCTGCCGGCTTCTTTGAGGATCCGCGAGTCGGAGGTGAAGTATGCCAATGCTGCCGGGTATAGCGCCGGCTCGTCGGGTCCGTATTTTCGGAGAGCTTTGATGGCGCCGCGTGTGTCTTTGGCAGAGGTGTATGATCGGAAAATGTCAAAGCGCAGGCCTGCCTGTTCGCGGACGAGGATCGAGCCGTCTTTGAAGTCTGCCAGGTGGGATAGAAGGAGGACGTTGGAGGTATCGATTGGGATGTCTTTATCCTCGATCAAGGTTTTGGCTTTGGCCTCCCACTCTTCCCGATCATGTTCGTCAACTTCGTTGGCTTTGTTAAGATACATCTCAAACAGGGTCGTGTAGAGGTCGACTTTGTCACTTTCAGCGACGTCGGGCTTGGCGAGACATGCTTCGAGGAAGGTGATGAAGTCGTTGGAATGGTCGACAAAAGACGAGAATGCCGTCCGTGGACGGGGTGGTGTATATGTAGGGGTTGTTGTCGTCGAACCATTATCACCCAAGTTTATAACATCATTTATTGCAGGATTGATGTCCACTTGCGTTGCCGGTGTTGCCGCAGGAGCATTCCTAAACGGCACCGGGATACGGTTGGCAAGACCCTGCACCGCTTGAGCTGCATTTTGTGCGTAGCCTGCCTCTTGGGGAGGAGTTTCTGTGGCAACAACCTCGAGAACGGGTTGGTATTTTCCCGTGTAGTAGTCGATGAAAACTTTCGTAGTGTCCCTTGGACAGTTCTCCAATAATACGCGGGCGTATTTCATGAGATTCGGATAAGCCTTGGGAATATTAGCCTGGGTCTGATGGTCAATGAATGTGAATGCTTACGGAATCAGGGTCGAGCCTGCAGATATACTTCAAGGCCTCGCTATACTTCTTCGAATCCTCAATCAATATGTCCACAACGATCTCATGCTCGCCATGCTTCGTAGCCAGGTATGCTGCCTGGTCATAATACCCGCCTTGCCGGCACATCGAAATCGCAGTGTCAAGATCAAACTTGAGATCTCCTGGCGACTTGATGAATTTCTCCAGCTTGTCAATATCCTTCAGCTTCGCGTAGCAATTCAATAACAGCGTCGTATGATCTGCCGTAGCTTTGTGATGCTCATGTAGCTCTTCCAGGTACTCGATCAGATTGTGTATCCGCTGCGAGTCTAAGTACTTCCTGATGACCTGGGACGGTTCGGTGCTATCGATCGCTTTGAGGTACTGTTGCATCGCGCCATCATAATCACCCTTCTGGTATAAATGCTCTCCGTACTTCTGGAAGATGACATTCTGCTGCTGCGCATCCATTCCCGATTTCTGCGCGAGATTGATGGCGTAGATGAACAGATTGCGTTGATAGAAGATCTCGAGCCTCTGGTCGAGCGTCTTCTCATGGTATCTCAATATCTTCCCCTCCAGCGTGAGCGCGTACAAGTCGCCCCACAGGTTAAGCAGCGTCTGAATCTGGCTAACCATACTCTCCGAATGAGCCACAATCTGCAGTTCCGTATCCAGCACCGTAAACGTACCCGTATTAAACAGGTCCTCCGCCTGACTCCCCCCAAACCGTCTCAGCGTACTCGACTTCGCATTCAACATGGTCTGTGGAGGCGTAATAATAGCCAAATACTCCTCATGGCACTGCACCAAGCTCTTCGTCCCATCATACGCAAAGCAGGGCCCGCGCCCATCAATGCCGTAGTAATATATCGCATCATCCCTCACAACAATCACATCCCCATTCCGCTCATCCACCGTCATACACCCAACCCCACACCCCGCATCCTCAATCGTCCTGGCCGGTTGTCCCTGCCCTTGTCCCGAAATCACCAACTTCAGCAGCCTCGCCGTCGTACTGACATACAACGTCGTCAACCTCGCCACATCGCGAAACTCGACGCCCGTAACCGGCTCCTCGCTCTCAAACACAGTCTTCTGCCTCGTTCCGCGATCATGTATCAAATCCCCCCTCACCACCGTCACAGCCCCATTCGCAAACCCGACCGCGAGCTGCGACAAGTCCCCCAGCGCCGCAAACGCACTTATCGGGAACGGCTTCCGCCCATTCTGGATGTTGAGCGAGGACGTACACGTCGGGAGCCCTGTCTTCTTCACCAGCTTATCCAGCGCCCAGACTTTCAGGACTGGTTCGCGGGGCAGGTCTTCGGCGATTGTGACCAACAGCGCTGTGCCTTCGACTTGCCGCATGTGGGTTATTACCCCAACGTCATGCGCGCGCCAAGTCTTCTGGACGCGGAACCCGCGCGAGAGGATCCGGACGTCGCCATCGGGGGAGGCGAGGAAGAGGGAGTCGGAGCCGGAGGTTATGGCGGTGATGGAGGAGAAGGCGAAGATGGATGTGTCGGAGGGGGGCGGGGTGATCTGGGTGGCTTCGAAGAAGTCGAAGGTTTTCCACTGGGTTGGGGGGTTAGAGAATGGGTGAGTGATTTGGGAGGAGGACTTACGGAGGTTAGGGCCATGGTGCTGGCATGTTGGGAGCTCTGGGGTGGTGGGGGGAGGAGAGGTACCGTGGTGGTGATGGGGCTGGTGAGGTTCGAACAAGCTCTCCGACGCTAAACCGGAAGGGGATACACCCCGCAAAATCTTGAACTCTAATCGGCACAGCCGCCGCTATATTTAGCGCAGCTGTCACTACAGTCATAATCCGTTAAGTCGATAGCTCGGCTCCTGTAAATAATATCAAGATAACGTAAATATCGAGATATCGAGTTTCACGTGACAGCTATTTAAAATGAGGCTATTTACATAAACCAGCCATCCAAGGTTCCCTGTGCCTTAGAATTGGCTACTGTAAGCCCTAACTCTCTCTCAAACTTCTCAAAGGACCGTAAATACACTGCTGCCTCGTTCGTGCCACTATTCCCAGATTCTGTGAACTCAATCAGACGTTGTATAGCTTGATGTGCAGCTTGTGGGGTTAGCACAGGCTGTGGATTAAGCTCTTCATCCTCGTCATCATCTTGAGCCTCATGTCATACTGACATTCGTTGCACTCAGTTTGCTATCAAACTCAAGAGCAAACTTAGAAATCTCCTCCTCAAACCTACAAGTCACTATACATATTTTGGCTTGTCACACCAACAACAAGAGCAATACTACTCAACGATTGCTACAACCCTCTATGATTCATTACACGTCATTGCTCCTTAGTTACTGGGCCGATATTACCACATAGCATATCTCTACAACTCTCTATGATTCATTACATGACATCACTCCTTAGTTACTGGGCTAATACTACACATGACATATCTCTATCAACTAGAGGCCTAGGAGCATGAATGATAGCTCTAAAAGCTCCTACGAACCTCTATGATTCATTACATGTCATCGCTCTTTAGTTACCCACAAGATTGGTTAAGTTATGACATAATTTGTCTGTGACATAATTTGTCTATGACATAATTTGTCTATAGGGGTACTCTGACCTTGGACCTCCTTTTACTTCCTATAGGCTATGAACCTAAGAGATGGTTCTATGGGATTCTCTTATGTCGACTACAGTTACCAAGCCTGGTAAGTCATGGAAAGTCTTGGAAAATGAGAGAACTACATTCCTTTAGCATAAATAGGATTGCCCTTTCCTTAAGAAAGGGCAAGCAGACAATACAGTAAATCGACTATCACATACTTCCACGTCTTTTCCAAGCTTCCAAGCATTCATCTTGTTACTCCTTGTTTCTGAAAAGTCAGTGAGGTGTTAACCTCTGGCTTACCCCTGAGTTCCCAGACTCAACATTTGTTGCAACTTGTCTGAACCACTTCACTACATCACACACCTGATTGCTGCGTTGTGGAATAGTCTAAGTGTAATGGTGGGTGCACCAGATGTGAGAATCTAGCCACCCAAGGAAGGGATGGATTTACTAAGACAACACACTGTCTTAGAAAACAGAGCCAAAGGGTCGTAGCTTAGACTATTCCACAACGCAGCAATCAGGTGTGTGATGTAGTGAAGTGGTTCAGACAAGTTGCAACAAATGTTGAGTCTGGGAACTCAGGGGTAAGCCAGAGGTTAACACCTCACTGACTTTTCAGAAACAAGGAGTAACAAGATGAATGCTTGGAAGCTTGGAAAAGACGTGGAAGTATGTGATAGTCGATTTACTGTATTGTCTGCTTGCCCTTTCTTAAGGAAAGGGCAATCCTATTTATGCTAAAGGAATGTAGTTCTCTCATTTTCCAAGACTTTCCATGACTTACCAGGCTTGGTAACTGTAGTCGACATAAGAGAATCCCATAGAACCATCTCTTAGGTTCATAGCCTATAGGAAGTAAAAGGAGGTCCAAGGTCAGAGTACCCCTATAGACAAATTATGTCATAGACAAATTATGTCACAGACAAATTATGTCATAACTTAACCAATCTTGTGGGTAACTAAAGAGCGATGACATGTAATGAATCATAGAGGTTCGTAGGAGCTTTTAGAGCTATCATTCATGCTCCTAGGCCTCTAGTTGATAGAGATATGTCATGTGTAGTATTAGCCCAGTAACTAAGGAGTGATGTCATGTAATGAATCATAGAGAGTTGTAGAGATATGCTATGTGGTAATATCGGCCCAGTAACTAAGGAGCAATGACGTGTAATGAATCATAGAGGGTTGTAGCAATCGTTGAGTAGTATTGCTCTTGTTGTTGGTGTGACAAGCCAAAATATGTATAGTGACTTGTAGGTTTGAGGAGGAGATTTCTAAGTTTGCTCTTGAGTTTGATAGCAAACTGAGTGCAACGAATGTCAGTATGACATACGAGCTACCGGAAGTCAAGCTCTTTCGTATCGATACCGATACACACCCGAGGCAATATGTCGAAAAAGCCGACATCAAACACACCCCAAGTGTAAGGATGCCTTCTCATCTCTCATTCTAGGGAGTAGACTCTGGGTAGCTGCTGTTACGATGGTCATAGAGGTCATGATGCCAGTCCAGGAAAAGTAATCTAGATTGAATCTAAAGAGAGAAGAAGAAGAAGAAGGAAGGAAGGTGAGGCTATTCCTCATAACATACAGTTGTCTGCTTAGTGGTTGTAACCTTGGTGGCTAAGGCTACACCCGTAATCCCCATAACAACCGTAATAACCGTAACAACCGTAACAACCGTAATCCCCGGTATTGGTCGCCAAAACGTCTGCGGGATACGAAGTTGCCTATATACGTTATTCATGCTGAACGCCCATGAGGCAGCTTCGATTAGATTTCGCCATTTGGAGTGTGGCATTTAATTATGATATCTATAACCTCTCAGACAAGAAACTCAAGCAACGCATGTGATTTTGTTTGGATCGTTAAGCGATATATGCTCTTATTACCATGCAAGCCATCTATGGAGGGCATTGCATTATCATGCCTCATCCGCAAGAATGAGCATATATACCTAGGATTCCGGCGGCGACAGGTGCTGGGGACTCTTTGATTACTGGCCATTGACGGTCGTACTAGGAGCAGATGAAAGTCATACTTGCTTCAGCACACTCCACCCACTTTGAGTCATCCATTATTGCGTCGACACGCCGTAAGGTTAACGAGGCATCTAAACACAGCTCTAAGATATTGGTTTTGGATAAATCATCCTTAATCTGAACTTGGAAGAGAAGCTGTAACGCATCCCAAGCCGAGTCAAGGTTTGAGTAAGGCGATCAGTAATGAATGCTTCGTCAGAAGGATCACACCGATCTCCTCTGTTGTCGAAGAGAAACTTAGCTCGAGCCCTACATCTTCCAGGAAGGCCTGCCATCCATGCCTCTTCTTGCCACGTCCCCCACAAACGCCCACAAGCTTGAGCGAACTCTAGGATTTGTAACTGGCGGAAACAGCTCTCGGTGGGGTTGTAATTGGGACTGGGATTAGGACGCTTGCATTTAGGACTGGCGTGTAACGCTGCTTCCTATCTAAATTCTAAATTCCCTTGGTTGATTTACCGCCCCTGACACGCCAAGAAGTTTAACCCAACCTGGACATCTCTTGGGGATGACGATATCGAACCGGACTTGGAAGCCCAAGCCTCAGCCTTCTTTCACTTGGCTCAAGGCATTGAAGATGCAATGGACGAGATCCCAGACAATAATCGTATCTTGAGGAAACCCCAGGATGAGCTTGTCATTGTGGACACCAACGTCCAGATGCCCATCTGTGTCAACAAACAGAAGATCGAGGTGGGGTCCACCGTTATGTACGCGATGTCGCCTCAGAAATCCTTGTGGCGCGATTGCGTGACCTTGGCATTTAAGGTTGCCCGTGAGCGTTAGTCCTAGGTGTTTGCTGTAGAGGTTTAAGTCTTTCAAAGTTGGCATGTCCCAATCCAGGACCAAACCTGCTGTTATTTTCGGGCCAAATTGAGCGCTTTCCCCTGGCCATTCCTTAGCAAGATGGCCTAGGCAGTCGATATGAATAAAATGGATGTTTCAAACAACCGATACACCCGATGATTTCTACCATTACAATCTCCTCACAAATATTCGTTGAGGGGTTCTGCGGGGAGCTGTGGGTCGCGGTATGGGGTGCCGCAGCGGGGAGCCGGAGAGGACAGGAAAGGGGGGGGGTTGCGCCAGTGGCGGGGGACAGGCCAGCGAAAGGGAGGAGGGGGCGCAGCATAGACCTGGATGGGATTGGGGGGGTGCTGGTGCCGCGGCGGGGGACGGGCCGGTGGGAGGGGGGGGGAGGAGGGAGAGCCCACGAGGGGGTCGGCGGCGGCAGCGGGGGGGGACTGGCTAGGGGCGCCGGAGGGGACGGCGGAGGGGACGGCAGGGGAGACGCGGATGGAGGCGTGGGAGAAGGTGCGGGAGGAGCCGCGGGAGGAGGGGAGGAGGGGAGGGGGGCGAGGGAGTACGGGCGGTCGGGCACGACGCGGGGCCGGCGGGAGAAGGGGGTGGCCGCGGTAGCGGCGGCGGGAGCGTCGGGGGCGGTGGAGGCGCTGGCGGGGGTTGGAGTATCTGTTTTTTGTGTTAGCTATCGTTAGCTCGTCGTAGGGATAGAAATGGGAAAGGGGAACTTACCTGACATGTTGCTGGTTCGATGGTGGTGGGGATCCAGCTTTGTCAGTGTCTGTAATGTGCAAAAGCATCGTGAGAGATGCTGGGCGACTTACCTTGCCATATTCGCTGTGAAATTCCATAACGAAGGAAGGAGCGACTGGTTAATGTTTATCTCAATGTTTACACATCGTCATTGTTGGCAGCATCGCTCTTGCCTTTTCTCTCAATAAGTCCCGAAATAAACTGTCCAAAATCAATGTTATCAATATTATAAAACTATAAAACTAACTATCGGTGGGATATCAAGCAAATCAAAAACCTCAAACCCCCGCAAACCATCTATACCCGGTGCTGAACAAAAGAAAAAAAAAATGTCTCGTCGTCGTCGTCATTCCCCAGTCTCCCTCGTCAACCGCCGCTTACTTCGCCGCCACAGTAACAGCCTGTCCTTTCCCCCCATTCACAACCACACTCTCCGCCTTCCCCGGCCCCGGCTTCCCCCCAGCCTGCCCACCTGCCACTCCGGCAGCTCCACCCCCGTCTGCTCCTTAATAGTCGTCATCAGCGGCGGCAGCATCTGGTACACATTCCTAATACTCGCCCCCGCATCCGCACCCCCCTCCCCCCCTCTCCATTCCCCGCCTGGTTCCCCGTGTTCCACACCGTAACCTTGGGGTTGAGATTCTGCACCGCCTGCGCGTTGGCGCGTGCCAGCTCGCCGTAGACCCCCTTCTCGAGCATGAGGTATTGGACCAAGCCAGCGGGGCCACCAAAGGCGTCGCTCATAGCGGCGTATGCGCCTGCCATGGCTGTGAGACCCTCTGCCTCGGCTTGGCGCGCGATCTTGCCGGCCTCAGCGGCGCGGGTGGCTTTGATGTAAGCTGCCTCCGCGGCAACCTTAACGCGGTACGCCTCAGCATCCGCCTTCTTTGCTTCGGCGAGGAAGCTGGACTCTGCAATAACCTTGAGCTTGTAGGCTTCTGCCTCCGCCTTCTTGGAATCGGCAACGTATGTCGCCTCTGCGGCGCGGGTGACGCGGAATTTATCTGCATCGGCCTTGGCTTGCGTCTCGAATGCCTTAGCCTGGGCAGTCTGCTTCTCGCGGTCGGCGTCCGCGGTCGTCTTCGTCTGCGTCTCGTATGCGCGCGCCTCTGCTGCCTTTTGGGCGAGGAAGAAATCGGCGGAGGCTTTGGTTTGAGTCTCGTAGGCGCGGGCATCTGAGGCTTGTTGCTGGGATTCTCTCAGGATAGTAGCCTTCACGACATCGGAGGCACGGAGACGTTCGATTTCGGTAGCGGCGCGGAGGGACTCGACGTCCTTGCGGAGCTGCTCGTCCTTTACCTCGACAGCACGGCTGGCTTCGATCTTGGCGATGTTGACGTCGCGATCAAACGCCGCTTTGCGGGTAGCGAGGAGCGCCTCGGCTTGCGATTTCTCAGTGTCTCGCTCAGTCTTCTGGACTGCGGTCTCGGCGTGGATCTTGGCTATCTCGCGGTTCTGGCGACCCTGGCGCTCAGCTTCGCCTACGTTACCGTGCCATTGTGCTTCAGCAACGTCGACACGAGCTTGGTTGGATGCGCCTTCGTGGGCTTTGCGGGAGAGAGAGGCGAAGTAGTTGGAGTTGGGAGCATCGGTAAGCTCCTTGACGTTTGCGTTGTAGATTTTCAGGCCGAATTGGTCGAGCTCGGACTGGATGTTGTGGTAAATGCGTTTCTTGAATTGCTCGCGCTCTGTAAAGATCTCTTCCATAGTCATGGAACTGACGAGGACACGGGTCTCGCCCTCGATGATACCCTTGACGATGCTCTCGATGTGGGCGTGGCCGCCAGTGGTGGCGGCGCCAGCGAGGAGCATGGAGTATTTCATCAGTGCGTCGCCGCGGTCCTCACGGTCCTCGGCGCTGGCCTCGCCATGGACTATGGCGTTGTCGCCTCGCTGGTTGAGGTCGGGGCCGACGGTGAAGACGACGGGGAGCTCGAATTGGAGCTTCTCTTTGGTCTATCACGTGTTAGGAAATGATTCCAGATTCATCGGGTAGTCTCAGGCGGAAAATACCATTGCGCGTAAATTCATTGGATAATCACGGGGCTGAATAGTGAAGCGCATGCACTGTGAAATGTTAGAATATGATAGTTCCGAGGTTGCGGTGAGACTCACTTTCTGCATGGGCCAGATGAAGCCCTTCTTGGCGATCTTGACGGTGCGGACACCCGCACCGGTGATGGCCAGGTACTCATCTGGCTGGGCAATGGTATAGAAAACCATTGTGGCTGTTGTGAGAGATTGATGTGAGATTGATGTGGGATTGATTAGCAGAGTGTTGGGGGGTTGTGTGATAAACGTATGAGCGGGCGAGTGACGCGAGAGTCGATGAGTTGAGTGAACACAGGAATCGAATAAAATCGAATGAAGCCTAGAGAATAAAGAAAAGAAGGGAGGGAGAAGAGGTGAATGGTCCCTTTATATATGCAAATACTGGAATGAATGTGACGTGAAGAGGGGGAATGAATGAATGGGCAGCCATATTAGCATAGCAGGCAGGAGAGTTAGCCTTGGTTCTTGGTACAGCGCTAGAAGGAAATGAGTCCTTCTAGCGGATATGGGATGGGATAGTACGGGATTGATGGTATGGTACGGAGAATGGGCACGGTGGGGGGATGTGAGGAGGAGGCGTGGAGACGTGGGAGGCGGTGATTGATTGAGTTGGAGGGAGCAAGGGAGGAAGGAGATGGCTACCTCGTTGGGCTGCAACCTCACTCAGCCCCAGCCTCATCGCTGATGCTGTTTGACACCATACGAGGAACATCATCCCACTACTGAAGTGGCCGTGAGGCTTTTTGGCCAACCCCGAGGCTTTTCCAGTACTCTCACTCGTTGTACGTTCTTGGGAGATTTGAAGAGAAGATATCGATAAAGATATCGATAAAGATATATCGAGAAAGATAAAGGGGTTTCTCGAATCTAGCCATATGCATGCCAATTAAACCCCCTAAATCCCTCTACACCTGCCCCAGAAACTCGGTTCAAGCGGAACGGTTAAAACGTTGTCCTTCGCTGAGCCGCAGGAACGCCTGCCCGTAGCCTTCTCGTCCCCCGACCACACGCGCCCAGAACTTCGTTCGCCTTGCTGCTCACCCTCCGCTTCTCTCCGCTGATCGCCGCCTAGGCGCTTGTAGGATTCCCTTGCTGTGCCGCTGTGCCGCCTTTCCGTGCCTGCCTGACCGCCGTTCTTGACTTCCTTTATTCCTCGCTTAGAGATAACGTTCTCCGCGGCTGGTCTTTCTATCCACCGTGCGTTTGTTCTCCGCGGCAAGTGGTGCGATCGAAGCCTTGTCCGACGCTAGCGGGTATCTCATCGCCTCGATAGGTGCATGTGATCAGTATACGTCAGGAAGAGATAAAGTTGGAGTGAGACGGACGCTAAGCGCGGTGTGTGTCGGAAAGAGATATCATCTTGAAAACCGAAGACTTGGAGACCGAAGACCGAGGGGCTGTTCGTTTTTAGGCGGACGGGAAAGATTCACCGACGCTACGAGGGTCGATTCTCACCTTCCTCCCATCTCTGCCTCAGTCAGACCATCAGGCGCATCATCGTCATCGTCAAACATCACAATCCATCGCCAACTCCCCCAAATCTCTGAGTCATCTCTCCATCATCTCAGAACCTCACATCACCATCATCCATTCACTCTCCTCCCTAAACTCACACAACCACCACCCAAAAAATGAGCACCTCCAAATCCCCCCTCCCCACCGACTTCCCCACCGACCCCTCCTCCCCTCTGACCTCCCTCCCCCCGCCTACACCTCAATCTACGACTCCCCTCCCCCCCTAGCGACACCAAACAATCCCCCCCCAACCCCCTCACCAACCTCCGCACCCGCATCGCCGCAAACCGCTCCTCCAGCTCCGACCCCGCCGCCCTTCTCCACCGCCGCCTGGTATCCCACATGGCATCGCGGACCGAGGAATTTTTGAACGCCTACGGCACCACGGCATTTACTTCCGCGCGTCTGACTTTCTGCGCTAATGGCCACGTTAGTCCAACTTCCACGGAGGTATTGGCGGGGACGGCTGCAGAGGCGGCGGAGAAGGAGTATATTGAGTTTGATGTTCTTGAGTCTGATCATTTCTGGACGGATAGGGAGGCGGCGAATGGGTTGGCGAAGGGGTTGGAGAGGGTGCTAGAGGAGAAATTGGGGCTGAAGGGGATGAGGGGGGAGGGGATTGATGTGCAGGTGCGTGAGGAGGGGGGGGGGTGGAGGAGGGAGAATGTTTTTGGGGTTTGGGAGACGGGGACGGGGTGGGGGGTTGTGGTTAGGGTGAAGGTTGATGTTGGGGAGTAAAGGAAAGGGGATGGGGTGGGATGGGGTTAGTAGTAGAATAGTTCCATCTACACAAATATAGTCTACTATCAAAACCCATTCTTAAAGGCTAGGATGAGCCTAGTGCTTCATACGAAGTGATGAATCGAGTATTATACGCGTTGACTCCATTATCCTAATCAAAAATTCACACTTGTCTATGTTATATATGCCTTTTTGGTCGATTCTATGCTCTTAAACCACTTTCTTATATGCGTTAAACCACGCGTTAAACACTAGTTTTATAGCCCCGTCCATTTGTACGGACTTAATGCAATGTCTAATAGCAACTTTAAGATGTGGATGTCGTATAATAAAACGGGGGACCTAGTCCTAGCTAAGGGTGTGCTATAGTAGGAGTTTAAGTTTACTAAGTGTCACGTTGTCTAAATTGTATCTTCGTTTTGTACGCAGCTCCTTAGCTATTTCTTTTAGTAGGTAATGCCCTAGAGAGTATCTACTGATTGTTAAGTCTTTAATCTACTTAAGAAGCACATTCTCTTACATGTACAAGAGTTTCTACTGTTATTAGCAGGCTCAACGACATATAACCCACCATTAACGCGACGTGTCAATGTGCTCGGTGATGCTTTTTATAGGCATTGTCTGAGCTGTTTTGATGATGCGCAATTCGGTTTTTAATATACTGCGACTGTGAAGATGCTTCAACTAGGTTGTTTGGTGTCTTTGAAACCCAAGGTGCTTGTATGCCAATAGCCTCTTAGGTGGTGTTGGAGTCCGCAACTGAACATTTGGTTTTAACAGAACACGTTCTGCATCTAACGGGACAAGCACTGCTCTGCGAAACCCCCCTTTGATAAAGTCATGAATAAAGCTGATAATAAAGCTGATTATATTAATATTTTAATTAACTACTCAATAAACTCATCTCTCACTAACCATCCACTTCTGTCTCCTCCCCTTTCTCATCGCAAAACAAAACCAAAGAAACATTGCCGCGAATAATCAGGCCCATGGCGTCCCTGCGGCCAGGCAACAGACAAACCGTCTATGCCTCCAAAACGCCACCCCCCCGGGCTAAACAGCGCCATTGGTACTGATTTGATTTCCCAGCTCCGATCACGTCCTAGAACGCGACCAGAGTCTCACTTCTCTTCCCTTCCCCCCAGGGCCTAAAGAGATGGTAAAGAACACAGGAGAAGCTCTAATGCGGCCCCATAATATTCCCTCTCCCAGCACCGTATTTCTCCATCATCGCCTGGGTAGGAGTACGCGCTTCCTTGCTGGCTGCTTCCTTCTCTGGCGACGGGCCGGAGAGAATTTTCTTGGTTTTTTGGAGGAAGGAATCCCCTTTAGAGGGTTTGGAGGAGGAAGAGCAGGAGGATTGCTTGGTGTCGCGGATGGTGTCGACGGTGGATGTGGTGGTGGAGTAGGAGTAGGTTGAGGAGGCGTAGGAGGTGGGTGGGGATGGCATGGTGGTGGTGTGGTTGTGGGTTGGGAACATATAAATTTGTTGATTGGGATTGGGAGGAAGTTGTATCGTAGAGCGGAGATGTTCAGTGTAGTGATTGTTTTCTGTCTTTGATTCCTATTGTCTGTCTTTTCTGGGGCCCCCCTTTCCCCGTCCATAGAGGGCATACTTATACTTTATCCCGATCCCGATCCCGATCCCCATCCCCATCCCCATCCCCATCCCCATCCCCATCCCCATCCCCATCCCCATCCCATCCCCATCCCCATCCCCATCCCATCCCCATCCCCATCCCCATCCCATCCCCATCCCCATCCCCATCCCCATCCCATCCCCATCCCCATCCCATCCCCATCCCCATCCCCATCCCCATCCCCATCCCCATCCCCATCCCCATCCCATCCCCATCCCATCCCCATCCCCATCCCCATCCCCATCCCCATCCCCATCCCCATCCCCATCCCCATCCCCATCCCATCCCCATCCCCATCCCCATCCCCATCCCCATCCCCATCCCCATCCCCATCCCCATCCCCATCCCCATCCCCATCCCCATCCCCATCCCCATCCCCATCCCCATCCCCATCCCCCATCCCCATCCCCATCCCCATCCCCATCCCCATCCCCATCCCCATCCCCATCCCCATCCCCATCCCCATCCAGCCTCCATCGCTCATCACCTCTTACCTCCCATTTCCAATCCACGCACACGCATCCGCCTACGTACCAACCCTCGTCAGCATCCAGAGCTACTGTACCTTTTTTCCTACCGAGACCAGATCCAGACCATCCCGGTCCATCTCGCATCAGAGCAGTCACCCTTCTATCCAACTACATTACCTAGCACGCACACGACACGCCCGCCGCTGAATCACTGCGGGCTCAGACAACTACATTACCTAGCACGCACATGCACATGCATACGCACACGCACGGCATCCTTGGTTTGAGGCGTCGGCATCATTGGTCTGAGGCGTCGGCATCCTTGGTCTGAGGCGTCGGCATCCTTGGTCTGAGGCGTCGGCATCCTTGTTTCCTGAGGCGTCAGCGCGGTGTCGTAAGCCGGTGTATATCGGACGACCAGCCAGCCAGCAAGGTTCTACGTGTGTGCGTCTTGCAGTTTTCCAAGCATGCGTGTGTCTTTTGTTGTTGCTGAGCAATCTTTCTACTCACGCTCTCCTGAACTATAGCAAGAAAACCACCACCACCAATTCATCATACCCACGTGACACCTAAATATCCCTCCCAAGAATCGTGCTCCCTCCTTGCTAACCTCATCCCTCCATCCCCTCCATCCCCTCCATCCCCCTCCTTGCTAACCTCATCCCCTCCATCCCCTCCAGCCCCGCCCATGACTCAACCCTCCCCCCCCCCGTTCCCCCAAAAAACCCTCACCAAAAAACCCTCACCACACCCTCGCTCCCACTAAGGAATAACCACATAAACCTTAATCCTCCCCGCCAAGCCGTTGACGAATCCATTGCCTCGCCTTCTCCGGCTATCGCAATTCCCCATGGGTTGTTTCTGGGGATACTGCGGCGCCGTGTCATGCGTTGTTTCTGGGGATACTGCGGCGCCGTGTCAGACGTACAGTAGAGTCACAGATCGGATGGCAGGTGGGTCTACGGAGTAGGTACGATAAGATGGGATGGTCTAGATTGGGAAGCTCGATACTACTGTGACACTACGTGGTAATTTTGTTGATGTTACGGAGGCCTCGACGATGATGGCGCGGCTGTGCATCGTGGAATGGATGGTTGGTTCTGTGACGCGTTGAGGGGGGACTGCTGCCGCTGCCGGTGCCGGGATGCCGAGGGGGATTACTATACTCATGACTGTATCCCGCAGTGAATGAAAAGGTAGGTGATGCGAGACGACGCGTACGAAGTGCTTCAATGACGCCATCAGGATTGTGGGTACGGTGTAGGGCGTTAATCACATGTTTGAATTTGAAAACTTATAACGTGGTTTATCAGTACGTCGGACATATCAGTACCTCGGACACTTTTCATTGGCATTCTACTTTGAATATCAATAAATCAACCATAACATATTAAATTAACTATAACTAAGCGGAATCAGATGAACTAGACATATCTATAGCTTCTTGACAAGTTCGCGCATTATGACCAGCTTTTCCACAGATCCCACAGCATCGCCTAGACGGTTGCCCCTCCTTGCGACTACCCCCAACCGCACGTACGTCGCGTCGTACCTGCTCATCCACATCCTTCTGTGCGATAATAGCCTGTGCATCCTCTACTATAAGTGCACCTCCTTCACGGACACGAGCCTTTTTAGCCCTGCGGCATTTGCTAAGGGCTTCGTTGGCTGCTCGAAGGGTACTGTTACGACGGAACAAGAAGGCTGGCCAACTACAGGACAGGAAGGAGGGAGGTCGCATGAGACCGGCCCTGGTACCTGGAGGGGCAGCGGGGAATAGTAGTTCCGAAAGTATCACGTGACGGACTCGCAGGATGATGAGAAGAGTCCTAAGAGTCCAGGACTCCGAGGACTCGAGTGAGTTCCCAGGAGTCCACTAGGCACGTGACGGACTCGCAGGATGAGAGAAGAGTCCTAAGAGTCCAGGACTCCGAGGACTCGAGTGAGTTCCCAAGAGTCCACTAGGCACGACGCCACTATATAAGTAGATAGTATTTCCTTAGATAGGAGCTTCGTGCTCAACTCAATACAGTATTTGTTATATACTAGTAACGTGTTACTTGAAGCCTTTGTGTCTGATCCCCTGCCTCCTCTGATAAGTAAACCTTTACGCAAGAGAACCTCTGTGTCTTCTATCGTTTAGAAGTCAGCGTTACAGGTACGTACCTCAGCAGACAGAAGGGTGTTCTCATGTGCTAGTCGCTCCGTACCCTTTGCCAATGCAATAACTGTCCCGAAGAGTGGAGTTGGCGAGCTTCCTTGGTGACGGGCAATTCGATTTCGAACGAGGGTTGTTTGTGAAAGAGCTTCAGTTGGGTTGGAAGGGGTCTGGGAGACCCAAGGGTTGGTGTTGGCAGTAGAGGGTCTAGAGGGAGTTGGAGTCCGTAACCTCACGTCAAGCTTTGAAAGCACTGCTTGCGGGTCGAAAGGCACTAAGCCAGCTCCGCGGAACCCGGACTGGGCGTTTTGGGCTGTCATGGATTCCAGATATGCTGCTCTAAAGGCGAGAAAGAACTCGACCTTGGTAATGTGGTTGATATGAGCCTTAATGAAGGTCTCAATCTGCTGACCATATGCCCACTTCAACACACTAAAGCACCCGACATCAAGTGGCTGAGTTAAATGAGACGAGTGGGGAGGTAGTCCAAGAGTTATAATGTTGTGTGCCTTGCAGTACTCTTGGAACTCGGCCGATTCATGACTCTCGTGCCTGTAATGGTGGGTGCACCAGATATGAGAATCTAGCCACCCAAGGAAGGGATGATTTTACTAAGACAACACACTGTCTTAGGAAACGGAGCCAAAGGGTTGTAGCTTAGACTATTCCACAACGCAGCAATCAGGTGTATGATGTGGTGAAGTGGTTTAGACAAGTTGCAACAAATGTTGAGTCTGAGAACTCAGGGGTAAGTCAGAGGTTAGCACCTCACTGACTTTTCAAAAACAGAGAATAACAAGATCAATGCTTGGAAGCTTGGAAAAGACGTAGAAGTATGTGCTAGTCGATTTACTGTATTGCCTGCTTGCCCTTTCTTAAGGAAAGGGCAATCCTATTTATGCCAAAGGAGTGTAGTTCTCTCATTTTCCATGACTTTCCATGACTAACCAGGCTTGGTAAATGTATTAGAAATCAAGTGCGACCCACAACTAGCTTGCTAATCATGTAGTGAACGTAAGAGAATCCCATAGAACCATCTCTTGGGTTCCTAGCCTATAGGAAGTGAAAAGGAGGTCCAAGGTCAGAGTACCTATAGATAAATTATGTCATAACTTAACCAATCTTGTGGGTAACTAAGGAGCGATGACGTGTAATGAATCATAGAGGGTTGTAGAAGCTTCTAGAGTTATCGTTCATGTTCCTAGGCCTCTAGTTGGTAGAGATATGCCATGTGTGTCATACTGACATTCGTTGCACTCAGTTTGCTATCAAACTCAAGAGCAAACTTGGAAATCTCCTCCTCAAACCTACAAGTCACTATACATATTTTGGCTTATCACACCAACAACAAGAGCAATACTACTCAACGATTGCTACAACCATCTATGATTCATTACACGTCATCGCTCCTTAGTTACTGGGCCGATATTACCACATAGCATATCTCTACAACCCTCTATGATTCATTACATGACATCACTCATACTACCACATGACATATCTCTACCAACTAGAGGCCTAGGAGCATGAACGATAGCTCTAAAAGCTCCTACGAACCTCTATGATTCATTACATGTCATCGCTCTTTAGTTACCCACAAGATTGGTTAAGTTATGACATAATTTGTCTATGACATAATTTGTCTATAGGGGTACTCTGACCTTGGACCTCCTTTTACTTCCTATAGGCTACGAACCTAAGAGATGGTTCTATGGGATTCTCTTACGTCGACTACAGTTACCAAGCCTGGTAATCATGGAAAGTCTTGGAAAATGAGAGAACTACACTCCTTTAGCATAAATAGGATTGCCCTTTCCTTAAGAAAGGGCAAGCAGACAATACAGTAAATCGACTATCACATACTTCCACGTCTTTTCCACGCTTCCAAGCATTCATCTTGTTACTCCTTGTTTCTGAAAAGTCAGTGAGGTGTTAACCTCTGACTTACCCCTGAGTTCCCAGACTCAACATTTGTTGCAACTTGTCTGAACCACTTCACTACATCACACACCTGATTGCTGCGTTGTGGAATAGTCTAAGCTACGACCCTTTGGCTCTGTTTTCTAAGACAGTGTGTTGTCTTAGTAAATTCATCCCTTCCTTGGGTGGCTAGATTCTCACATCTGGTGCACCCACCATTACAATGTGGTAGTATTGGCCCACCCCCTTAAGGAGGAGATTTTCTTAATAACTTGTTCAATGAGTGTTCAAATGATATGCCGTGATGTATGTAGCATAAACAGATGTAGTAGAAGAGTTTGCAGCAATTGTTGAGTAGTATTGCTTCTGTTGTTGGTGTGATAAGCCAAGATATGTATGGTGACTTGTAGGTTTGAGGAGGAGATTTCTAAGTTTGCTCTTGAGTTTGATAGCAAACTGAGTGCAACGAATGTCAGTATGACAGTGCCCGTCTAACACCAGCATTCGATATGGACCCCTTGCACGAACAGCAGTATGTTTGTCAAAGTGTTTCAACCATTCTAGACCCGTCTCATTGTTTGTCCATCCATTGCTTGTCGGTTTAACAACCCAGTTGTGTGGAAGGCCGCCGTCTGTATACCAATTTGCAAGATGATTCTTGCCTTTAACTACCAAAAATGGAGGAATACTCCAGCCGTCACTGTTGATACAAGCAATCGCTGTAGCCCATTCCCGATTCCCTGGCTGAACTGCCTTACCTCTGCCAAGTCGATCTGCACGGGTAACAACCATTGCAGGGCAAATCACACCCATCATAAACCCAGTTTCGTCAAAGTTATAGAAGTCGCAGTCCAAAACACCATATTTTGCCCTCATATTTTCCACTAGTCGAAACCACGCGCCAATTAGTTTAGGATCTTCGCACAAGGCCCTTTGGAAGTCGTAAACGCGATTAAAACGCGTCTTTAATTCTGGACGTCGTTGTACAAATCGGTGAGCCCAGAGCTTCCCGACGCGCCTCCCTCCACGCGATTCGAGTATAAAATTTGCCATATCTTCTACACCAGCAAGCCGGGGTGCAAATCCTCTTGAATCCATATCAAGTATATTCTGAATAACCACCTCCTCTTCTAGTATAGTTAATTTCATCATTGCAGGCCGGCGTTCGTAGACAGTAGTTCGGCCGTTCATTCTGTCGCAGAGTGTAGAATGAGGTACTTCATAGAGCTTAGCAGCCTTCCGACGACTTAGATTTTTTGATGTTCGGATAGCCTCGATAGCTAGAATGATTTTTGCTTCTTGGGTAATCACTGACATAATAAAAGGTGAAAAAAACGCGTTGTGAAGTTAGAGGGTAGGAAATTCGGGAAAAGTGTCCGAGGTACTGATATGTCCGACGTACTGATAAACCACGTTATATGAAGTGAAAAGTTATATATGAAGTTATATCTGACGAGACATCTCTCTCTTGATGGATATGGCCTATCTCATATGCGGAATCGCAGTTGAGGAGCTAAGTTATGCCGATCTGATGTTCTACAGGGCGTTATCGAGATATCCACGCCCTTTTCACGACACTGTAACTAAGTTAACTATGGAGCTCTTGTTAGGTAAGCAAACGTTGGCGGGGTATATATCGTATTCGTGGTATTCTCACATTCTCACATTCTCACATTCTCACATTCTCACATTCTCACTTCCTCACTTTCCTCCATATCACCAGCTTCACTTCCCAATTCCCCCAAAATGTCCCCCCCAACCTCCCCAACACGCATCCTAATCCTCGGCTCCGGCGTCGTCGGCTCCTCCCTCGCCTCCCACCTCTCCTTCCTCACCCACCCCTCCCACACCCTCCCCCCCGGCTACACAGTCCAAGTCCTCTCCCCCCCCACCCTCACAACATCCACCTCCCTGGCCCCTGGTCTAATAGGGCAACTCAACGCCCTCCCCTCCCTGACCACTCTCGCCAAATCCAGCGTCCGCGCCTACCTCACTCTCCCACAGGGGGCGTTCAACCAAGTCGGGGGGTTAGAGATAGCCTCTACGCCCGAGGGGATCAAGGTGCTTGGGGAGAGGTTGAAGTTGGCGCGTGAGGCGGGGTTGGAGGCGAGGCTGGTTGATTCGGGAGATTGCTGGACTTGCGCCACAATTCCACGACCGGGATGGAGTGTCGAAGGGTCTTTATTTCCCGAGTGATGGCGTAGCGGAGCCGTCACGCATCGTGGACGCCTACCAGGTCTCCGCGCGCGCGAACGGGGTGGAATTCATCGAAGCCACCGCGCTTGGGATAAAACTCCTCAACGGGGTAGCAAAGGGCGTCAACACCTCCGCCGGCTTCATAGGCGCCGACAAGATCATCGTCGCCAGCGGGATCTGGAGCGCCGACCTCCTAAAAGATTTGTTTCACACCCCCGTCATCCCCGTCGCGCACCCGTACATCCACGGCTCCCCTCGCCCAGTCAGGGGTACAGCAAGTCCGTTCGTGCGCTGGCCGGAGAAGGGTGTTTATGGCCGCGATCACGGGGCGTGTGAGGGGTTTAGGACGTATGATCATGCGCCTCTTCCTGTTGATGCTGGGGAGGGGGCGGAGAAGGGGTGGGTTCCCGAGTTTGACGACGCTGTTGGGAGGGCGCTGGGGTTGTTCCCTGAGGAAACGAGGAGGGGGTTGACAGCCGAGGGGGGGAGGAGGTTCAATGGCGTCTTCGCGGTGACACCCGATGGACTCCCCGTGGCTGGACCGGTGGGGGGTGTGAAGGGCCTTTGGGTGGCGGCGGGGGTGTGGGTTACGCATGCGATGGGTGTTGTGGAGTTGATTGCTAAGATGGTTTTGAAGGAGGAGAGGAGGGAGAGGAGGGGTTATGAGGAGGGGGATGAGGACAGGGATGTGGAGTGGGATGATGAGGATGAGGTGGAGGAGGTGGAGGTGGTGGATGAGGAGGAGGAGGGGTTGAGGAGGGCGTTGGATCCGGGGAGGTTTGGGGGGAGTGGGGTGGAGGAGCTGAGGAGGGAGGCGGGGGGGAGGTATAATGATATATATAATTTGATGGAGTAATGGGGGGTATTGGTGTTGGGTGGGGTTTGATTTGATGGGGGGATAGCTGTTGGTGAAATACGATTTTGGGGAATGTGGGAATGAATAGTATTTGAAAGGGTGTTTTGCGGAATATGAAGTGGATATTGAATACTATAAATGCATAGTCGACTCGACAACGGCGCCAACATATCCTACCTGCACATGCTTACCAGGGACACTATTATAGATAAATGAACTGCCAGGCGTCGTGAAAAGAGTCAATTTTATAAGGTTTGGACACGCATATTAATTATGTAGAACTTTCTCTTCTAACTGCCGAGAAACACACAAGGACTGGAACAGATCATGCGATGTTTTAGGTACTCCGACGAAAACGGATGCCTGCACCAGGAGGTCACCTGATTTGGCGTAAAGTGACACGCGCTCGGAAGCACGTTGTCGCGACGACATGGTTCTCCACTTCCACGCACCAAGTTTGCTCCCAGGCACAAACGGCAACACCAACCGCGTCGTTTCGTTTCGATTGGACTAAATATGCCATGGACAGCAACAATAACTCTCGCCAGCCATCAAATTCAAGTCGCCTGGGCTCCAATCAGGATTTCTCGGGCGTTTCCATTCCCCAAGACAAAGGCCCGACGGCTCATGAAATGGCAGCCCTGGAGAGGGCTCGTCTGCAGGTGGCAAACCTCGGCGACGGAATGGCGCTCTGCTTTGACGACGAGGTAATCTGCGAAGGATCAGACGCAGAGGACGGTCCCCTGGCAAAGGCGGAGCGGCAGAAACGGCGCGAGGCTATCGAATTACGATACATTGCTGGGCATGCTCCCCTGATAATGTCAGCGCAGCTTAGAGGACCATTCGACAAGAATAGCGGATGGGTAAACCCGTGGCGATCGAAACGGCCAACCCAAAAGCAGCCAACGAATAGAACGACAGTTACGGAGCCCCTGAATCTCGCTCATAAAACCACCTCAGTCGTCGGTTTGGGAAAGCGCCGCAGGAATGACAGCAACTCATCCAGCTCCGTTGGTACGCGAACCAAAGCATTGGCCGAATGCTCCAGTACGTCAATGGATATAGTCATTAATCGCCAGCCAGGGCGGCCCCAACTATATTCTGGATTCAAGCGGTTTGCCGCAAATCAGCTTGAGAGGCCCACGGATTTTGCGAGCCTGGACGAGCGGGAAAATATATTGCAAAAGCGAGGCGCTGGCATAAAGAGGAGGGCCGATACAAACTGGTTAAAAGGGGCCGATGTTGGGAAACGCTCTCGCAACAACTGGCCAGATCTCACGTCGCCAACGCCGAAGGAGAGGACACGAGATATCATCAGCAATGACAATGCTATAATAGATGCGTCTAGTATGTCTATGTCTGATGTGAACATCGCGAAATTTAATCGGCAACTATCTGCTGAAACGGCGAGCCTGTCTGAATTTGAAGATATCCCAATTTCGACAGCGGATTCTATACACTCAAAACGCACCGCGATTCAGAGGCGTGGCGATGGCAATGTCCAGCCTACTCCCAATGTTACTGCCAAAAAATCTGAAGATACGCAGCGTGAAATATCGATGGGACCAGATTCTGCGTCTAGAGTGTATGTGGAATCGGCATCTAGTGCGCGAAGTGTGGATGGAGATGGGTCAGATTCGGCCATGGAAATCGGCCGCACAGCTCCCGACTATTCTTTGGACAGGAGTTCATTCGTGGAGCCTGAGTCATCTCTTGGACACAAATCAGTACAGTCATGTGCTTCAGTGCTATCATTTGAGCCTTCGCCCGTTCATACTATTTCGCGAAGCCAACTGAGTCAGGAAATACTCCATGGCCTCTCACAGGCTTCACAGCTAGCTCGTTCAGCTGAGAAACTGACACCCCTAAAGCCACGCGACTCTGCATTGAATATTGTCGAACGTCATCCATCGGACCTGGCGAAGCGGAATGGTCTATCACTCTCGAGTAGGAAGACACCTTCGCAACTTGCCCCAGCATCATTAAACCATACATCACAAGCAAGAAGTCAATCGCATCCCCTCCCAAAAAGCCCCGTGGAGGTGAAAATGCTCAAACCTAAAATAAATGACCCATCACGAAGCTTCGATTCTCCGTTGCCACCAGGCAGTTTGAAGTATCGCAGAGTCAAGCGCAAAGCGCCAACCCCGATCGAGTGCAGCCAGGGTGGTGATACAAGTAATGTTATTGGGAAGCAGAAGACACCAGAGGCAGCTCCTCTTCAACCAATAGAGGTTCGAGATGACGCACACAAAAAAGACGTTGTGTCTCCTGCTAGCCAAGCTCTGAATTATGTCGATCTAGCGAAGGACCAGTTTTCAACTTCTGACTCTGGGCAGCAGCCGCCTGGCTCCGTGCCGATTATTGAGATAACCGACAACGACGCAGATGAGAATTCAGAAACGAAACCATTGGGTAGAGATATTGACGATCAGGCGCCCACGCATACCTCTGTTCCTCCAATCTCGCCAGCTATTAAGGATGGGGCCAATAGATTGGAAGCCGGGGATGAGAGTTGTCCTAAGCCAATAATTGATGGTCGCGGAAGCGAAAGCAGCTTTGATGCACCTGCTATGCGAGGTCAAGAAAGCGGAGAAAGTGAGGGCCTCTTAGCCATCCAACCGGCCCCTGGGACTCAGCCGCCGCCTCCCATCGAAACCGCAGCAGAGACACTCAGCGGAGATGTCGAACACAGAAAAGAACCGACCTTTGAAGATGTTACATTATCACAGGACCCAGGCTCTCCACTAGCATCTCCTGAGCTTACAGACAACGAGTCCACGCTCGTGCAAATATTACAACATGGATCCCAAGGGCCTAATTCGAAATCTTCGCCATTACCGCCATTGCCTGATATTGTCGACGACGACCAATTGTCAGAGGCAAGCTTTATGTCTGCCACCGATGAGTCTAGTTCGAAATCCCTACCCGCACCTGCTGGTGTTGAAGATGACCAAGTTTCAGAGGCAAGCTTTACGTTTGCTCCAGAAGAGGTCGACTCCCTTCCTGCACCGCAAAGTCCTTGGGCAGCTGAGGAGGATGTACCTGCACCCCAATCCCTTTTGATCGAGCCCACCGTCGGTACCGGAAATTTCTCAATGAGCCAAAGTAAAGACGCTGCTGTACTGCTTACACGTACCGAATCACACTACTCCGCCGCCGGTTCATCCGTCCACAATGTCGAATTATCCGTCCGCAATCCCGAATCGGCCGACTACAACTCCGAACCACCCCAATCCAACGAAGTTGTTGACAGCGGCCCTGCATCTCTGAGGTTGATACCGACAGGTTCTGCTCCGCCATCCCCGGATCATCTCTCGGGCAAGTCGCACACTCCACAATCGGCCAGTGTCGGAAACCAAGATCTGCTCCCCCTATCCAACCCCTGGGCGAACAACACACAGAGTCCAATAATACATCCAAGTCCCATAAAACGTAAGAAGCGCGTCTCTTTCAACCCTCAGCCACTCGACAGCGACAATGAAGATAAACAACCCAACCAGCCAAACAACAACGCGCCCGAGTCACGGGACCTCTCCTGTCCGCCTCCACCACCGGAAGCTGAGTCACTTACAGAGGGAGATAATTCGTTTCACCGGAAGCTCAAGTGGACGAGTGGGATACTATCTAGACGCGCATCGAATGACCAGCTTAGCGTGCCCAGAGAGGATACTGTTCCAGGTAGTCCCGGCGTTGGTGCTATGGCCGAAGCATTTTTGGCTGCTGATGCAAGGGTTCAATCTACGGATAGCAATTCCGGAGAAGTGCGTGATAAGAATGAATTTGCTGGGTCTGAGAGTTTCGACCTAGTCGAGGACGGAGAACAGCAGGACAAAGTCGTCGCAGCTTCCGCTGTGCGAGCTATTCCGCTTATGACGGAGAGCCAGCTGGTTAACCCCTGGGGCGATGAGGATGAGGCACCCCTGTTTTGTATGGCAGACTGTAGGCCTGAAGAGGATGATGGGCTAGTGGAGGATGTGCTAAGTGATATGGATGCGATGCTGGGTGACTGGAATGTAGATGCAGAGTTGGATCGTGCGAAGAGGGAAGGGAGAGGGAAGACGGGAAGAGATGAGACTGCCAGGGAGAGGCTAGTGGAGGCGGGCTATTAGTGTATAATTGGAAGGCTGAGGTCTTGATGCCGAGCTATTGGAAAGCTCAGGTGTGACGGTACAAATAGAGTTGAGAGGTTATAATGGTTGGGGCTGGTTTCTTTAGTGTCGCTGGCTAGCTGCCTTGTATAGAATATCACACGCTTGAACAACTACCCATTTATTCTATGACCATGAATACGAATCACTGTATAATGCACAAGGAATTCAGCGTCATGCTTCAGAAACGAATACAGCTTAGTTTCTCAAGCCCTATAGACAACCTCTTCGCCCGGAGCATACATGAGTACCAGGACTATCGCATTCCCTCCACCAAACACCAAACGCCCATTGTTAAACCCTAACAGCCCTTATCTCCGACTCAGACAGCAACCTTCTTTTTCGACTTCTTAGTCTCGACCTCATCCTTCATCTCGATATCCTCAGCATCAACGATCAACGAGTCCCTAGTCCTCTTCAACCCCTTCATCTTCCTCGTCTGCAGCTCCCCAAGATCCTGCTTGCCGAGATGTATCCTTCCGACCTTGTCACCCACAATATCAGTCGAGATGTTCTTCTTCGGCCTCTCCAGCGTCGTCCTCGCCTTCCTCATCGCCTCCTTGAGCATAGCCTCCTCAGCATCCTTTATCCTCCCAACACGGAAATCCATGCGAGGACCCATCTCCTCAACCTCCACACGGGGAAGCTTCTGTCCGCTCTTCTTGGTCTTGATCAGGTACACCCTAAGATGTATTTTTGGCTTCGCCTCCTCCCCATCGACAGTGTCGCGTGCCGCGATAGACACCAAGTACTGCAACCCCTCCACATCAACTTTCTCAGCCGGCTCGCCCTTGAAGAAGTCCGTGAAGAAGCTCTTCGCCATAGTGTACTCGTTCGGGATTGGACTCTCAAAAGGCGTACCGCTGAACAGCAGCATTGGCTTAAGTCCCACAGCGCACTTCTTGTTCTTGAACTGGCTGAGTAGGCGCAAGCTATCCGGATCGAGGTTCAGCTCCAGCATATCGAGGACCTTGTAACCAAAGGTACGCACGAGCGTCAGCGCATGCGGGCGCTTCTTGCTGGAGGAGCCGAAGACGAGCAGCGAGGCGTCGTTCTTCTCGCTGAAGAACTCGAGGGAGGTGGCATCCTCGAAGGGGTGGATCTCGTTCTTTTTGGTGAACTTCTGCGCTAGCGGTCGGCGCAGCGAGTACAGGTCTGTGAGCGCATCTTGCGTCTTCTGCGAGCACGAGGTGCCGCGGAGGAAGAGCGCCTTCTTGGGATTCTCGACGGGCTTGGGGGCCTTCTTGTCGAGGGCGCGCTTGGAGCGGGCGTTGCGGGGTTTTCTGCCAATGGGTTAGTTTTTAATCGCCTTGTTGGGGAAATTTGCGTTTTAAAACGTACATTTGGCGGAGCATTGTGTTGTTATGTTGTCTCCAGGATTCTGCTCGTCGAAGCTGCCCTCATAGAAATCAGGGAAAAAGATTCTCGAAATGTTCCAAATCGATAGTGGTCACGTGGAGATAATGCAACGTTGGGCACTAGTTACTTGTGCCTTACAATTTAGGTTGGCTCTGTCACAAGAGAATCATCAGTATCACCGTATTCAGCATAGCATCCCTGCAGTTTGTGGGGTAAGGCTTTGGACCATCCCACTCGGCCTACGATCATCTCCAACGCCGAGAGCATCATCGTTCTCCAACTCCAACCGGCGCTCACTATATTACTGCGCCTGTCGCCTGTAACGACCTCTGCATTGTTTACTTTTTATCTCCTTTAATACCCCATGCAGATTTGCCAATAGCTCTCACCTGGCTTTCTGCTTTCGAGGTGTCTTTGCGCTGAGCGACGACGTTATCTGAGATCTCAGCCGAGGCACATCCGCCGAAATGGCCACGGCTAACGCAGTATACGTGAGTAAACAACGCTGAAAACCACAACACTTCGTGATGGAATCGTGCTGATGATAGGGGATATAGAAAGCTCTCAATGAGATAGTGCTCAATCCTAAATATGCCGACTTATTCGCCCTCGTGAAAGCCGCGCGCAATGGTGCTGTTTACGGCGCAAAAATCCGTTTCCCCCATGCCTTGGTGTATGCATCCCCTCCCACCCTCGCTCCTCCTCCTAGGCAAGCAAACATACTGACAATGATTTCATAGCATGATCTTTCTCTTCCGCTCCGGAACGTAAGTCACAACCCCCCATCCCCCCTTCTACCCAAAGCTAACCGCCCCTCCCTTCAGATTCAGAGAAAAGGCCCGGCTAGTCTACAAAGCCACGCGCACACATGCCCAAAACCTTTCCCGCTTTGCGGTAATCTATAAAATGGTCATGATCGCGCTCCGACGCCTCAACCCCACCGGCAAAGAGGGCCCCTACGACACCTTCTTCGCCGGGCTGATGGGCGGATACGTCGTGTTCGGGCAGCGCAACCCGCGCACGGGCAACGTGTCGGGGGTCAGCCAGCAGATCGTCATATACATCTTCGCGCGTGTGGTGCTGGGGTTGGCGAAGCTGAGCGTGGAGCCGAGCACGGGGATCGTGACGAATGCGCAGCTGTCGAATAAGATTAAGGATAATGCGTGGCCGGTGTTTGCGGCGATGAGCTGGGGGGCGGTGATGTATGTGTTCAGGTGGCACCCGGATAGCTTGCAGTCGAGCTTGCGGAGCAGTATGAGCTATATTTATGTGCAGAGCGATCATTGGGATAGCTTGAAGACGCTGGTGTGGCATAATAAATAGGTGTCTGGAGAGTGGTTGGTTGGGGCTTGTGGATATCAAGGGTGGGAGGATGCGTTCATGGCGGGTTCATGAATGATGTTACGAGTAGGTTGCCGTCTCGAGGGACCGTGTTATAGAGACGTATGGATCTCTCGCAACGTTGGTTGAAATAACCATGGTGCATAGGATCATATTAAGAATTGTAGATAGGCGCGCATATCAATAAATAGATTTTGCTCAAGAGACTGATTTGTACTCGTGCCGCCCAATGTTCCGAAGAACTGTAGATAACCGCTGATTTGCGGAACTATGATTAAAATTGATGTGCTCAGTCACCCAGGGTTATAATCAACCAATCAGTCCCTCATAAATAGAGGTAAAGAGATAAATTATATTAGTTTCAAGGCCCTCTTCACATTTTAGGGGTGCAAGCACCAATAAAATAAAATATAAAAGCTTTCAATTCTAGTATTTTCATTCCTCAACGTCCCCGCATCACAATTATTTTATTCATAAATCAGAACTAGTATATACGCATCCAATCTGGACAAAGAGGATATACTACCACGATACTGTCATACTCATCAAATCCCACAGAACATAACCGCTCAAAACGGAACGCTAGATACTCAAATCCACGAAACCAGTCCGCTCTCAACAGATCGGGCACACTGGATTTCTCTGCGACTCAAAGCTTAATACTCGACGTCATCAGGGGCAAAGGCCTCGCCATCGGCGCCAACCTCCTCGTAATCTCTCTCGAGAGCGGCCAAATCCTCTCTCGCCTCGTTGAACTCGCCCTCCTCCATGCCCTCACCGACGTACCAGTGCACGAAGGCACGCTTGTTGTACATCAGATCGAACTTGTGGTCGAGGCGGCTCCAGGCCTCCGCGATGGCGGTCGTGTTGCTCAGCATGCTAACGGCGCGGTCGACCTCCGCGAGGGCACTGTCTGGGTTCGAAGCAGATGCCGGGACAACAACGGGCTTCTGGTAGTTGATACCGATCTTGAAGCCGGTCGGGCACCACTCGACGAGGTTGAATGACTGTTTGGCCTTGAGACTTGCGACGGCGGCGTTGCATTCACGGGGGACAACATCGCCACGGTACAGGAGCGCGACGGCCATATACTTTCCGGCACGCGGGTCGCAGACAACCATCTGGTTGTTGGGCTCGAAGCACTGTAGGGTCAGTTCCTGGACCTTGAAGCTCTCGTGGCTGGACTTCTTGGCGGAGATGACTGGGGCGTAGGAGACGAGTGGGTAGTGGATGCGCGGGAACGGGACGAGGTTGGTCTGGAACTCGTTTAGATCGACATTGAGCGCGCCGTCAAAGCGGAGGGAGGAGGTAATCGAAGACACGACCTGGGCGATCAGGCGGTTCAGGTGCTCGAAGTTGGGGCGGGGAATATCGAGCGAACGGCGGCAGATGTCGTAGATGGCCTCATTGTCGACGAGGAAAGTGCAGTCTGAGTTCTCAATGGTAGAGTGGGTGGAGAGCACGGCGTTGTACGGCTCAACAACGGCAGTGGAGACGCGAGGAGATGGGTAGATGGCGAACTCCAGCTTGCACTTCTTGCCGTAGTCAGTGCTGAGGCGCTCCAGAAGGAGGGATCCAAAGCCAGACCCAGTTCCACCACCGAATGAGTGGAAAATTAGGAATCCCTGGAGAGATGAGCAGTTATCTATTTGCATGTTAGTTGAGGAACGCCTTCATGTTCACAATGCAATTGGCAGATTTAAATGCGACAAAGGTCGCATAAAAGGTGTCCAATCTATAGATATGGTCAGGATAGAGGCATTGTCTTACCAGCGACACGTCGGACTTTGTCAACCACAGTGTCAACCAATTCCTTGCCAATTGTGTAGTGGCCTCTTGCGTAGTTGTTTGCTGCATCTTCCTTGCCGCTTACGAGAAGCTCGGGGTGGAATAGCTCTCGGTAGGTGCCAGTGCGAACCTCGTCGATTGGGCTGGGGTCGAGATCGACAAAGATAGATCGGGGAACGTATTTTCCGCTTGCAGTCTCGTTGAAGAAGGTCTCGTTAGACCCGGTTTCGGCGATATCTCTGGTCTCGGGATCCGGGCGACCATCGGGCAAAAGGCCATGCTCAAGGAGATAGCTAGGAACAAGTTAGAAAATCAGTTATAATTATAAAAAAATATTAAAATTCACAAAGTACTTACAGCTCCCAAGCAGCATTTCCAAGCTGAACACCAGCTTGGCCAATGTGGATGTGACAGATCTAAGCTCCGTGTCAGAACAGCGAGTTCGTGCTAACGAAATGCTCACCGACTCGCACTTTGGAGAGTCTAATGAGCAGATAGTACGGGTTAATAGGTCTTACTTCGCCCCTCATTGTGTCCAATGAATATATTCAAATGATCAATATGGTGGGTAGTATCGGGTATCAATTAAGCACAACTCGACAAGAGAGCGGCGTCTTGCTGTGCAATACTAATAAGGGGGTAAATGGGGTCAATGGTGGGGTTGTGGTGTTGGTTATTGGCTTAGTCATCAATCACATGATGTGTATACTTGCGCACCTAAAACAACGATATGGCTGTTTATGAGGCATCGAACCATTCGTGACATTTAGGGAAAATTAATAGCCAACTTTGCTTTACCTTAACTTAGATCATGTAAACATTGGAAGGCTTATTTGTTATTAGAATTACTTACAAAATAATGAGGCTCTGGCAAACCTTAAGAGCCTTATATTGAGGTTTTCTGGAACGCGTTGCTCTGCCAACACGTGGCAACGATAAGCCAGAAGCAGGCGCGTGTTTGGTGATCGGGCTCGTCAGACACGGGTTTCTTTTGTGCGAAAAACAAGAAAATCTGGCGACCTTGGACGACAGATACTAACAACAGATACACATTACAACAAACATCAATACGGTTATAGTACGAACTAGCGACGGTTATCACGAGGCCGTCTGTCAGCAACTCCAAGCACTTCACGACGCGCAAATATCTCTCCAACACAACAACGACCTCCATGTCGCATAACTTATAACAACATCGGACCCAACCAACAGCAACCCGCGATGGAGAGTGCCTGGCTGGATTCTCTTTCGGAAGATTGGATCTCACAGCCAAACTCCGAACATTCTCCCGCAGGTTCCCTCCCATCACTCCCAGGAAGCACACCGCCATCATCAAACTCCGTTCAAGAACGCCCCTTCGCAAGTCGCATACCAGTCCTGAAGTCTTTGGGCCAACCCAGCCATGACTCGAGTGCGCTGCCATTGGGTGAGCGAAGTCCAAATTCGTATAACGTTCCCATACCACATACCTCGAAACAGAGTTCAAAATTGCGAAACGAAATTTCAGCTGCCGGGCAAGACAGAAGGGTTTCGAGAACCCTGTCAGTATCGTCTTCCCAATCTGTTCAGCATCATACAGTGCAGCATAGGTCAATAAGCTCGTCACCACAAAAGTCGCGAAATACCCCGGAATGGAAGAAGAGGCTCCTGCATGGAGACGTTGCGTACGGAGACCAGCGTGATTTGTTCAGTCCAGTCGGTCTGGAGAACATATTCAAGCCACCGCCACCAACAAGACAATCTTCAGCCAAATCATCATTGGAGCTACAATCCAAGTCGGAGGATGTGACAATGCGATCAAGCCCTCCTCCATACAAACCTAAAGAGGTGCCACAACCTTCAGAACGGCAAGGTCCCAAACCCATAAGTTACAAATTAGCAGATACCGGCAGCGACCAATTCTCAGAATGCGACCTGAGCCAAAGCAGTAGCTTTCGACCACGGAATACTGTGAGCCGGAAAGCGTCAAGTCGAAATCCCTTGGTCCACGACATTGCGCTGGAGGAAGCTGGCGTTGAGGAAGAATCAGGGGGAGAGGATGACGAGATTGATGACTTGGAGATTTCGAAGGGAATGGACAGCGATGCCCATCTCCAAGTTACCCCTCAGAAACAGGATATCGATATTTTGAGCAAACGGCAACCGAAATCTCCACTCAAGGATCCCACGCCCAAACGAAGGCGAACATTACACGACTCTGATATTGACAATCTGTCCATTGACAATGTCATCTACAATTCGGTTCTCGAAAGCCATCAGAATATCCAGTCTGTTATTGGCAAGAAGAGGAAGGATGCCAGGCATGGCAACGATAACGAATCCGCAAACCCCGAAGTCATGGCTACGCGCCAGGTCCTCCAGCCTCGTACACTATCCGTGAGCCAGCGGCGCAATTCCAGCTCAGAGATTGATCTCAACACTGTTTCAAGACCACCGCCATGGAGCCAAAAAGAATTGACCGAACAACAGCAAAAGATTGCAAGAGTTCAGGCAGAACTAGACATGACGCGCCCAACGGGCCCTTTTGTTGGAATTAACCACCACATGTCGAATGACAGCCGCAAGCCATCCATGACTACTCAGGACTTCTTAGATGAAGCCAAAAAGATTATGGCAGGAATTCGAGGAAAATCGCGGCCTCAATGTGGATTGAATAGCCTCGAGGAGTCGGAATCGGAAATATCCAGCTTGAATCAGGCAAACGACTCGCAAAATCCCGACTACGAGGAGTCTTACCAGGAGTCTACGACAGAGCCATTTTCGAGGCCGCCGAGTCGCGAAGGTGGTGCGCCTGTCCCACGGCAAGCAAAGGAACAAAGTGACCCAGAACTTCTAAGCCACTTGAAAAAGTATGAAGAGTGGAGTGATTTTGATGCATTGGTTGCCTCCTCCATCCCATCAACTGTCCCCGTCAAAACCAACGAAGACGCAGCACCCAAACAGGGTAATACTGAAGACGGAGTTGTTGCGAAGCCTACCGGTTGGACTTTGAATCATGACATGCCTTACGAAAGCGACCCACCAAACATCCAAATCACAGAATATCCCCAACTTCAGCGAAAGCGAAAGCATTCTACATCGTCTTTACCAGGTGGAGGTGATGACGGGGCTGCCCACTCGCATGGATCGAATCCATCCTCAGGGCACTCAACCAACCGATCTATCCCTACTGGGTCCTCCAGAAACTCGGATTCTCGACGGATGATAGCACCCCATACCGTTTCCCACCTTATCCCAGAGCAGCTTGCAGGAATGGTATTTGACCGTGAAAAAGGGATATGGGTAAAGCGCAAAGCCACTGACCCAAAGATCTTGGGGAATGTGTTACCCTCTGATGACGATGATCCCTTTGGAGATATCCCGGATCTCACTGTGGACGAAATACAGGAGATGCAGAGGATACGAGCTGTAACCGCAAAACAGCGCGAGGAATCCCGTCTTTTGATTGTCCAGGAGTACCAAGGCCAGTTTAATTTCTGTAAAGGTGAAGGGCTTGGCTCACATCACGTATTTGGGAGCGCTCCTACAACAAGTGAGCCCAAACACAGCGGATCTGAGCCGTCACTTTCTGCGCCGCCTACATCGAGCAGTGGCATTCCGGACACGCAAGTGACGACATGGGACGAACAGCCAGAAGCTTCTGCTAAATCTGATACCGAGGCCATTGCCGACGTAGACCCGATAGCTACTACCCACGAAAAAACCCTGAAAGAAGTCATTGAGGAAGACGCTGAAGAGGAGATTTCAATCAATGGGAGCAGGTCACAAGTATGGAACGATGTCAAGCCTCGACGCAGCGTAACCATTTCATTCTCATCGCCATTTTCGTCTATGATGCAGGATAACTCGAATGAGAACCCAGCATCTCGTATTTTCGGCCACTATCATGAAGAGGAGCAAGATGTGAGTATCAATGGGCGAGCCGAAGCCTCCAGGTTTCAGCAACGGGAATCCGCAACTCAACTTCGATCGTCCCAACGCGGTGCGCCTCGTTGCTCCTCCTTTGGCGCGCAGAATTTCACCAGGCGTCCCGTGTCCCGTATAGACGAACGCGACGAAGATTCTTTTGCGGAATATATGGAAAATGGAGGTGCCCGGAGGAATCTCAGTATAGCCGTCACGACCCCAATGCCAGTCAGAAACACGTCTCGTCAAATTTCGACCGTCCAGCAGACACCGGATATTGGAATTGGCCATGGCTCTCTCTATCAGCTAAGCCCGCTGTCTGATTTCACCATGAACCATGCCGAAGAATCTTTTGCGTTCGAGGTCAGCTATGTAGCACCAGTGAGCCGTCATCAGCCTGGCTCAAAGAGATCGCTTTCGATGACTGTCAAAGAGCTCGTTCAGCGTATAACTGATGTGGAGCCTTATGAGCCTTACTGGCCGCATATCAGGCAAATCGATCTGAAGAAGAAGAAAATACAGAGTTTGCACATGTTGAGCAAATTCTGTGGTCAACTCGAAGAGCTCGACGTGTCTGATAACGAGATTTCTCAGCTCGATGGCACCCCGGAAACCATCCGGAACTTGCGCATTACGCACAACTCCCTGACTGACCTGACCTCGTGGCAACACTTGAGGAATCTCCAGTATCTGGATATCTCAAACAATGACCTCACTACGTTGGAAGGACTAAAGGATCTAATTCATCTACGTGCTGTTCGTGCAGACTACAACAAGATTAACTCGGTAAATGGTATTTTCGGCCTTGACGGTCTCATCAGTCTCCGCTTGAGGAACAATGCGGTCCACGCCGCAGACTTCACCGGGTGCAACCTTCCTCGATTGATGGACCTTGACCTCAAGGGAAATAAGCTAAAGGCCATTGCTGGCCTCGAGGATTTGCGATCACTTGCAACCCTCCATCTAGAAGATAACTGCCTGGAGACTTTCAATGAGGGCTCCAATCACACTTATCATGGATTGAAGTATCTCAAGCTCAGCGGGAACAATCTCCAGCAGATTGACGTCAGCCACTATCCCAATATCCGCCTACTGTACCTGGACCGCAACCGCCTTGGGAAAGTCGCTGGTCTTCTAAAGGCAAAACACATTGACAGCCTCTCAATGCGCGAGCAGAGAGATTCGGTAATTGACATGTCATTCCTGGACCATAGCTTCGAAGTCAGGAAACTCTTCCTGTCAGGCAATCTCCTCCCCAACTTCGCGCCTCGTGTCGATTTCCTCAACCTGCAATACTTGGAGCTCGCAAACTGCGGCCTGGAATCCCTTTCCGCTGAGTTCGGGCAGATGATGTGCAATGTACGGGTGCTGAACTTGAACTTCAACGCGCTTCACGATCTCAAGCCCCTGCTTGGCATAGTGCGTCTCAAGCGTCTTCACATATCTGGGAACCGCCTCACTCGGCTACGGAAGACTACTGGTGTCCTCGGCCAGTTCTCGAGTCTGTCAAATGTCGACATCAGGAATAACCCCGTGACGTTGGGCTTCTACCCTCATGTCACACAGACGAGAGTTGCTCTCCTTCAGCGCGCAGAGGACGATGCCGAAGTGGCCGTTGAGGACCCATTTACAATACTTGATGGGGATGAGGGGAAGGACAAGGCTTATGCTGGTCGGTTGGATATGGAGACTAGGATGAGGAGGAGAGTCTATGAGATGTTGATGGTGGGTGGATGTCAGAGACTGAAGATGCTAGATGGGTTGCCAGCCAGTACTCAGGTCGCGGACGTCAAGGATGCGGTTTGGGATGAGCTTGTCAAGATTGGGCTTGTTCAAAATACTGTGGGGCAAACCGAAGCTCCGGCAGCTGAGATGGCGCCGCAAACTAATAATGAGGAACAGAAAGGTGGGGATGTAGATCCCGTGCAGGATGAAGTGGTGGAGAAGAAAGAAGAGCAGGTGGTGGAGGAGAAGAAGGAGGGGGAGCGGGAGAGCCAGTGGCCGGCTGAGGATAGTTTTGCTTGAGCGTTTTTACGAGACGATGTTTAATGACTTGGTTGTACAATACCATGAGGGCAGCATTGGGTGGAGTTTTGTTGAAACTTGGCTGTTTTACTTTTGTATAAACAGGGGCGTCTTTTGATTGTCGTTTTTTAAGTAGAGGGGGCTGGCTATGGAGGTTATTGATGTTGATTGCCAATTCGGACTGATGAAATTGCGAAGTTCCACTGTCTGATATATATTTCTCAGCCCTATATTAAGAGGCCTGAGAGGTGGCCATGCCGTTCCTATTGGGTTCATTTCCACGACGTCGCATCCTTCCCGTGTCTGTGTTGAGAGTGATTGATGGGGGTACGGGGATACACAGCCAATTTAGTATACAAATCCCCGATCACAGGTAATCAGTCAGAAGCCTCACAGTAAATAATATAAAATATAGATCAAATTGGATTACTACACTATCCTACGGGCCTACGTATCCTACTTATAATAAGCCCTGGGGGAATCCCCGAAACCCCGGCAGTCTGAGGGCTCTTCAGCTTCAGCTGTGATGGAATTCGGCAGCTGCATGAGATCTCCAATAGCCCACGTCCCAACAGTCTGGATATTACCTAATACGTCACGACACTAGGTACGGAGTAGTGTAGTGACGCATTTTAGTTCCCTGTGGCGATCTCCTCGTCCGCGGTTCAAAATATCACAACCAACAAACTATAAAGTCCTATATAAATTCAAAATTCTTCGTGGACCCTCACAACTGTATCCGCCGTTGTTTATCTATCACCCAAACAAAGCCCCCACATTCGTATCTGATACATCCGCAGCCGCCAAGTAAACGCCGCACGCGGTTATGATCGTTGTAACCTGCAAGTACCTTCCAATAATAAGCTCCGATGACACCCACCTTCCCGCCACAACACTCATATTGACCGCGGTGGCTTATTATTGAATTAATTTCTTTCCATCCCTTCCCTCCCCCCATCACGCGGAATGCAAATTGCCAAGCCGTAATTAGCCTCCAACAAACAGCCAGCCTCACTCTCTTCCCCTCCCTCTCTCTTCTCTCACCATGAACTCCTCCTCTTCCTCCTCCGTAACAGAGGCCTCGTGCGCCAGGATGCGCCCTCTTCCAGTCCACCCATCGCGGCTGCTGCCCCATCAACAGATGCATCGCGAGGGCCCTGTGCCAAGGGCGCCGGGGGAGCGCGAGCCGGACTTCTATGAGCGCATGACGCCGCGGAATCAGCGGCTTACGCAGCTTTATGTGTTCGCGGCGGTCGCGTCGGCGGTGGGGTTATATTTGTTGGTGTGGAGTCTCGGGTTGATCAAGTCGGAGAAACTGTTCAGTGAGGCTGCGAAGACGCACTTGTTGGCGTCGTATGAGTGGGCTGGGTATGGGTTGGTTGTTGCTGCTGTAAGGTTTCACTGGGGAACGCGATTGATTATTGAAGTACTGACTGACGGATCTAGCTCGTGGCTACGGTATTATTGAGCTTTGCCAACATATTACGCATCCTCTCCGTCGAATCGCCGCTCCCAGAAATTTACGCTGCAGCTGCCACTGCCGCCATCTCTGCGCTCGTTGTTATCTTCGGCATCATCAGCTACTCTACCACCGTCAACGCAGGCGCCGAAGACGGCATCCCGTACGACGTCTGTACCGCCCCCGGCGCCGACCCCTGGAAGCGCCTCCCCTGCAACGCCGCAAGCAAGAAGCGCCTCCTAGTCCAGCTGGGCGGGCTCATATGTGCAGGAGCAGCCGCGTGAGTACCACTCCCATCCCAGATCCTCGTCCTTTTATCCACCTTGGCTGTACCTTGGGGGGCATCTGTCATTTCAAGCTTTCCTTACGTAAACTGCGATGGACTGCTGACGTGTAACCCTCGCACAGCATCTTGTGCTTCTTGTTATGCGTGCTGCACGTGAGCGAGTTCCGGAATGAGAGGAGTCAGGGGGGACTCTATGTAAGGACGAGGGGATATACGAGGCTTAGTCTTAACCCGTATGAGGTCCAAGATGAGGATGAGGACGTGGGTGCTGCCGGACCGAGTGTGCATCTCAAGTGAACGATTGCAAGGGGAATATCGAGATGGGAACTGACGACAGAGGGGGCCGGCATGGCGACGGATTGCAGGGAAGGCCTGGTGAATAGCTGGGCCAGGAAGAAGGGGGTACGGCGATTGGGACAATCTTTGGATGGGAATATGACTTGCGTGGGGCCTTGGATGGGAGGGTATCGTGGTTTCTATTTGCATGATCTTGAGGCGTATGATGCACTAGGGGGGTGGATGGTGTATATAGGGGTTTCGGCAGCGGTTATTATACCAGCTCACCTGGGTTTGTGATACTGGGTTCGATTTCTCCCTTCCGATTTTACGTGTGTCTATGCGGAATTGAGGTGCATGGAATGGGGTATAAATAGAGGGTGGCTTCTACTTTCCAGGACCAAACCACGTTCAAGGAGAGACGCACGTCTTAGGAGAAGGGAGTTTTAAACCTCGACGTAAGGTAACAATGGCCCAGATGTTCGGGATCAGTTGCATTGCTAGTCTTGCTCTTGTTGTCGGACAGGTGCTGTTGTCACGACGCTGTTGCTATCGAGTAGCTCTTCTTGTCGGGGAGGTATGTTGTCGAGCAGCCCCTGCTGTCGCCATAAATGCTACTGTCATAGTTGTAAGACTTGTTTACAGCAGTGGCCTTTGCTTCGCCACTATTGACTGTGCAACACAGTCTATATTACGATTGCATAATTTCTTATTTTTTGAGCCTCATCTGCGATAAATGTGGTGTAGATATTCATGAGTTGTTGCCCAATATAATAGTGGGCGGTGCGCGCTTCGACGATGAAAGAACCCATTGACTCGATGCTGATCAAATACATTTACTCGATCTTCTTTGAGTGAAGTGCGGGCTTGCTCAATGATACGGTCAAAGGATTCTAGAATGACGAGAAGATGATGGTCGGCGGGGTCTACAGTTTGGGTGCTCCTAGATCCAACTGGTCGATAGGATTCTAGGTGGAGAATTAGACGAGCTGCTTCATGAAGATCATGGCCTTGAGTACTCCGTATAGCGGGTCCATTGAGTAGTGTCTAACCATGGGGAGACCTGGGTATAATGACGGCCGTGTCCTGGAAGAGACGTTCCGTGGCGTTAAGCTTCTGAGCTAGCTGAAATGTGATCTGGTCTTCAAGGCTAAGTGGGATTGAGTTCGCCGCATTGTCGCCCAGGTTGGCGATGGCACTTGCTAGCCTAGTGTCCATCACAGGCTTCACAACAAACTATCGAAAGAAGTTGCTTCGATAGAAGGTCTGACATTGTCTCTGATAAGAAGAATTGCAAAAACAACAATATTCAATAAGCGCAAGAGCATTCATTACCGTCGTGTTGCGATTACCCTGATACCTATTACCCTGATACCTATCAGGGTAATTACCCTCGAGCTCGAAATGGTTACCTGAGGCCTTTTTCTCACCTGTTGGAGATCCTATATCTGAACAGCTGGTAGATGGTCGAGAAACCTCAGTTGTGGAATCAGGCAAGCCCATGTCTAGATCAATCAATGAATATGCTATTGAATGACGGTGCTTGATTTGTTGAGAAAGCACGGGACCATCTTGGACTCCATAACCAGTTAGCTCCATAACCACAGAGTAATTAGATCCGGGTGTCATGACTAGTGGGAGGGGCTCATAGCTCGGAATCTTCATATCCACAGAAGAAGATGGCGTGATTGAAGGGAACTTCCAGTCTTGCGTATGACGATGGCCGTTGGGATCGATAGGGTCACTGAGCGTTGGTCCTCTGAGGTCGACTATGCCAGATGCGAGCCATTTGCTCCGTCGCCCCGCCTACCTGCTTTGGTAGTTTTTAGATCAGGAGAAAGCTTAATCCCCGAGTCATGGTTGCTACCGAGGTTGACCATTGTTTCTTTGATAATTGAAAGGGCCGTATTGTCGCGCAGTGGCAAGTCAGACATTGGTTGCTGCGTTAAGCGGCCGTACTGGTTTCGACTATTAACGTCGTAGTCTGATATTGTATTTGGATCGAAAACCTTCTCGACTAGAGCCCCGAGGGGTGCGAGAAATTGCTGTACGAGGCATTTGAGCAAGAGATACACCACTCACCCTTTATACACACGACCAAAGCAGCTACCTTTGCCGATGAGCTCAGTCAGAACATACTTTGGTGGACATTGCCAGCCTTCTTAGCAGAGTCATTGACACTCAGTTGCATCCGCTGAGCATCTTCCAGGGCCCTGGACTTGACCGAGCTGCTCTCGATCGGTAGCAACTTGAGACGACCCATCAGCGGCTCGGAGAGATCAAAATGTAGATACGGCGGGCTCCTACGATAGATCCCTGAAATTTGAAGCCTGGAGTCATGCGCCAGTGTCGGTGAAACAAAATTCCAGTGGTATCGACGGATGAATAGTTAATCCGATCACATGCTCTCGTGTCACTTTGGCGAGCATCAATAGGAGAGTTCCTGAACAGGCTCCAACGTTCAAAGCTACCTAAATTTCGGCATTTGGCTACCAAACTTACGTGGATTGAATTATTCGAATTTCGAAATGTCCAAAAATGGCCTCTCACTGCGGAAGCGTGGAAAAGCTGCGCAGGTTTCTCCGCCAGATTCACGCCTCTTCACGCTGCCTGCGGAAATTCGAATTGCTATCTACACCCTTCTCTTGGTATCCCGCAACGCCTTATGTCCTAATGGGATGGCAATTTTTAACGATGTCCAGTCGAGGGAACAATCGGAAATATCTTTTTTCTCTCTTCCACATGAACGGACTCTTGCTATCGCGAGGACTTGCACTCGAGTCCGTGATGAAGTTCTCCCTATTTATTTCGGCTCGAACAACTTCGTGTTTAAAGCGACATGGGACATGTATGCCTATCTTCACATGATTGGTGATTGCCGCAAGTTCATTCAAAATATATCCTTTGCGTATCAAGGCTCGCAGCGAAATGAGGCCTTCGAGCTACTATCTAAGTGTACGAGCTTGAGTTGGTTAGATGTCATGGTAATGGATGAGACTATGAAGGGTGCGAGGAAGCCGCAGGACAATTTGTTTGCCGCAAATGGAATGCGGACATTGAGGGCCATCAGGGGATTAGTGAGGTGTAAGGTCACAGTGAGGGAAATTGAGACTATACGGAGTGAGGATTGGAGGAATCCGAAGTTGTTGTTCAATTTAAATACGAGCGATAAAAGGCGTTTTGATAACGAGAATATCAGGGAGGTTGAAAGAGTGCTGACTCTGGAAATATCGGAGAGAGAAGATGAGGCAGTAGCTCGGTTGAAGGAAGCTCGCGACGAGAGAAATACTAAGAAGGAAAGGGAGCTTGAGACTTGGCGCGTTAAAAATGATTCTGATTGGAAAGAATTTACCAGGAAAAGAGCCATGCGATTAAAAGACGCAAAGAAAGAGGGGGTATGACGACAAAGCGGGAAGACATTCAGAGTGCAAGGTTAAGATAAATCGAGCAAATACGCAGCTCCAATGTCATCGGCGTAACAACAGACCGTGAGCTTCCTGGGCCTGGCGACTTCATGGCGTATGAGCCTCCACTTCCATCCGACATCCTTGTTGATACACCCCCTCAAATTGGGCTTCGGCTAAGCCAAGACGTTCGAATTTCTTCTAAACGCCAACGTTCACTCAGCCATCCTGTTCGAACAACACTTCCTCCAGCCTCACAAGAGGATGCTAAAGCTACGAGACGCCTAGGGACCCCCAGGCCGCTCTGCTCTTTCGGTGAAGGACGAGATCCCGTGCGCGCATTGGCCAGCTTCCGGTGAAGGACGAGCCTCCCCCTGACGACCGCTGGGACGACCGACGGGCCAGCCTTATATGCAGCTACCCTTACAGGCCCTCCGCTGTGCGTGCGATAATCACTCCCGCTACTCCGGTGTTCTCGTACGATGCGGCGCAGCGGGTCGTGGTCTGCCGGGCGTGCGGGTCGTGCGTCGTCCCCGGACGTAGCAACCAGGAGCGACGACTGCGAGCAGCCCCACCGACTTCAAAGGGCCACCCTAAGCGCAACAGTACAGCTGCTGGGCAGCTACGACCTGCGGAGCGCCGAGGAGCTCAGGGGGCACAGGTCGTGGGTGGAGGACAGGTGCCAACGCAATATGTCGTTCAAGAGGTATAGACGTCCAACTCGAGAATGCTCGAGATGAAGTTATCGCACCAATAGATATGGGGTAGGGTTGGTATGCACCAACCATGTTTCATGCCTCAATTTCTCCTTAATATACTCCGTGATGAGCATAAGCATATACTAGTAATTGAGGCGCCCTTTTCGAAGAAATATACCTAATAAGTGAGCCTTTGAAGCTGTTATCTTTGAAGTGGATACATATCATTTGACTCCTGAATTTCCCGACCAGACCGAGACTTATTACGGACTTGGCTCAACTCAATTGTTTCAACTACTTCCCCCCGAGGCAACTGGGCCCTATTGTCATTCTATGGCCTTGCAAGTGAAGGTAGGGTGTAATCACACCCGTCTTGGCTTGGGGGTAGCCCCTCTAAATCTTCTAGCTCCGGGTCAATTAAGTCAAATGTTGATGTATTAGCCTGACTTTGGTAACAAACTTGGCGGCGTTGCCCTCGGTGCTGGGGCTGTAATCGCTGTACCCTTGGTAACGTATAAAGGCCTCGTCATGATTGAATAAAATCAAACCGGTCTTGGTTCCGCTTTGTCCTATCACAGGTATTTGGCTGCCTTGGGCTTCGGTCTGGAATATACTGTAGCGTCATCTTCTCTTGGATATTATCAATTAGAACATTATACTCAAACAATATTTCCTCATCATTCATATAAGTCGAATCAATGATATCTGCAACAGAGTAGTGTTCGAATAGCTGTTCCTGTTCAATTTTCTGGCGGTAGAAGACAAGCATAATTCCCCGTATTGTATCAGGGGTCATTTGGTTGCGCTTATAATTGCAGACAGCATGGACAGTGCTAAAGACTCGATCAACAAGAGCTTCTGAAGCAGGAATACAAAGTATATCCCGGGCCATAGCACCAAGTCCTGGGAATAGTAGTTCGTTTTCTTTTCACCATTTTAATGGTGGTTGATGGGAGGGTGCTAATAAAAGTTAGTAGTGATTACTATAATTATTACTATAAACTTACGGAGGGCAAGGTATTGCTCAATCTCTCCTCCTTGATTTTCAGTTTGACTGATGGAATTATAGCTTCACTTCTGATTCAACATTAGAGCCATTGGGTCCTTGTCTAGTTCCATATAGTGTGATTGGTGCTGCTTCGATCTTTCTTGGTTTGCATAATGTTGAGTGTATAATGTCCGGAATTCCTTCTCAAAATGCCTCCAGTTTGTATTAGGATTCAACCAACAATAATCAGGGTTAAACACTTCCATCTTTAACCGTGGAGATAGAATAGCACCAAAAGCATAGAAGTTACCAATACCTGTGCAAGATAAGCTATAATACTTATCAAGCTTTTGTACAGCTTTATCAATAGCTTTTAAGAGCTTTGGAATCCATGGATCTTGTAATGGTTTAAGCTGACAGGTACACGGTACACTCCTCAAGCCCTTCAAATAGCTCCTCATATGCTGGGAGAACAAAGCCTAGTCATGCACCACTTGCTATACCTATATTTGAAGTCCAGAAGCTAAACTGGCGAGTAACATCAATAAGGTAGGTGATATGTTTCCACTCTTCTGAAGTAATATGGAAGATAATAGCTGGAGTAAACTCAGTTGTAAACTTATTTACTGCTCCCTGGAGTAGGACCGCTCATAGCATCATATGTAGTGTTGAATCCCACCAGGTTGACACATCTTGGATAAGTCGTAGGACTTTTGCTCCATCTTTAATGCATTGTCTTTGAATTCCCATAAATCGATCTCTTTGCTATGAGCTAGAATTCACAAAGACAGCTACCTTCCAAAGCTAGTATAGTATTAGTTGTGATTACTATAATGATTACTATAAACATACCTTGGCAAGTGTCCATGGAAGGCCCTTTTCCTTACTTAGATCTTTGAGTTCGTCTACTGAATTGTCATCCCAGTCAATCTGTAGCTCTGAGTTTGATGGGTTTAATCGAATTGACCCAAGGAGAGCCTTCTGTGTAAGCTGAACAATATGTGCAAAGCATGGGATATGATGAATACGTCCATCATGGTATCTTGTTGGCTCAGACGATAACTCAGCTATCATATCATTGATAATTGCCATCATTGAAGTATTGTTACTTGCATTATCAGTTGTAATGCAATGAACTCTACCATCTAGGTGATATTGAGATATAACATGCTGAACAATAGTCGCAAGGTCTTTCCCAGTATGGGCTCCATCAAGATACTCACATTTCTCAGTGATGAATGTAGCCATAATACCCATGAAGGAGTGACTTGTTCCAGGGCTAGACCAATTGTCAAGGGATAATGCACACCTTGACCCAGAGACAAGACCATGAAGGGCAATCTGTTGTGCATTATCCACCATAACATCAAGGCGCCGCCGTAGGGTTGTTGGTGAAGGAAGTGGATATTTCTGGTTCTGCCATAGTGCCATCTCTCTCTATATAGGATTCTCAACTGATCGGAATGATATGTTTAGAGATACTACAGTTTCAAGAACATAACTATAGAATGCTTCGCTTGGATCATCTTCTGGTTGTAGGCGCATGGTCTAAATAATAGTTAGACATAACGTGCATGTATAACGAAAGTGCCAAACAAGCGAAAGTGCCAAAATATCGCGACTACCCCATAAGAATTGCGATAAATCCACCACAACAATATAAATTAATTAAAACTACTCGGAGTCCTCTTCCTCAGACCTGTCTATTACAATCTGACAAGTGCGCGCATTGTGTCCAGTCTCACCACACTTGCCACAGCGACGTGCATGGGTTTCTTCCCTTGGCTTCCGACCACTACTTGCCCTTATTTCTTGCTCTACTTGCTGCACAACGTCCCTCTCGTCCTGTAGCTCCTGTGCTACCTGTTGACTAAGTGATCCTCCTTGCTGTAGTCGTGTTTTTTTAGCTCTCCGGCGCTTGCTTAGCACTTCATTTGCCTGTCGCAGGTTTTGGTTCTCTGGCTTTAACAATGCTAATTGATGCATTATTTGCGATGCACCCTTTGTAAACTGGTCAACAGCTGCATAGATTGAGGTTGGAGAGCTATTTTGATGATGCGCAATTCGGTTTTTAATGAAAGTAGACTGTGATACAACTTCAGTTGGGTTATTTGGTGTCTGAGAAACCCATGGTTGAGCGGTGTTTGGGCGAGAGGTTGGAGGTGTTGGCGTCTTAAACCTAAGGTCAAGTGTAGATATTACACTCTCAGGGCTAAATGGAAGAAGCCCAGCACCTCGGAACCCTCCCTGAATATTGCTTTCTGTCATTGCAATGTTAAATGCAGCGTGGAAGGCAGGAAAGAAGTCATCCTTAGTAATGTGAATAATATGAGCCTGCATCATATCTTCAATTTGCCAACCGTAAGCTCTCTTTAATGGGCCAAAACAGCCAACATCAAGTGGTTGGAGTATATGGGAAGAGTGAGCAGGCATACAAAGCGTAATAATGTTGTGTTCTTTGCAGTACTCCTCAAACTTGTCTGAGTGGTGGCTCTCATGACCATCAAGGACTAACAAGCGATAACCACCAACACTCCGGGGCTTTGTGTGCTTCTCAAAATGCTGAATCCAATCCATACCTCTCTCGTTTGTAGTCCAGCCATTTGCAGTAACAGCGATTACCCAATCTGCTGGAAATCCGCTATTCTCATACCAAGATGCAAGGTGGTTTTTACCTGCCACAATGACAAATGGCGGCACTGCCCAACCTTGAGAACTAACGCCTTGGATTACTGTAACCCATTCCCAGATTGCCAGGCTGCACCTTTTTTGCCTTTGCCCGCCCATCTGAGCTCGTTACTACCGTTGCGCTTGAGATGACGCCCATCATAAACCCAGTCTCATCAAAGTTGTAGATATCTGCACTGTTGATGCCATACTTTAGAATTGTGTTCCATACAAGCTCAAACCAGCCACGAATGACTTCTGGATCTTCGCACTTAGCCCTCTGGTAGTCGTATTTTCGCTGGAAGCATGTCCGGAGCTCTACATGGCGCTTAACAAAGTTTGAAGCCCAACGTGACCCGACGCGTGGCGCGTCGCATGTTGCAAGTAGTCGATTTGCCATATCTTCAACAATAGACAACTGAGGAGGGAACCCTTTAGCAGCTAAGTCAAGTATATACTGAACAAGAACTGATTCCTCTAGGTTACTTAATTTCTGTAAGTTGGCTTGGATATCGCGTCGTGAAGGTACGCCTTGTAAACGGTGACGTAGCTTGCAGTGGTCTACGGAATAGATCCTAGCTGCAACTCGAAGGCGCAAATTTGGGTCGCTTTGCATAGCTTGGATAGCTAGCACTAATTTGCCTTCATCATTTTTATGGCGCATGTTTTGTTGTGGAGGAATTTAACATTTAGTTGGGGGGGTTGGCCACCGCATGATTTTGGCGCTTTCACTTGTTTGGCACTTTCGTTATACATGCACGTTAATTTACAAGCAATTACTATATTTATTACTATAGATCTATGTTACGCCATGACTCCTAAATTTCCCGACCAGACCGAGACTTATTACGGACCTGGCTTAACTCAACTGTTTCAACTACTGCCTTCTGGGGCAACTGGGCCCCATTATCCTTCCGTGATTTCTTTGCAATAGGAAGTGAAGGTAGTAAATAATCACCCTCACTCTGGCTAGGGGGTACCCCCTCAAAATCGTCTACCTCATGGTCAATAAAGTCAAAAGTTGAGAGATCAACTTGACTTTGGTAACGAACTTGGCTTTGCTGGCCTTGTGACCGCTGTACACTTGGCAAGCTATGGAGACCTCGTCGTGATTGAACAAATTCAAACTGGTCTTTGTTCCACCTTGTCCAGTCATAGGTATTTGGCT